AGGAAGTTGTTGAAAATTTGAGACGAGTTGAGCAGAATCTGCAATCATCTTGGACAAAATTTCCTCAACAATCCTGTTGCAACATGAAATTGAACAATGGGTCCAAAACATTGACGAAAGGATATTATAGAACTTTTTGAAGTTAAAACGAGAGTGAACATGTGCCTTGAACAAAATAGTGAACATTTTTAACATTTACTATGATATTTAACAGCAATAAATTTATTTCTTTTGATTGTAATGAAATAGTTTTATTTTTTAAAAAGGTATGAAGCATTTAGACCAGTTATACGGATGCGTATGGTATTTGTCGTACGCCCTTGGACATTTAGTAAGGTCCAAACTGAGAGGCGGCACATGTTCATGACCTACTTTGACCCTATAATCATTTATAGAAACCCTGTATTTTTTACGAATACTCTGTCTAAACAAGTTTATTTTGTAGACGAACAGGATTTTTTATTATTATTATAATTTTGATGAACAAATAATTACCATGTTTCCGATTACCTTAAAACGTTTGTGAGATTCCAGCGCATTGAATTTTGCAATTTCAAAACTAAATTGTAAACTGTTTTTTTTAATTCGGCAGACTCTTAGGTACGTCACCATGGTGCAGTGGCGTAACAATCAAACTACGGGCCTGTGTTCTACAACTCTGTGGGGCCCCTAATGAACAGCGAAATAAAAATATTTAAAACTACGAGTATAATGAGTAACGAAAGTATGAGTAGATTGCAATTAGGGCTTACGTTTTATTAAAATCATTCTACCCGAAACACTGAATTAAAACATATACAATTATACATATTAGAAACTAGCCGACCAGGCAAACGTTGTTTTGGCATTTCTAGTGAATATTTTGGTAGTTAAATAAAAAATTAAATAAAAATAAATACATGTAAATATAATTAAATTAAATTATAAATTATTAGGGATGTACCGACTAGTGGCCGACCGGTCGGATAAGCCGACTATTCGGCCGTTTTTCATCGTCGGCTGCAGTCGGCGACTGGTCGGCTAAACAGCCGATCGGTCGGCTTTTTTTATTAAAATTAAAATAGTATGTAAAACAATTAAACCCGGTTTACAGAACCTCAATTAAATATTTAATTGCGATTTAATTTTTAACCCCGCGTTAAACTACCATGTGACCGACTCTACGCCAATCAGACATCGCTAATGGCCTTATTAAATGCGCGATTAACTTAATCTCAGTTAAAATATTGTATAAACTGGTCCTAAAGTGTGTTATTTTTTATTTTTGTACTGAGTTACTAAAAAAAATTAAATGTTAAAATTATCCAAACAAATTTAACACATTTTTTGGAAAACAAAGAAACTTTAGTTATTCCTTTTATTAAAATAAACAAATTTTTAAGGTAGTCAGAGAAATAGAAAAAAAAACACACTGTCTGTCGCATTTATAAAGCGATTTTAGCAAAGCCGAACAGTCGGCCGACTAGTCGGTTTTTACTGGCCGAACAATCGGCTAGTCGGTTAGTCGGCCAGACCTACAGTCGGTACATCTCTATAAATTATACATAAAAATTTATCCTACGACAATGATTATATTCAATAGCCATCTTGCGCATCTGTGGATGAAAGCAAAGATACTCATATCGTTATTAAAAAATGGGGGTTGGTGATAGAAGGGTGAATATTTAGAGTTATATGTATTTTTGATGCCAAATCTTAAAAAAATAAAAATACAAATTTTGTCGAAAGAATTTTGGTGGGCCACCGTTATCACTTAGGGGTATAAAACATAGTTTACGACCTCTTCTCAGACCTACCGAACATACACAAAAAATTTCATAAAAATCGATCAAGCCGTTTCGGAGAAGTTTGGTTACAAACACTGTGACACCAGAATTTTAATACTATTAGATTATTTTATACCAAATTTCATTACCATAAAAAAGGTTATACTGAGTCGACCTTAAAAGATAGACATATGCTGTCGCAGACTTTTTTTAGAACTTGTAGAAGGGAACAATTCCATCATACATGATTTTTACGTAACTTTAACCGTTTAAACAACGTAAGCAACGGAAGCTGTCAAAGGAGGGATAATTTTCCCGTTTTTCCGATATTTTTCATTGCTGCTCCGCTCCTATTGATCGTAGCGTAATGTTATATAGCCTATAACCTTCCTCAATAAATGGACTATCCAACACAAAAAAATTTTTTGAATTCGAACCAGTAGTTTCTGAGATTAGCGCATTCAACCAAACAAACTCTTCAGCTTTATAATATGAGTAAGTGTAGAAGTATAGAAGTATAGATAAAAATGCCAATTTTTTTTTAATCTCAAAATTGTTTTCTTCTTGCTTTGCAATGGGCACAAGTTGATACAAAATTTGACACATCTAAGGTTTTGGCAATTTGATTTCCAATTGAGAGATTCAGTGAAGATAATCTACATTGGCCCATTGTGTTTCTTAAAAAATTTTTAGTCATTTTTAATTTCGAAAAAGATCTTTCCACTGAAGCCACCGAAAGAGGTATTGTAAAAGAAGTGAAACATGCTGTGATAATTGCAGTGAAACTAGTGCAGGTACTAGGTACTCATTCTGTAATAATTTCGCAGTCCAGCTTTTTTCTACTAGTTGTAACATACATCAGATATATTTTATTATTCCAAAAAAGCACCACAAGTACAAAATTAAAATAGTTTTGAAAATACAAAAATTTTCATAAAACAACTGAAACTGATTTTTTTTTCATGTCTTATTACAGCATGAAGTTTCGCTGTAGATCTGAGGACAAAATTTAAGTATTTTGTTGTCCCGCACCATAAATTAGTCATTCTTTTGTCGGATAAACATTGGTAATGTACTACATTGGGTGTTAGATTTGCCACAATGGGATTGCGACACTGCGACAGGTTTATTAGAAATAGATGCTGCTGCATTTTCTACCGCCGATGCCGGTCGCTAAAACCCGAGTTTATTGAGTCTATGATATTGAGATGCCGCCAAAAATCCAGCCCTTTGCAGCAAAAAATTCTTAAATAGCAATGAACCATCGATCCTGGGATTACCGCACATTTTCGAATTTTTTATTTCGGGATGTAATTTGGGCAATAATATAAAAAAAATCTAATTAAAAAAATGTTCGTGTGACCAGACCGGGCCCCTTGAAGAAGCGGGCCCGTGTTCCGGCGAACACATGGAACACCGGTAGTTACGCCACTGCCATGGTGTATTATTTAGGGAGCCCTTGGACCTTTTTTTTGGAAAGTATTTAAAAGAATTTTGCGGTTTTATTTTTGGAAAAAATCGCGAACATTCAGGGAACTCTTGCTGTCTTGTTTTTGAGTTAATTTTGGATCCTGCTTTTTCTTGAAAAAAATTAAAATAATTTTGAGGTTCTAGGTATTCTTGTTTGGAAAGAATTTGAAAATTTGTGAGAATTCCGTATTATCTTACGCGTTTTTGAAACAATTGACAACGTTTTTCGAGATCAGTAGTGGGTAAGTTGCTATTTATCTTAAATGAATTCAGGAAAGTAGAAGAGAAACAAAGATGACACAATGCATTAGCTTAGTTTAAAGAGGGATTCGTTATCGACATCGTCAGTACGAAAATAATGTACTACCCCAAATGGACAAAACTAAAGCCTTGAGTTTTCTTGATGTATGACCCTCGATGATTTGCACTGCACTCGCGGCCATTACCGATGACTGAATATTGGATGATTTATGAGGAATGTTAAATTCCAACCGATGATGAATATATTGAACTACTGTCGCTGATCCGGCTCGAAGGACCATGTTGAATTGTTGCGAATAACCCCAACCCTTATGGTTGGGGCGGGGGGGGGGGGGGACAAGTTCCCCGCCAGAGGCACTAACATGTATATAGGTAATTAAAATAATACTTTGATGACGTGCTTCATTCTACCAATGTTAAAGATTTGCCAGTAAAGGAGTTCCTCGGAAGAGCAATTTATGAGCCTTTCCGTATTGCATCGGAATCGGTTGATCAATAATAGAGGATAAGAGGTGGTGCCGTTTGGTTTAAAATCGATTCGTAGGACGTGATAGGCTGATATGCAGTAAAAAGTCGTATTTTATTTGTTAATTATGGAATAAAATTCCAATTTGTATTTTGAAATTACACGTAAGTACTTAATTGATTGATGGAATAACAAACATTGGATCATTTAAATCCTTCAATGATTCATAATTGTAAATAAATATATAGAGTTATTTATGAGAAGTTCCTCGCCCAAAAAATTCAAAACGCAACCAATAATACAATTACGTAAATAGCAGTCTGTGATATTTACCATCACTATTTTTTTTTTTTAAGTAAAACATAATAATGTGTTTGTTATTATCTAGGTGATCACTGATTGCTGAAATTATCCATGAACCTCCTGTTTGGCAAAAAAAAGAGATATGATACGAAAGTGAACTGTCTAATACGTGGTAATTACTGAGAGAATATTAGAGATAAACCTTCCGTTTCAAGGGGTTGTTGGCACAAAACTTAACTCTGAACAACATAGTCTGGTTTTGATAAAACAAAACAAGAGATCCTGCTGTACGGATAATGTTCTCTATACACCGATGTCAGTTTTAACATGACAATATCTAACTCTACGTCAATGTTGTTACACAAAATAGATAACTATGGGGCTAATTTCAAGTTGATTGAGCGACATTGCAAGACGGCGTTGCTATGGTGATTGCAATAATAGCATAGCAACGCTGTTTTTCAACGTTGCTAAGGGGCCTATTTAAAGTTGGCCATTTGTGCAACGCAACTTTGCGGCACTGAAAATTTGTACCATGTATTACTGTTATTATATTCAAATTATTATTATTAACATAACCATCATCATTACAACTTCTCATAAATCAAATTAAACACTAAAGCTTGGCGCGCCATCTGTGCATGAAAAATGCAACTACTAGAATTGATGGCTGGCGCTAATTTTAAACTTGACAGGAAGCGTGGACAGGTTTGACACTTTTCAAAAACAAGAGCCACCGAACAAAACATTATATTAAAAAACCTGTATTAGAGAAATATACAAATCAAGTAGATTAAAGCAATAAGTGTGTTGCTTAAAAAATTACAAGAGCTATTTCTCCTTACGATCACTCAACAAAGAATTATGCAGTTTTGTAACCTCATTTTCTACAATTTCATGCACTACACTTCCATTAACATCCACAAAGTTAGCGACACTCTTCTCTAAACTTGCATCTCTCGATGAACCAGTTTTACCATCTTTGAGAGTAATGACCAACTTGTACTTATCATCAAATCTGTAAAAAAAATTATTAGATGAATTTAAAAACTAAATAGAAAATAACTAACTTTTTCAAATAAGAACTAGCTTCCCATCTACTATCTTTTTTCTGGCCATCCTTTTTTTGGATGCATACTGCAAAAATGCCTTTTTCTCTATATGTGGTGTACAATGTTAAAATGGTCATCATCAGAAAATATACCATAACACAGCATATAAGCACATTCCTGCAACAAATTGGTGAACAATACATTATTATAGAAACAATTGTTGCTCACTTAGATAGCGGAAATGGATATAAATAATCCCACAGTAGAGCAAACATAGCGAATCCCACTGCAATGCTACAAATGATGAGTCGACCATCCATTAAGGCAAAATTTTCTACATAATTGAATTTTTTAGTAAGTACCTACAAAATTCTTTTTCCAAAAAAATGAAAAACAAAAACGGTTCTTACTTCTTTCACTGCGTCATCGATGGCGTTTTTTACGGCCGAACCATCCCATTTATTAATTTTCACAGGCTGCAAGAAATAAGGTTAAGTAAAACATAAGGCTTGTTTTATTCCAAGAAAATTTTAAAAACCAATTGGAAATAAAAAATAAGTAGCAAAATAAATAATTATACCTTATCATCTTTATCTTTACTTTCTTTTGGGGCCATTCTTTCAAATTCTTTAAAATATGCGGCTTAATTTTTAATGTTGTCGTGTCTTGTTGTTGGTACACGTCAGGTCGGGCAGTTGATAACCTGCGGACGCAACGTCGTTTGCACACGTCAAACCCAACAACGTTAAAAATCCCCAACTTTTGAGGTGCGCCAAACACGAAAAAATTTTGTAAGGAAATTTATTCAGATTCTAGCAAATCTAGGATATTATTACAATAAATTTGCATCCTTATAAAGTAAAGGCTAAACAAGAAAAATCGCAATCCAAGCCTAATTAAGGTTTTGCTTGTGCAGAAGGCCCAGCTTCAGTACTGCTCTCAGCCTCAGCTTCAGTCTCCTCGCTGTGTTCGCCGTCTCCTTCCTTCTGCTTCTTTGCATCAGGTATCCAAAGTCCGGCAGCAACACACCTCTTCATGTGATAATTGGCTTCATCTTCATTCATTTCTTTAATCGTGTCTTGCAGCATTTGGATATCCTGCGTTTCAAAACACTTTCTTAAATTCTCAGGCAAACTCTCTAAAACTTCCAGCTGATCTAAACCGCCAGGTCCAATTCTCGCTTTTCTTTCTTCTTCTTCAGCTTCTTTTACGGCTTCTTCGATTTTCTCGGCCGCCCGTCTCCTTATGCGCTCTTTAAATTGTTCCAGTTCATCATCAAACGATTTTTTGTACAACGGATCAGCTATTTGTATTTTTGAAAAGAACGGGTCAACGCATCCACGAGGATCATAATCCAGCTGCTTGGCTAGTTCTAGGATGTACTGCATGCAGATAGTCTGATGAGCCACATGTTTCATAAGGTCGTGTTTCTGAAATAAAAATTGCAGCATTTTTACGTGACAAATAATACAAAATATACTTCTTCCATTTCTAATCTGATGCACCATATAACTAAATAATTGGCTGTGTCCTCAGACACGAGCTCAGTATGTTCTCTGAGAAACTTTCTTGAGTCATCATAACGTCTCAACATTCCAAAATGCTTTAAATTTTTTTCGTTATCCTTGACGAATTTTTTCATTTTTTCCTCCCTTTCTTCGTCAGTCAACTGTTCATCCTTGGGTCTTGGTGCTTTTTTGTTGATCACAGTCTTCGCAAATCCGGGCTGACTGATTGTGTCGACGTTCCATGGAGCTAACTATAAACCAATAAATAAAATTTTGTGACTGCTAAATAAAAACTACCTTCTCTTTTTTTTCATGTTCGTCCTGTTTCATCTTTAAATCAGTCATTTCCTTCTCTAAAGTCGACACAGAATCTTTAATCGTTTGCAAATTACTGTCTCCAGCCTTCTCAGCGTTCACTAACTTTGCTTTCGCTTCGTTCAGTTTACGCTCGCTTTCTTCCTTTTTTCGTTTCAGTGCTTCAGCTTCTCGTTTCATTTCTTCCATCCGTTCGACTCTGGCTTGGTGCCTCCATCTGAAGAGCGACGGTGTGTCGATGTTTGGATGCGTTTCATCTTCATCATCAGAAATCTGAAAACAAATTACATTCTAACCTCAATCTTGGGACGATTGCTGGCGTACGGTACCTCGATATTTTTCCACTTGCTATAGTCTACCATCGCGAAAACTGCGAAAATTTAGTATTTTTTGAACAAATGCACAAACACAACTTATAATTCAGTTTTTAAATCGACAAATGTCACTTTCTCCACCCTCTCTTTTCTTCGCGAAAAGTCAAACTGGAACTGGGGGATTATGGGTAGACGCCACATGTTTCGAGATGTTCTCATCTTGTTCTCGCGCCTAAAGTTGTAGAATGTTCTAGAACATTTCTCAAAATGGAAATAAACACAAAATGACGGAACTACATTTATTTATTGTTCTAGGAACTTTACTACACAACTAGTTTGTTTCTTTGTCACTCGTTATTAAATTAAACATCTACTTCTACAACCTATGGTGAACTTAAATCTTTGAGACTAATTTAAAATTGACAAAAATAAGTCATTAGTACATTTTCAGAAACTCTGTTTTAAACTTATGGTGCTAAAAAAGCATGAGCTCAATTATTTAATTGACGCTCAATAAAAAACTGAAAATGTCTTATGGAATGGTAATTTCTTCTCCAAGATTTCTTTGGCATGCTCTCGCCTGAAGTCCCACAAGAAATGATCAATCAAAATTGCATTGATTTCTTTATCTTTCAATTTTTTGGCTGCATACTCTTTCAAAAGTTCAACAGCATGTATGGAACAAGCTCGTATTTCCACCTCATCTTCTTCCCCATTTTCAAGAGTCTCATTATCTTCCAACTTTTTCAAAAGCTCATTGGTGTACTCAAACACCCCATAATACAACAGGGTTTGAGGGATTCTATAGTCTGCAAACATTGTAATTTCATCAATATCTTTAAAATGCCCAATGTCTTGATTCTTGAAGCACGCCCAAATATCCCCAATTAAAATCTGTGCCCTCTTGTAAATAGCCACTTCTTTGTCTTGGTATTTGGCCTCATCTTTAAAGCATTTAAAATTATTTACAATGAGATCCAGAAGAGTGACTGCGCTGTTATCAGCTTTTTTAACGAGATTCTCAACAGATCCATCAAAGTTCTCCAGGAGAACATTACCGACTTCGTGGAGGCATTTGACGCGTTCTGAGAAGAGAGGAATTGGGACGTCATTGTCGCTCCGGAAGATTTTGGCGAGATCTTTTTCAGTAACTTCTGAGTAGAATTTTGGGTTCAAAATGTCAACTTTTTCCTGAAATAAAACGATTTAAGAGCGATGACACATTTCAAAATATTATACCTTTTGCGCTCTATTAATAGCGGCACAAAGAGCAAAGTACCCAGTGTATCCTTCAACAGTCCAACCAGGCTCATTTTCCAAAGACCAGAAGCAGAAGTTCAGCGTATCCACAACAAACAACCAATCAAGAGCCCAAGGGTCCTCAGGTTTTGGGTGAAACTTGCTTTGAGTGAAGTTTTCGGAGCATAATTTTCCGCTTTCAACTTCCGCCACAAGCTACGATAAATGTAAATAAAATTTTTCACACGAGAGAATAAACCCGCTTACCACATCTCCCAGTTTTTGGATACCTTCTTCTTTGATTTTAACATTTTTGCTGAGAGAAGCAACTAGTTTTCCGGATTCGCGAGGTGACAAAACCATTTTCGCTAATTCACGATCTAATAACTTTGTTAGAACAGCTTCTGGAACAATTCCAAAGCGTTGTAGGTTTTGACCGTTAGAAAAACGCGTTCCTCGATATCGATATTTTACACGGTTTCAACTTGTACGCCGGTTCGGTAAAATTTCAGTAATTACGCAATGTTAGCTGTCATTCCTCCTCTAGTGAATTAAAAACTCTTCCTAATGTAATCCGGCGGCAGTTTTGCTACAATAAAAACCTATTTCAAATTCATACGTGCTCCAAAAAGTCCCGAAACCCCAAATCCAAAATGCGAAATTTGAAAAACGGGCTTCCAAAACGTCACTCTGACGTACAACGTTTTAGTGCTTTTCTCTACTATTATGGTTTTAGATTGGCAACCATTGCTAGCATAGAGCTCTTGCGCACGTCTACAACTTTGACACTAGCCGCTAACCTAAGAATTGTGTCACGTTTTCTTTCAACTTAAAGTTTGTCTAGTAATAATTGTGTGAAATGTCGTGGATTTTCGGCTACGGGAAAAGAGACCAGCAGCCCCCCGACTTGTCTCAGTTCGGGGCACCTCCAGCCTCGGGCGGAGGCAACGCCGGGGGCGACGTTCCCCGCGACTCAAAATTGACAACAGCGGAGAAAAAGGCGATGGAGGCGTACAGATTCGACTCTTCCGCGCTAGAACGGGCAGCTCAGGCTGCAAAGGACCTGGAAAGATCGTGTAAGTAACGAGGAAAAAGGGGGTTCGAATTTGAAGGTTAGGTGCTTTGTAACCTTTGGTTGCATAACGTTTGGGTGTAAAGGTTGATTATGGTGGCTTGCAGCACACGCGAAGGAGGCGCTCGAGTTGTCAAAGTTGCAAGAGACCACAAGACAGGTGGAACAGCAGGCGAAAATTAAGGAGTATGAAGCGCACATCGCACAGATGCAGATTGAGGCGAAGAGGGCGGAAGCTGAAGAAAAAAGGAAGTTGTTGGTTGAGGAGACCAAGCAGCACCAGGCGAGGGCGCAGTATCAGGATCAGTTGGCGCGGAAGAGATATGATGATCAACTTGCTCAACAACAAAGGATGAATGATGAAAATTTGAAAAGGTCAGTCGGTGTGAGGGTGTTTTTTCATTGTGATAGCAGCTTGTTGCAGGCAGGAGGAGTCAGTTGCTAAACAAGAGGCAATGCGCAAAGCAACCATCGAACATGAGATGGATTTAAGACATAAAAATGAAATGAAGAGAGTGGAAGCTGAATTGAAAGCAAAAGCTAAAGTGGATAGGGAAAACCGCGACCTGACTCTTGAACAAATTAGATTAAAAGCGTCTGAAAATCGCGTCACAGTCTTAGAAAGTATTAAGTACGATTTTTGGGTATTTTTTATTACAGTGGAATGTAACTGGTGTTTGTAGAACTGCTGGCTCAGTTTTGGGGACTGGCATTCAAGCCATGTTAACAGATTGGGACAAAGTGTTGACAGCCGCTGGTGGTTTGTCTCTGTTAGCGTTAGGTATTTACTCTGCAAAAGGTGCAACTGGTGTGACAGCACGATATGTAGAAGCAAGATTAGGTGAAAATTGCCAATTTATGTGTACAATTATTATCATTGTTAATGTAAATAGGAAAACCGTCGCTTGTGAGAGAAACTTCAAGATTCTCATTTATGGATACCCTTAAACACCCAATAGAAGCTATGAAGGCGTTGAGAAATAAACACCAGGATGCACTGTCTGGAGTAGTGTTGGCACCACAGCTAGAAGAGCGACTCAGAGACATAGCCATTGCTACAAAGAACACTAAATGTAACAAAGGGATGTATAGAAATATTCTAATGCATGGACCACCAGGTACTGGAAAAACTATGTTTGCAAAGGTATTATAAACTTTTTAGTTGTTTGTGGTTTTTGAAATATTTGGCTGTAGAGATTAGCCAAACATTCTGGAATGGATTATGCAATTCTAACAGGTGGTGATGTGGCACCCATGGGTAGAGAAGGTGTTACAGCAATTCATAAGGTGTTTGATTGGGCAGATGGAACTAGAAAAGGTGCATAATACGTTGTGACTGTATTTTATCATTATTTATTGTTTACAATCAGGTTTACTATTGTTTGTGGATGAGGCTGACGCCTTTTTGAGGAAACGTTCATCAGAACACATATCTGAAGACTTACGTGCCACACTTAATGCCTTTTTGTATAGAACTGGTGAACAAAGTCATAAATTTATGTTGGTACTGGCTTCAAATACCCCTGAACAGTTTGACTGGGCGGTGAATGACCGTCTGGATGAAATGGTACAATTTATGTTGCCTGGACTAGAGGAAAGAGAGCGGCTAATTCGGTTATACTTTGACAAATTTGTTTTAGAACCGGCTACAGAAGGCAAACGGTTAAATTGATACAGTTGAAATTTTCTTTATTTTAAAGTTTTTGTTTTTAGGAGGTTGAAAGTAGATAATTTTGATTATAGTGCATTGTGTAGTCAAATGGCTAGAATGACAAAAGGTATGTCTGGTAGAGAAATTGCTAAAATGGGAGTTGCTTGGCAAGCAGCAGCTTATGCTTCTGAAGATGGGGTACTTACTGAGAAGATGGTTCTGGATAGGTGTAGAGATGCTATAAAACAGCATAGGCAAAAGGTATGACTTGGTAATGCTGGAACTGAATGATTAATTGGGTGTGATTGTAGGTTGAGTGGCAGTCAGAGGAGGAAAAGAAAGAAGCTAAAACCATCTATCATTCAGAAAAAGAAGAATCTTACTCACCTGTAGTCCCAAGGAAAAGCAGTACTGATGATGAAGATAGAACTACAAATAAAAGTAGATAGGTAGTTAATTAGTGCAAAGTTGTAGATTAATAATGACAATTTAGCACACACAGAACTGACTAAGTCACTGCCATTCATCAATTCTGTGTTTGCTTCTGAAGTAAACTAAATTATGTGGCTTAAGTTTACTCCTCTTTATATTATAATTATACACCTAAAATATAGTGTAAATTTCCACAAAAATTTGCATTTAAATGCGTTGGTTTTTTATATTTATATGCAATTTTTTAAAAGTTCCATCTTTTGGTTTTGTTGAATTGTGATATTGTTGAATGAGTGCACCTCAGGGAAATTTATATTAAAGTTCTCTGCATTCATGTTGTAGATTTTCTCGTTTAGATTATCGAAATATGGAATATTGTAGATAAATGGACCTGGTCAAAATATAGCATTTTTTACGACTTTTTATAGTTTAATTACCCCATCGGCAACATTCGTACCGGTTTACAGAAATTTTAAGTTAGTCAATGTTTCGAATTTCGTGCTTCGATCTAGCCAACCTTGAATCAGTCGAGTGGTGGGGACGACTCCCTCTGGGGGAAATTGGCTTATGCGGCTTAGGTTTTATAGACTGGTTGTCAGTTGTCAGCGTAATGTCAATGTCGCTTGACATTATTTACATTATGCGTGCATTAAACGATAAGGTTTAAAATGTGTGTGTAGTGTATCCGTAACATGTAGTGTACGTACGTGACCGTTCGTAATCATCACAAGCAATAATGGCCATTAAAATGCTCAACTCCTTAATTATGCAATAAAAATTTGCTCATCGCGACAATATGCGGCCACAGATAATCAATTTCTCTCTAACAGGAATAGTGGTGTGTTTATTTGTTTTGGTCGGGTATGCGGCCGTCGATCTCGTGCCATGCGACAAAACCCGTCGCGTTTTCACCAACTCGTGGGGCGTCATCACCGACGGCCCCGTCGGCTCCAACTACACCCAAGACAGCCACTGCGAGTGGCTGATCAAAGCCAACGACAGCCGGAAATTCATCACCCTCAGCTTCCGCAGCATGGGCACGGAGTGTTCGTACGACTACGTGTTCGTCTACGACGGCGACTCCTTCAGGTCGCCCCTTCTCGGCAGCTTCAGCGGCAAAACGGAGCCGCAGAAAGTGGTCGCGTCGTCCGGCTACATGCTCGTGCTCCTTTACAGCGACACGAATTACGTGCTGGACGGCTTTCGCGCCGAATTCTCCATCACGGAGTGCCCCAACAACTGCTCCAACCACGGTTTGTGCTACGAACACATCTGCGTGTGCGAGAGCGAGTGGGGCGGCTACGACTGCTCCAAGAAGCTGTGCCCCAGAAACTGCGGCAGTCGGGGCCACCCCCGGAACGGCCACTGCGAGGAGGGGCTGTGCGTGTGTAAGCCGGGCTATTCGGGCCAGAGCTGCAGTCTCTACGATAGGGACAACGAGGGGAACAAGTGGCATTGGTTGTCGCATTCGGAAGGGGGGCTGCAGCCGAGGGCGGCGCACACGGCCGTGTATATAGAAGCCACGGACTCTCTCTACGTTTTCGGGGGGTACAATCTCAATCATATACTCAGCGCGCTGGAGATTTATAGCTTTAGGAATAGCACCTGGCGGGACGAAAACGGCCAGATTTTGCCGGATAAGGGGTTGCTTAGTGCGGTGAATCCTAGTGCTGTGGCGAGATTAATACAGCACGCAGGACCGGACTGGGAGCAGAAGTGGGGCTTGAATTCGCCCAAGTCGTTCTTCAGGAATTCTCTTTATGCTGTTGTTAATGACAGCGCGACGATTTTCACGAGGAGAAGACAGAGACACTCGCGGATACCTGATGGGCACAAACCCAAGGCGAGGTATGGACACGCCGCTTGTGGCCTGAGTGACGGGTTTGTGGTTTTTGGCGGGAAATTAGAAAACGGGAGTCTATCGAACGACTTGTGGTTCTACGACGTTCACACGAGGAGGTGGCACCAGAGGGCTTTATTATCAGAGGTGCAACCGCCTCGTTTGACAAGACACACATTGACGGCAGCAGGAGACGATATATACTTATTCGGGGGAAGTACCGAAGACGGAGAATTCTCCTCTAGACTATTTAAGATAAGACTATCTCCCGACGGTAGCGAAATTTGGAAAGAAATCAAATCCAGAGGAGGCAAAGAACTAGACGTTAGAGTAGTCGCTCACACTACTGTATATCACCCCCCTACTAACTCTCTTCTGGTTTACGGCGGCATAGTCGCAGGAGTCGCTCGTTTCTCTAAACTATCGGACCGAATGTTCGCCTTTCAACTCGACAATCGCCACTGGACCGAAATCCACTATACCCGGGAACACCTCCGGGAAAAATTTGTCCCGCGGGAACGAGCCTTCCACACGGCTAACATCTTTGGGAACTACCTCATCGTCTTCGGCGGCTACTCTCACCGTCACAACAAAGAAGAAATCTGCTACGACAACCAAATGTACCTTTACCATTTGGGTTGCCACACTTGGGTGAACCCAGAGATCTTGGGAAAGACCAACGGCTCTGGTTACCCTAAGCACCAAGGCGTGTTCGCTCACGCCGCCAGCGTCCGCCATGGCAACACTCTCCTCCTAGTAGGGGGTTACCACGGCAACGTAAACGGCGATCTCCTCGCCTATACAGTCCCTCCTATGATAGCCGCTCGAAAAGGCGAGGTCTACGACCCGGAATCCGTCTGCACCCGCCATAAAAACTACGGCGAATGTTCGGCCGACCCTGAATGTGGCTGGTGTTCGGCGGACGAATCCTGCTACGGTCGTACCATCGGGGCGAATTGCACCACCAACCTGCAAACCACCCGGTGCCCGGGGGTGTGCCCCGCGTTGGGCGACTGTCACTCTTGCCTCATCCACGGCCACGTCCGCCCAGAGGTGCAGCCGCTGGTCTCCGCGTCCCATAAACTGGGCCTGGGCGAGTGCACGTGGTGTGTGCAGAACGCGCGCTGCCACCATAAGGACGACAATTACGGGGTTTGCGGGCTGAGGGAGGACAGCCCCAGTCAGATCCCCGGCTGGTGGGGTCCCAAGGGAACGGAAGTCATCGAGCCGAAGCAATGCAGGGAACTGGACATGAGGCCGGGATTGACCTTTGTGAAGTACTACCACCCAGTGAATTTTACGCAGCCGGATCACGTTGCTATAATTAATGCTACCACGGTAAGCAAATTAGAGGAGATTTATTGCACTGCGGATGTACGCTCGGGAATCCTTGAAACCGGCAAGAGTAACCTTTGGTCAGTCATGGCTTGAGTCAATAAAGTAAAAGAACGAATTTGGTTTTATTTCTTGCGTTAAGATTTGACATTGCGAACATGCGAAAAGGCTATTTGTGCCAAGATTGTGTTTACTCGAAAATTTGCGCTTTCGTAACGTTTATTTCAGAATGTCAAGAATTTTGCATGTTGGGAGATTAGATATGCATGACTGTTCGTACTGATAATGGGAATCGGCCGAATGTTGTAGACTGCGGAGTCATCTTGTAAAATAATAGGCACAATTTATGATTCACCGGATAATTACACGGTCATTTACTTCAATGAAAAAGTAACTCGTAGTAAAAACGAAGGGAATGTTTTCCTTCGAATTGATAAACCAAGGATCGTGTTTTTGTGAATATCGACCAGGCGCTTCGGAGTTTCATTCATTTCCAAATTATTGCTGCAGGTGTTTTCGTTACAAAATTCATCAAGAAGTGTCTTCACAACTATAATTATCAAGTCCAATCAATTTAGTTTACTAACGCTTGGCTCCAGGCACGAGATTTCGGAGATAAATGATACAAGCAGTATTTTTTCTAATTTAAGTCAACGCATTTTGACATTGCAGAGAAATAGTGAGCAAACACTACAACTAATGGAATTGCGATAATAAAACACCGATAAAATGTTTTTGTGGCTGTAGCATATATTTACGTTTCGCATAAAAGACTTGCAACTAATGTTCAGTGCATGCAGTTACGTGCATGTAGGTGTAATTATGCCAATTAATTTCTTGAATTAGTACGAAGTCTATAGGAAAGTTCCACGAGAGGTAATACAACGAGTAAAACCTCCACGAAGATCTAGATATTCGAGACGCGAATTTATGGATTTCCTATTTGTATCTCTTTTTTCAATGCCGTTGCTCTTGACCTTAAAATAGCATGGAATACAAAATTTATAATGCAATAGTTGAATCCTGTTGTAAATCATATAATATTAAAGTTTAAGGGTGAAATCGTTAAAAGTGTAGTATAAATAACACTACCAAACAGACAAAAACACGCATTGAACTGTTGATAATTGAGATAGTGTAACAATTAATAAAGAACAAGAAATATTGATTTAAATTCTGTGTTGGTTATTGATTCACTCTGACACTGAATATTTTAGTTATGAGATGAATATTTTAAATCGTGAATTATTCCTCTCAGGGACTCTTTTTATACTATCACATTGCACAAGTAATAAAATACTGAACCATTAACCGTAATACCGAATTTTACCGGGAAACGAAATCTTTGCTTTGATTTACACACAACGGAGAGTTTTACAATGCCATGATGAATAGGAATTCCTTGCATGACGAAACATATGGCCTGAAATGAAATAGAATTGGCTAATTTAGTGTTTCTCATTTGAAAATTTCTAAGTTTGTATTAATTGCATTATTATCATGTGTAGGGTATAGAGGTTAAATGAATGCATAAATGGGTGTACGATGTATTAACATTCGGGTTAACTCTCTTTCCGGGTTGTGTTTGTTGTGGGTGATTGGTTTCAATATGTACATAACTAAGCAGATTTCATTGTTAATTCGATTCGGATTAGGTGATTTTTGTGCAAAATAAATTTAATTTTTTGTATCTGTGATATCCATGAAACGTAAACTAATTTTGTTTTGTTTTATCAATACGTTATGTCCTTGGTTGGTTAAACTGAGAAATAATTAAATTGTGGTCACAATTGTGCTGCACATAAAGAACATTTTTAAGTCCAGGTTTTAAAACTTTTAATTGCTCACGTGTGGCCTTGTAAACAGTATTTAAGTTGGTACACTGATTTATATAGTTAAACTATGTTATAAAGTGTGAATTTTCAAAGAACTTTAAACGTAAGACTATTAAATGTCGGTTTACCTGAAAAGTTTAAGAGTAACACATCATTTAAAAAAAACCGGCCGATTTTTTTGAACCGGTAATTTTTAAACTTTAAATGCGTTTTAGCTGTTACTATGGTCATTTTTAAATCTTACTTTCATTTTGCGCTCAGTCTTCAAAGGTCGATCAGTGGAGTTTTTTGCGAGGACCTGTGTTTGTCTGCGAAAGGTGTTTAAATCGGGCTCGACGAGTTTAAAATTTTTTAAGACAATTCCTAATAGTGGCAGTAAGCAATAAAAATAACTTCGATTTTACCTTCAAAGTGCCCGATGGCTGCTCATTAATCGAAGTGGAAGGTGAAATTGCGATGAAAAGGGTCATATTTTAATTATTAATTGACAAGGTGAATGAAAGAGTTTGATCACAAAGTCCTTGTATAAGATTTTGCTAAAATTGTAAATTGTGTTTTTATTATTTAGCCCCATATAATGAAGGCGGAAGTGACTGACATCCATGACTTTTGCCTAAAAATTCTCCGTTTAACAGATCCACTAGTGATTTTTGTTGTAAATAATAATACCAACTGAGTTTTAAAATCGCAGACTACTCAGATCTACTTTGTTTCGATTGCATGTTATAAAATTACGTGCGATTAACACCAAAAGACTTCATGGCGTTGCGAGATGTTCGACCGTATTTCTAAACGTAAGTCGTAACTACATTAGTAAATATATAGCTTGTCAGGTAGACTTATCTACCTAATTAGTGAAGTCAATTTCATACGACGTACAATTAGAAAGTTATTCGAGCGTTTACTTGCCGCATTTTACTGGATGCACACATTTTTAGATATTTTGTACCAGGGTTTATAAATTCGACACACAAAAAATTGACGAGGTAAATTGCAAACAACTGTTTAAAAATATGAAAAAAGTAAAAATTGATTTTGCTTTATTTCACGAATTTAAAAGAATTTTAGTAGTGTAAGTGTCTTTTTCAATCTACTACCAAAAAGTCAAGAATTTCAGGTGAGGAGAAGACAATTTATAAAGATTGAAAAAAATCCAAGTAAGGGAGGTAATGTGTTTTCAAAAGAAATAGAATACGTCTACGTATATTATTATCTGAATTTTTTTAATCATATGGTATATTCTCCGTTCACCGGTGGTAGGCGTTAACAGTATGACTAGCGTAAGATCTTTGTATCTGATTGAGTTAAATGACTTCTTGCGTAAAGTAAGGTATTTCACTACAGGTGAGAGCATCCGTGACTGTTTTCACGTACGAGTTTTAAATACAACTAATTTTTGGACAAAGTAGCACTGTACTAATCTACAAAAAGGCAACGTACATTCAAAAGTGACTAGATTTGGAGTCAAATTTTGGTAGCGGTACTTATTTCTCGAAATTTGTGTACCTATTTTATATATTTTTGTGTAGAAAATTATGGTAATTTTGGTTCCTGTAACATCCAAAATGTACAATTTTTAGACACATGCATGTAGGTGATGAAATGCAACTGTTGTTTGTTTGGCGCCACTCCAAACATGCAAGTAAACAGTTGGGTTAAAAAGTTTGTAGGGAAAAGAAATTAAAAATAGCTTGTTTTAACGTGTGTATATTAACTACAATGTTCGTCCTTTAAACACTGATTACTTATATTTAGAAGCTTGGAATTTCAACACTTTATAAATAAGAATGTTGTTGTATAAATTTGTACACCTTTTTAAAAGTTGTTGTTTTGAATAATATAATAATAATTTGGTAGTATTCTTTGGTCATAACGTATTAGTCCTAATTTTAATTTTAAATTTATAACTCTATTTAAGAACATCTGAAATCAATAAGTTTGCAAAAAGTGCGATCTACAAGGCGTTATAACCGTTTATTTTCTTTTGAGTGTACTGCTTAATGCCAGTTATTATTTTTACACGAATATAATTATTGGCTTTCTTGTTATCATGTTGAAATACTCCCAGGCATGTGATATAACGTGGTTTAATTTTCACCTTCGATTAGCACCATTTTTTACTCCTGTTTTTACAAGTGAATTTAGCTAGCAATTATTTAATTTATTTTGACCTTAAGGAAGATTAATTGGGAAAATTTGTTCATTTCTGACAAGAAACACGCGAAGTAAAACCCAACACAAAATGCAAAACTGTGGACTATGAAAGAAGACTCTTGAGCTTTGATACAACAGTTTGTTTGTCGATAAATGTGTTTAAACGTTGCAGAAATTTTGCAATTAAATAACAAAAATTTTACATTAACACTTTATTACTTATTAATTAATAAATATTTCTTTATTGCTGCACTGATTTGACTTTTAGCACCCGATATTGATAGCGTTGTCAAGCGAAATTGGAGTCTGAATGTCGAGGTTAAAGTTCGTCAATGTTTTATTTTTTAAGATGTGAAATTCGAAAAATTGATTGAGAACTTAAAAAGTGAAAACAAAAACAACACGATTTAATTTTTAAATTGTGATTAATTTTGTTATTATTATTTTTAACGTGCGCTTCAGTCGAGTGTTACAACAAGGAAATGTATTATTAATTCCTGATAGCTGTTTCATTTTACGCAGCAAAAACCTGCAAAATTACGTTGCTTACGTATTATATAGTCGTCGTTCACACCTGGTACTTGCGGTGACCTGGTGAATGAACAGATTTGCATGCTGTTCGAAAACAGTAAAAAACTAGATTTGGCGTCAAGTTTATTTGTGGTTTCGTTGGAAAATTTGGAGTTTTTATTTTTTTTTTTCGAAACAAACTAAATAACGATTTTGAAATCGGTTTCACACCGATGTGGTATTTGCAGAGCCTTGGGCAAATCCTAGTTCAACCCGCTCCACGTTATATTTAACAACTGGTTGTGACCGACGTAACCATTCCATCGACTTCAAGTTTAAAAGAATTCAACTTTTATTCAACCGAAAAAAATGATCAGCCTTTGAACCCAAATACAACGAAACAGAATTGTGACCTTTTGAAAAGTTTCAAGTACGAACGGCTGCGCATTTACTAATTACACGCTATTGCCTAGAAAACGTCGATAATTTGAACTGTATTGAAGGTTACTTGCCGGCTTTTCTATAAGAAAGTTTTTGTAACCAACTTATATTGTTTGCATGGTTAAACAACACAAATTTCTTGGCACACTGCGCCAGGCAATTAAAATCGCGTCGACCCGCTCCTAAGTAGCTCGATTGGCCAATTGGTGAAGGTGGTTTTTAAAATGTTGCTGTTTTTGCATGTAGGTGGATTTCAACAGTCCCACTAGCCCCATGCTGAGGGTTGACGCAACTGCAGGGGGCGAAATGGTGGCCAGGCTATTAGGGTTCTTGTGTTTGCCCTCCGACTGGCAGGAAATGCTCAATATCTGCATTAGCCACTGCAGCGCCAGTCTGAAAATTTCCGATAATCTAGTAGCCAACGTTTCGGCCGAAACCAAGGAATGCACGTCAAGAAAGTGGCCGATTAACGAAACGTCGAATAACGTTTCTGTGGATTTTGAGTCTCATAAGGTTGTCAATTTGGGGGCGTATAATAGTCATCATCAGAGCAAAATGGAATTGCAACACCATAAAGATTCTGACGACACGCCAAAGGTGAGTTGCTGTGGAATAATGACGACCGTGAAGTCGGTAATTAATCTGTTTATGCGGTTAGAAACGGTGATTTGTATGACTTGGAGGACTGAATGTGAAGGAAGCTATCAATTAATTTCATTAGTATGGGGAATCGTATTTGTTTGCTGCCGTGCTCGTGAAAACTGTCTTGGAAGAATATCAGTGGCAATTATTTCGTGTTTTTTTTTAATTTACCTGAGCTGACGCAAGTCATGCAAATTGCTTGCATAAATAATGCGGCTATGATAACTATAATAATTGTTTGCGTTGGTATTCTTGGATTGGTAATGACGTTTCTGAGTATTTATTGTTAAAATATTTTGTCAAGTGCCATTAAAAATCTCGTTATTACGCAAGTAGTAGTTGTAACCTTATCCAGGTTGTAGATCACTATACTTGAGAAATTGCCCTTACTGGTCTATAGATTTTATTATAAACAATGCAGATTTAATTACTGGATATCCTTGAGTTAGTTATAATAACTACCTGAACGTTAAAGTATCAGTCTACATGTGAGGTCAAATATGAGTGTTACACACAAGACTACATGGAATTTTCGCAAATTCCTCTTGGTTGTTTGTTTGATGATGAGATGTGTTTATTCAAATTAATTTTTTTGGTTTATATTTATTTCATAATCTTCAACGCACAATTTTTTCAATAATCACTTTCTGAGTGCAAGGAAATTTTCTAGATTTTTTTGGTTGATGGAGGTGTCGTAATTTTATTGTTTAAAACTTGTCACCTTGTTGTTATCGTCTTAACTAATAAGTCAGGTTTTTGTTATCTCAATGTGTTTGCATTTATATGTATTATTTTACTTGTAACCTTTCGCAAAGGCCTTGTATTAGCGTCACGGCTTATGTTCTATGAAAATGGGTTGACCATAAGAACCTTTTATTTCCTTGGATCTTGTGTGTGCATAAATGCCATACAAAATTCAGAAAATTGTAGCAAAAAAGCCCCACTAGAATATGGTTAGTGACTGTGCTACATTAAGTTTCTAGGTATTTTGACAATTATGGCGTCATTAAGCTTAAGCTTATTCAAGCATTAAAAAATTGGCAAAACTGCATCCAATTTTGCGTCTCTGAAAAAAGTAAGTTTATCATTAAAACAAGTCATTCTTATACATGGTTACAAAATGAAGACTTTTTTGGGTAAAATAATGCATTGTTTTCTTGTTTTGGAAACTCAGGAGTGGCTTGGTGTTGACACATTTAAACTGTTGATGAGTCAGGTGTTGCTATAATTTTTATGTTCATACTAAAAAAGAGCTTGTTAGTATTGTAATCATGTTGTTTCCTCTAGTGAGTTTTTACAATACAAGGAAATAATTATCTTAATTCAATTGTTTGATACGGAATGGAAAGTAAATGATGCGTTTTATGAGTATGGGAGGAGAAATAGTTGGAAATTCTTGTTCATTTTAGATAAGTGTTTTTTAGGATTGAGATTTATGGCTCTTTTTCCTTCAATAATGTGGTTTGGTCATAAATAAATATCGCTTCCGGATACTGAATTAATGAAGCTTATTAAGGCATAAAAACACCACAGATATTGACCTGAACCGAATTACCAGGTGACTATTAATGATTGCAGCAAACTTTTGTGTTGGTGATTCTGAATTATTGGCAGCAATGCTAGTATGTCAGTTCATAGTTGTCAATTTTGACGTGCGCACGCCTAAAAACCAATGAGAAGATGGCAGTGTCACTGAATTGATGTCCAAAATTTGAATTTGAGATCAGGTATGCCATTATTAAATTTTAAATATGTTGCTAACTCAACAAAAAAATCACAAATATTAATAGTCACTCGGTATTTTGGCACGGGTAAGGTTTTAGTACCTAATTTTATAAATTCACCATTTCTAGCTGTACGTAAAGTCTTTGCCATTTCTATTGAAACACCACTTGTTAATCGTAAATTTGGCAACGTTCATATTCAGACAATTTTCTAACTAAAAGCCGTCAACAGGTGGTGTTTCAATAGAAATGGCAAAGACAATAGCTTCAATTTCAGAAAGTTGGTCAGAATACTAATCTCCAGTAAATTTACCTATGCATGTTGTGGTTGTGTTGTCCTGAATTTGAAATTTAAATTTCGTGCTGCGAGAAAACAAAAAACATCTCGAAACCGCATTTGAACAATTAAAAATAAGGAAAATCACGCAATAACTTGGACAACCATGCGTAGAGAAATGAAGTCCTCGGTTTGGAATTTGAATGCAGACATGGCATTGAACACGTTATGTCAAAATTTGTTGTTTAATTTTGTCTGAAATTTCACAAAAGGACAATTGTCTAAACAAAATGAAATCGCATTCGATGCCACGGTCCCCCTCTAACTAATATAATTAGTGTAGAACCAGTTAATTAACGATTTTCTAATTTGAAATGTGTAACTTTGACTATCCCATCAACATTTTCGTTCATGTTAAGATTTTTAACTACATATTTCTAATATGTACAATTTAATAAAAATGATGGAAAATGTTCTCGTAAAACACGTGGCGCAAATTCATTTATTCAGGTTAACTTATTTTAAATTAATGGTATATCTAAAAGTTCTGGATATTTTTACCTAGGTTATTATATTATTCACAATTCATAACTCCTCAGCCGAAAATGATAATAAATAGTTCATTTATGGTATTTAAACTAATTTTAACTTAAATGTTGATTGATTTTGAAAGAAAAGACCTTGAGAATTATCATCAGTTAAATTAATATCATGGTGGACTCGAAATGAATTTATATTAATTTGTTATTTTCTGATATCCAAAGTATTTTCTCACAGCTTGAATTTGAACATTTATTCTCGAATTATTACTTTGATTTTGACTGTACTTAACCTGTGCTTGTTCTGTTTATCTCATGTACTTAAGTTAACCTCATGTAAATTCTGTTATTTGAAATTGTTGATAGAGTATATTGCAGTGCAGCCACAAATATACTTTCACGAGGAGACGCCCTTCGCACCGCTATCATTATGCTGTTCCCATGCTGCGTAATTTGTTTTTCGTAATAACTTGTGTATTACTATCCAGTTACTTTGATGACGTTTTTCTTCTTTTGTGTGTTTTATCCAGTGCTATTCAAATATTTGTATCGATTTGTAACATTTGATTTCATTTTTGAAAGCTGAGGAAGATTTTTGGTTTCCAGATTTTTTCTCAAGCAGAATGGAGAAATAAACAGTTTGACATTTTCCAACTTTGGGGTTCACCACTTTGTATTTCAAGACCAAATTTTGAATGTTCGCGGGTTTTAAAATGTTATATTCTTGTCTCATTTTGGCGATATTATCACAGTGTGGATCCCAATATAACAATGTTTTATTGATAGTTTATCATATACAGGTGCGTGAAACGTGGCATTTTGGAGTGGAAATACTACGAAAAGAGTATCTTGAGTCCTCATAATCAATTTGTCACGTAGGTTTTGACCATTTGAGTGTTGATATGGGGATATTTTAACAAAATCTTGTTTTGAAGAAGAGATTTTTTTTTACATTACCATTAACAACTAAGTTTCAGATATTTTTTTTTTCATAAATTGATCTTCAGCAGTAGAATAACTAATCAAATACACAATGGTTGTCCGAGAAAAGTATCCCAGGAATTTCAAGTATCTGCTTTTGATTGTGGTGTCGTAAATTTTATAGATCATTCAACAAAAGTGCTTTAATAAATGTTTGTATTTATTAATGTACTGAAACGAATAGTCGATTGTTTACGTGTTAAACCTGAGTATTTAGGTTGAAAATGTAAAAACGATTTTTACTTCCCGTTACATAGTTAAGATAAGTATTGTAATGAGATCATTACGGTATTCATCAAAATTTTTGTTTTCTTAATGTTTTAATTAAAAAATAAAAGTTGATATTCATCCCCCACAGAAAGCTGATGACGTTAGATCGAAAATTATTAAATAAACCTTCCTCAAAAATAAGCCTTCGTATGTATTTTGGTTTGGTTGCGTTGCAGAAATAAATAGGTGCAAAATAACTGCAGATTTTTTTTGGCAAATGACATCACACACTTTTAGTTGGTTTCTAAAATAGTAGCAACGGAATACCTTTACGTACACAACAACCATTTATAAATGTGTTACAGCTTCAAGTGATTTAATGTAGTTGAGCTTAGCTCCAAAAATAGGCACTGAAAAGTAAATTCAATTATATTGTAGGCTTTTAAATTTTTTTCATGACCGATTTTTTATATTGTAGTCAGTTTTTGTCCCAGCAGTGGTAAAATTTTTAATCCAATCTTAGGTGCGATACCCACGGTGTGGCAACCACACACATACGGCACACTTTCTAGATGTTTTACGGAGTTCAGACACACCATGGAAGCGTACAATTGAATTATAATATGTAGGCATTAATTCAATTTGATATTTCATAAATTTAATACAGCGTCACTTTTCCTTCAATTATTTTATGACCTCAACCTCCTTTATATTCCATTTTTAGTTTCAACAATATTGAACTGACTGACTTTTCTTTAAGGTGTTCACTTTCGAATACCTCAAACCCTACGCCAACGGCACCTGCACCCAATACAAGAACTGCCTCCACTGCCTCACCGACTCCCAGTGCGGCTGGTGCGAGGCCAACAACGAATGTGTCTCTCGCCTGGAAGACGAAAGCATCACTTGTACCGCAGAAGACGGCTACTGGCGCTACTTGACCCTCCAACCAAGCGCCTGTTCCAACTGCTCTAACTACATTTCCTGCGAAAGCTGCGTGACTTCTGGCTTGTGCCACTGGTCTATAGAGGACGCCAAATGCTCGCGAGTGGTGCAGAAAGCCGAGGCGGCAACCACGGTGGATCAGTGCCCCACGCCGTGCTACAGACGACCCGATTGCGCGTCGTGTTTGGACCAAAAAGGAAGATGCGTGTGGTGCGAGGCGACCCAGCAGTGCTTCAGTTTTTCGGTATACACAAGCGAGTACCAGTTTGGCCTGTGTAGAGAGTGGCTCGATCAAGCGTTTCCGCTGGTCACGGCGCAGGAGAATAGTATATTACCGGCGCCCCGAGCTGAAGAACAGTGCAAGTCGTGTTCGTTGCATACTAATTGTTCGCACTGCTTGAGTTCATTGAGTTGTGGGTGGTGTTACAATGTCTCCAATCCTATGACGGGTAAGGCGTGATGTTAAGGTTAATGTTATAACTGTATGATGGTTCATGAACGTGTCTCTGTGTGTTGAATTCGGGGATTTTTGTAGTAGTAATAGCAATTTCTGCGGTGTAATTATGAATGGAATTGTTTGAAATGAATGATTTTAGATGTTACGGTTGACTTGATGGGAAGTACCTAATTCAGTGATAATCCGTAATGTAGTGTTTACAACAAAAACAACAATGACGGGTATTAATGAGCCCGATAGAATTGACAACGCAACCCGGAATACATTTCCAAAGGATTCGTAGATGAATTTATTTGTTTTTCAAAAACGTTAAATATTTGCGAAATTTACAACAGAAATCTTTTTAATCAATGACATTTATTTATCGATATACCAATACATCTGAAAGAAAGAATATACTCTTTTGAAAATGTGCAAAAAAAGAGTGCGTCGACCCAGGGACACACGGATGGAGTTTTAACTCTACCTTGTCAGTTTATATAAATTAAACACGTATACGCGGCGACGTCATTAGTTTTCTCTTAAAAAATAATAAAAACCAAAAATATGTCGCATTTGTATTTTTTGACAAGCTGACGATTAATGATGATGATTGGGTTAATCAAAGTAAATATCCATATATTGTCAATTGTTGTTCATTATAAAATATACCTTTTTTATTTATTAATTGTATTTATGGAATCCGTGACGATTAAATTCAGTGATTATCACCCGCTACTGAGTCCCAGCGATCCAGCGCGTCATGATTACATTTGTGGTGGCACAATAATAGCTGGGTAAGTGAAGTAAAGATGAGCGGCTCGGTAGCCTAGTGGTCAAGGCATCTGCCCGGCATACTAGTTCATCTCTCTCTCTCTTTTCATAGCGCGGCGTTACATGCCTATGTTCAGACTCAGTTTAAACTGATGTCGGTGTCGGTACGGAAAAACTTTAGCTCGTAGCTCGAACTCGACATCCTATTCCGGTGCGCGTCGTATACGTGTTCTATAATACGAAAAGAAAGGAGTTAAAACTTCAAAATATGGGCACCCGCATTAAAACATCTGGTGAGGTAAATTCTATGGATTCTCCTATTTTATTCTCCAAATATTCCACACTGTTAATTGGCGTTAAGTAAATTATTTCTTTAACTGTGCCCCCTAGAAAAAATATATAGGTGTAATATCTGAACTTCCCGATCCACCTAGCGAAGGCTACATCGACGTAATCCCGCACTCTTCTATAATAATGCTCAAGAGCACTGAAGCTATGAATCTTGTTGTATTTCCAAATTTATTTTAAATTGTCTCAAAAAAAAATGGGAATCAATAATTTGGTTCCTGAAAATCCCAAACCAAACGTTTGTGGAGTAAACTGTTTGAAAAATTTCTTTATAACCCAGTGCGTATTGTCGTGACTGTAATAACGACAGTCATTAACCCTGATATCCCTTTCTCATTGTAGTTTTTTCTGCATTCCAAAATGAAAAAAAATCAAGGTAAAGTTAAAGTCATTTCCAGCCAAACTGGAAACTCTCCGTCTAGTCTTAGTATCTATATTTAAGTAAGTTGGCTGGCATCAAACAATTACTTTTAGTGAAGAAGTATCTAATATTTTCGCGATCTTTTATAATCAAACGTAGGCAGTGCTTTTACTTTCTTTATTAAAGGAATGTGCGTCCAAGGCGACTTCAACAACCCACACGTCAACTGCTCGGAAGCTCTGGGCTTACTCGACGCAGAATGGGCCTACGCCCAATGCCCTGACGTAGACGAGTGCGGGCTAGGCATCCACGACTGCCACCCCCAAGCCGACTGCACCAACACAGACGGCTCCTTCAGCTGCCACTGCAAAAAAGGCTACATCGGAAATGGACGCACCTCCTGCGTCCGTACTTGCTACAACGTGTGCGTCCACGGAAAATGCCAAGGCGAGCCAGACTACGCCTGCAAGTGCAACTTGGGGTGGTACGGGGATGACTGCTCCAAAAATTGCGGGTGCAACAACCACTCAGCGTGTCCGGAGGGTGAAGGCATCTGCGAGGAGTGTATGGAATGGACGACCGGGGAGTTCTGCGAAGAGTGCAAACCCGGGAGCTATGGAAATGCGACAACGGAAGAAGGTGAACACCAATAAATTTATGACGAATTTAGTAAAATTTGAATTTAGGGTGCCACCAGTGCGAGTGCAACGGCCATGGTATCAAAGAGTTGGGCGAATGCGATAACGTTACTGGTACTTGTTATTGCCAAGATAATACAGAAGGTGAACACTGTGAAAGGTGTAAGCTCAACTATTATGGGGATCCGAGGAATGGGAAACAGTGTTATTATCAGTGTGAAGCCAGAGGTGTTCTGGATGAATCTCATGGGCAAGGGATCAGTTCGATGCAAGCGTACGCGGCTCCGTGGGGAGGTTCGCCCACAAGGGAATGTTTATGGATTATAAAACCCTTGGTGGATTATGGATCTCCAATTATTCAACTACAGGTATTATTTTAAATTCATTTATGTATTAAGAGGGTATTACAGTGATCTTGTTGTTACGAGAAGTTTACGTGCAGAAAAATAAAGACTAAAAAGGGCGTGGTAAGCTGGCCGACACCCAGCAAGGTTGGGGCGTAATTTATGAGATTCGTAATATCTGTTAACAGTTCGGCACCCGCTTGTCGTATATTACTACTCGAGTTCCCTTCATCGATAGTTAGATCTATTTTCTTGTAAGAATTTGTTAAAACGCCCACAAAAAGTAATAAAAAATCTCCACACGCGATCATTTCTAATCTACAATTTTGAAGTTTATAAATACGCAAAAATGTTGTGTTTTTGAAGTATAAAAGTAAACACTTGAAACAATTTCCGTTACCTATTTTAATATCAACCGACTAGGCGATTTTGAACATATTATGGATTTTAATCTTTTTTAAATTTTATAACATACAGATAATAATTAAAGAGCGGATTTATATGCACAAATATTTGTTAAAATGGGCGCATATATATGCACAAAATTTCTTGGATGTATGCACAATTTTTGTTAAATATGCACAATTTTATGTACATATACAATTTGCCTCCGGCGACTTAGAAAATAATAAACTATATTTACATTTATTACATATAACATATTTTCATAGAAATCATAAATAATACGATATAACCTATACTTTCTTTTTTCCATTGTAAAATTCTGTCTTCTATCTGTCACTAACATTTTGTTTGAAAAAAAAAAATTTGTCTGCATCAACAGATGTAATTGGTGTGTACTTTAACCTACTTTTAATGTCCTGACTTAATTCTACATTAATATCTAGCGATTCGCCACTTAATTTAATTACCTTTTACTTTTTTGCTTACAAAATCGCCTATTTTCGCCCAAATTTTCAAAATATTGGTTTGAAAATTTTTATTAACTGCACAGATTCAATTAAAGACATGCACTCTATTTGTAGTTTTGTAGTCGTCGCCGAAACAAATTGATAATACGCTTTAATAAATGCTATTTCGTTCAGAAAATAATGTTTTTTTGAAAATTTGATCACATACTGTGATGGCACTGTAGTCATCATTTGAAAATTCTAATTTTTTAATTGTTCGAAATGTTCCGCGTAAAAAATTGCGGCGTTTAACCAAGTACGGGTTCAGGTGGCAGTGGGGTATTTGGCAACTTTTCTTTTTAACATTATTAAGAAATTTACAGTTGAAAATTCTTGCCTAACTTTCTCATCAACTCTATTTAACCGTGCGCCAATCATGTATTGTAACTCAAATTCAGATGTAAAAGTTTAAGTTCTTAAACGGCCTTAACCATATATCCGACAGCTAACTAGAATCTTTTTTGTCGGAATAACATCAACAAGAAAGAAATTCACGAAAGATTCATCAATAAATCTTAATACAGTCAAGTGGTTGTTTTTTTCTAATTGTTTGCATGTAATTAAATAAGATTTACTTTAGTAATATCAAATTATTAAGAAAAAAGAGAAAACAAATCTCTACGATTAGGTTAAAAAATGAAAGTGTAAAAGCACTTATGAGGACAGTTTAAAATAAAAAAACTTTGCAGAGTCCCGTACGATTTTAGCCTAAGTAACGGTGGAATTGCCCGTATAACATTTATTACAATTTTCTAAAATCGCTTAGCAAGGAAGGGGAATATTGGCACTAAGCATCGCTTTTTTAGCACTTCTTTAAGAAAATTTCCATCATTTTTCGACCGCCTTTGAATATTATCTAAAGAGATTTTTTTGTAAATTTCGACCTCTAGAAATTGCTTTCTCCCTCATTTTATCGAAAACTTTTGCCATTTTTCCAGAATCAACCAATGAGTATAAATATAACTTTAAGATTAAAAATAATAATTTCTAAACCGAATATTTCCAAAATCTTGCTTCAGGCCCAAAGCACGCTATGTTTTTCAGATCAGTACATAATCGATATCCCAGAATTTGTTTTGAATTTTTTCACAAATTCTTGAATAGCTCAATTTTTCAATATGAAAATTTCCTGCGCAAATTGTCGAAAGAGATTTTTTTTGTAGATTTTGACCTCCAGAACTTACTTTCTGTCTCATTTCTATGAAAACTCGTACCACTTTTCCAGAATCGCCGAATGAAATATGGCAATTTTTAGGATAAAAAAAATATTTTCAAATCGAATATTTCTAACATCTTGCTCCGGGACCATAAACAAGATATATTTTTGTATTTAGTACGTCTACATCTATATCCCGGATTTTTTTTTGTGAATTTTTAGAGCACTTTTTCAAAAGCTCAGTTTCAACACTCCACGCGTATGAAAATTTTGATGTTTTTTAGATCACCTTTAAATATTATTTAAAGAGATTTTTTTGTAAATTCCCAACTCTAGAAGTTCCTTTAGGCTTCATTTTTTCGAAAGCTAGTACCGTTTTTCCAAAATTGTCCAATAAAGTAAGGTTATTTTTGAGATTAAAAATAAATTAATTCCAAACCAAATATGTCTGGGACATTGGTCCGGGATCATAAAGACGCGATGTTTTTCGAATCGGTACGGACGAGTAGACATCTATATCCTAGAGTTTGTTTTGAACTTTTTGACAAATTCTTCAATAGCTCAATTTTTCAATATCGAAATTTCGAGCTTTTTCGACCACCTTCACAAATTGTCAGAAAAGATTTGTTAGTAGATTTAGACCTCCAGAAGTTTCTTTCAGTCCCATTTCTTTGAAAATTCGTACCACCCAATGAAATATGGCCATTTTTATGTTTAAAAAAAATTGAACATTTCTAAAATCTTGCGCCGGGATAATAAACAGAGTGTATTTTTGTATTGAGTACGTCCACATCTATACCATGTGTTTCTTTTATTTGGCCAATCCCTGTAACTTTTTAATTTTTAAACATAAACCTGTAGTTCTTGGAACAAAGTTGTATCATTTTAAGAGATCTATGTGATGGTAACTACACATTTTCCGGTAGAACCAGAAATGACGTGAACTTAATTTTTTTAAATGGAATACTAGGTATATAAAAATTTATAAATGATTGAGTATTCCATTAAAAAAAATTAAGTTCACGTCATTTTCTGGTTCTACCGGAAGTGAGAATAAAAATGTGAGGTTGCCATCACATAGATTTTTAATGTTACAAATTTTCTCAACGAACTACTGGGTTATCTTTAAGAATAAAAAAGTTACAGAGGTTGTATCAAATAAAAGAAACCCTGTATATCCTGTAATTTTTTGTGAATTTTTAGACCACTTTTTCAAAAGCTCAAGTTTTTCAACACCTCACAATTAAGAAAATTTCGATCTTTTTTAGACCACATTTGAATATTATTTAAAGAAGTTTTTTTTTTTGTAAATTTCAGCATCTAAAAATTCCTTTAGGCTCCACTTCTACTACCGTTTTTCTAGAATCGTCCAGTGAAGTAAGGTTATTTTTGAGATAAAAAAAAATCCAAACCAAATATGTTTCGGACCTTGCTCCGGGATCATATAGACGCTATGTTTTTCGAATTAGTACGTAGACATAAATATCTCAGAATTTGTTTTCAATTTTTTTAAATTTTTCAGTTGCTCAATTTTTCAATATGAAAATTTCGAACTTTTTTCGACCACCTTCGCAAATTGTTTAAAGAGATTTTTTTGTAGATTTCGACCTTCAGAAGTTACTTTCGATCTCGTTTCATTGAAAGTCCTACTTTTCCAGAATCACCCCATAAAATATGGAAATTTTTAGGATAAAAAAAAAGTTTTTAAAATTGAAGATTTTAAAGCTTGCTCCGGGATCATATATAATAGGATATCCACATCTATATCTTGGAATTTTTCAGAATCGTCCAATGAAGTAATGTTATTTTTGAAATTAAAAAAAAAATCCAAACCAAATATGTCTCTTTGCTCCGAGATCATAAAGATGCTATGTTTTCGAATTAGATTTTCAAATCGAATATTTCGACATCCTACTCCGGGGTCATCAACAAGATCTATTTTTGGATTGAATATGTCTATACCTACATCCCGGAATTTTTTGTGAATTTTAACCATTTTTTCAAAAGTTCAGTTTTTCAACACTCCGCACTTCGATCTTTTTTAGACCACTGTCGAAGTTTGTTTAAATGAATAAAGACCAGCGAACAGTAAGATAAATATATTGCTAGTGACAAGTGTTAGATAAATAAGAATAATAAGAATGGAATAGTATTGTGACCGTGCGGTCGAGATAGTTGAATGTTAGTTACGAATTGAGAATTGAGAATTGAATGTGTAGGAATGAGTTACGAATTAAGAATGAATGCTACCCTGTGTTCCAAGGTGGGGGTGGCTCTGGCTCCCACCCTTACGGGTGGGGAGGGGTGAAACAGGTCCCCGCCAGAGGCTCTAACATAACCCCCCGCCTTGAAACAATTACATTGTTTTAAGACCAAATAAACTATATGGAATATTAGAATGATAATATGATGTAGTAATGATAAATAATACAGATGAAAATACATGAATTGGATGGACATTGTTACAGAAGCAATGAACATGAAGAAACGCATTAACTAAAAAAGATATCTAAAACAAATTGCATGTGTACAATATCAGTGAATACACAATATTTACAATAGACCTAAAAGTAAATTTACAACAATTATAATGTACCAAATCAATGAATAATACGATGAGCGAATAATATGGCGAATGAATATAACAATAAGACAAATATGAATTAATGTACATAATACAATAAACCAACAAGGAGATGCATATAACAAATTGACAAGATGTATGCAATATGGTTAAATAGAATGATAATGCATGCGATTGCGAAATTATCTTTTGCACTTCACCGACACTACACACACCACCACTTCCTTTCCAAAATGATGTTGGAGGGCCGCGTCCTAACCGCCACTGTAGACGCGGATATTTCTCCTCCTTCACGAGGACCCATCTTGCCATTCCTGGAACGTTGGAAGATGGCCTTTGCCACCCTAACCTGCCTTTCAGTGTGGTCAAATATTCGAGGTACCACGACTTCCAGAAGTGTTGATGGTAAGCGTGGATGAGGTGCCAAGGGATGGCCTGTTGACGGGAACGACGGCGTGGTCTTTTCCTGAGGGACCAGTTGATGGCTGGCCGAAAGAGGCACTGGCCAGGTATAAATGCGACCAAATTATTGCGGTCGCTGGACAGAGGCTTCGAAAGGCGCGAATTCAGGACGGCTTTAACTCTGACAATGAGCGCATACACGCCCTCGCCCTCAAGATGGTTTTTATCAGTAATTTCGTTATACTTCCGGCTATTCATATTTAAACTCTTTGAACTAAGATTTAAACGGTCAACAACCTCGCAAAGCTTATTGGAAGAAACGTGGGGATTTAAAATAAAATTGTGTGACAGGTAAACGGAATTATTTGCGGAATTTTCGTTAAGTACCTTCAGGTGCACAAGGTCTAGGTACTTCCTTTGAGAGACAATAAAACCCTCGTTACGTTTATGATCACGTCCCTCTGCTAACAATAATAGTTGGAGAGCGAGTTCTGGGGAATTTCGTAATTTACGTAGATTTTCGAAATAAGGGACTGTGGAACGCCCCAACTTCCTGTCGACTGATAATAGCCACTTTGGGTGCATTTGTGCAAAATTCTCTAACCGCGGCTGATTTTCCGAAAAGGGGTGTTTGACCATGAAATAGCCATCGGGTGAATGGCCTGTGGTAGTATACTGAAAAGGGGTTGCACAGAGATCGCTTTTAAACCCTTTGCTTAATGACCTGCTTCCGGTTTTGACGGTTTCAGCCTCCAAGAACCGAGAAATAATTTGGGCTGAACTAATTTTGTGAGGATGGGAAGTATTATTTTTTAAATATGCAAAACTGCCGCTAAGAATCAACCCCAGCGCGGTATTTTGAAGCACCGGTGGGTTTTTACTGAAATGATTTTTTATTTTGGGTTTAGTATTTTCGGAATGTTTTTTGTTGTCGAGTATTGCTACGTTTAACGTATTGTCTTTAATATTTGAGTCTACGGATTTACATAAATATTGAGATCTACATTCAAATGGGTTACAGACTAACAATGAGTCACAGTTTTTCGAATTAACTGTAGGATTTTTTATTTTGTCTAGTGCGGTAAATGACTCTGCATTAGAAGTTTTATCTAAATTAATTTGAGATACGCCTTCGGAGTTGTAACAATCATTAAAAAGATGATTTTTATTTTCATTGGGTATTGAATTTGGGAATTTGGGACAATTCGATATTATAATAGGAGTTTTTGAATCAATGGAATCCGGAGGAGATTTTTTACCAATAGTGAACCGCAATTTACGTAGAGCATTGAAATGGGTTTTGTGAATTTTGATGGGTTCTCCATTTCTTAATTTGTGTACCTTTAAAGGCTTTAAATTTTGACAAGTTTTTTCCAGATCCGTGGTTGGTACGTTATTGTTTATCTTACATGAATTCGAGAAAGTACACAAAGGATTAGTTTTCTCAATGAGAGCCTTATATAATTCGGATATTTTTTGAATATAATTTAGCACGTCTCTGATATTATAAATTATAGGTTTGATCGTTTCCGTGTTACTCGTGTCATTTGGGACTACCATTGTTTCGGATTTTTGCTGAACTACAAGCATTTGTAATTCTGAATAAATTCGCTGTACGTCTTCATATCGACGCTTTAAGTGGCCTCTTTTTTGATGATTTGCAACATTTGATATAAAATTAGAATGTGAATCTATTTCGCTGAGAAGAATTGAAAATTTAACAAAAGTATTGTCTTGGATTACCACCATCTTGAGTACGAGAATAAATGTATTACACCAACCAAACAGAATTAAAGCTTACCTGGAATCCTGGATCTTGGTTGACGCTGAGTGATACTCGAGGATTTTGCACAGCACTCGCGGTCGTCACCGATAGTTGAACACTGCGCGGATGATTTCTGGGTGATGTTTTGATAACTACATTGCTGAATTCCAGCCGATGAATGATGTGTTGAGAATTACACTTATCACTACCACTGTTATTCTGTCGCTAATCCGGCTCGAAGGACCATGTCGAAGTTTGTTTAAATGAATAAAGACCAGCGAACAGTAAGATAAATATATTGCTAGTGACAAGTGTTAGATAAATAAGAATAATAAGAATGGAATAGTATTGTGACCGTGCGGTCGAGATAGTTGAATGTTAGTTACGAATTGAGAATTGAGAATTGAATGTGTAGGAATGAGTTACGAATTAAGAATGAATGCTACCCTGTGTTCCAAGGTGGGGGTGGCTCTGGCTCCCACCCTTACGGGTGGGGAGGGGTGAAACAGGTCCCCGCCAGAGGCTCTAACAACCACCTTTGAATATTGTTTAAAGAGATCTATATCTTAATATTTTTTGTGAAAATTTGGACCACTTTTCGAAAGCTTAATTTTTGCAGTACTCCCTCTTATGAAAATTTTGATATTTTTTCGATTTTTGACCAATTTCAAAAATTACCAAAAGAGATTTTTTCGTAAATTTCTACCTCCAGAAGTTACTTTTGGCCTCATTTTGATTCGTGGATATTTTGACACTTTCTTATAAGAAGTTGTGTTGAAACGAATTGTGGTATTTGGAACTTGCCCTCACACATTGTCTAAAAAATAAAATTTTTTCAAGACAAAAACAGGTTAAAAGTCGTATTAGAAAATGTGCAATATAAACAAAAAAAAACACTGACCGTTTTCTTAATATATGCTTTGCACAAAACATTTTCGTCAGTAGAAATAAGTTCAGGATAATCTTTTATCCATGAATTTATTAAATTTCTTTTCACTATCAAATACTCTAAATCCTCTAAATTAATAATAGTAATGTCATGGATGTTCACCCTAAGTCTTAATTTCTTTTCTAGATCAATTCTAGTCAGTTAAACGTAACCTGCGGCGAAAACGCCGTATACGTATACGACGGCCTTCCCGAGCTAGTCGACATGGGTAGCCAGAGTGCCCTTTCTGCCGTCTTTTGTTCAGAAGAAGCCCTTCCAGTGTCGCTGGTAGAATCACGAACCGGACAACTAACAGTCCACTACAAGCAAGGTTTGCTGGGTGAAGGTTTCAGTGCAATGTACAAAGTGTTAAACTGTGATGAGACTTGCGAATCTCCCCGCGAGTGTGTACGCGGACAGTGTGTTTGTGAAGACGGACTAGTGGGCTTCAACTGCGAAGAAGTGATTTGCCCCAGGAACTGCAGTTTCGCTCGCCAACAGGGCGTATGTGATAAAGCTTACGGAAGATGCGTCTGTGCGTCAGGCTGGGTTGGACCCTCGTGCGATATAAGGTATGCAATAACTGTTAAAAAGTTTATTAAGTCCCTCCTGAGACAGAGGTTTGCCATGTTGATTCAAAAAGTTTATAAGGATATTAACGTAATTTGTGTCTTCTGACGACATTAACATTGAAATGATGTCGAATCGGGGTAAGTTGACGATGTTCTCGAGGATGTGGTGAAGTCTGTCGACCTCTCCAGGGACGGCGAAGTGGACACACAAGCATTTGATCATTGTGCTGAACATGGTGTTGTCGAGTTTGCAGCCTATGACTAAAAACAAGTGTATTGTAATTGAAGTTAAATTTGGCTTCTACAGACCTTCAATGATTCGATGCATGTCGATGTTTTTCAGTATTAGAGCATGTTGTTCGAGTGTTCTATCGATATTGGCCGAATTCCACGCCTTTAAAAAGCTGTATGGTGAGTGGATGTCTTGTGGGATATCAAAACATTCGTTTTCTTTTACGTAAGGTTCTCCGCCTGCATTTTTATCTTTCTTAAGTATTTGCTACAAAAGAAATCAGTGTGTCCTGATTGGTGTACTAGAAAATCAAGAGTTGCATACCTGCACAGAAATTTTCTTCGTCTCTTCTTGTACAAGCCGTTTTTTGGTCTTCTTGACGTCGGTATTTTGGTCGGTGTTCGCTGTATTAATAACATTTGAGTTATGGCCTTCATTGTTTGACATTTCGACAATCATTTTGATGTTTGTGTTATTTATTTTAGGTGGAATCTCATTGTGTTTGTTGGTATTTTTCACATTATTTAAATTTTCGTTACTGCATAATTTTTTCAAGTGGTTAACTGTGCAGCAGTCGTCGTCTTCAACATCCGAACTGTCAATAGAAATTAAATGAACGATTTGTGACCGCGTGTTAGCTCTCATAGTATGTTCCCTAATTTTTTGTAAATTACCATCCGAGCACGTGATGTAGTGTGGAGGCGACATGCTACTGGTGCCCGGAATAGGAATAATCACTTCTTTATTCTTAGCAACATTTTTGCATTTCCCTGCATTCTTTTTATTTTTTACTTTTTCAATTTCTTGTACCACAAACCTAGTGGCAGCTTTTGGAACAATACCACACAATTTTTGAAACTTCTGCGCCAATTCTTGCGCTAGACTATTATTAGGATCAACCTCTATAGCTTGCTCAATAGCTTCTAAAGCCTGGACGTGCCGACCTAGACTATCCAAGGCCTGGGCTTTTCTCAAAAACGCTTTAAAATTATCAGGTTCGATAGCCAAAGCCGAGTGACAATCGTCAACGGCATTTTTAAATCTCTTCAACTTGATATTAACCAGCGCCCGATTGTTAAAACCCGCCACAGTATGTTTGATATTAATGCTATTCGTGTAGTGCTTCAGCGCTTCTTTAAAATCGCCAGCTTTGTAAAACTCGTTACCTGCATCTTTTTCGTAGTTCGCCTCACGTAGTGCTTCAACTTCGGTCGTAAATTCTTTGAACTGCACCGTTTTCTTCACTGGAGACTTTTTCTTGTCACTTTCGCGGCCGATTTTCTTCAGTTTCTCTTCTTCGAGGTCCATTTTTAGAATTTCGGTGTCGGGGTCGTACTTGTCCCACTTTGAGTAGTCCGTCGATGCTATCCGCTTCGGCGTGTCCTTTTTTTCCTCGCAAGTTTTGTGTTTGGTTTTTCGCACTTCTGGAAGCGAACCGCCAGGTTTCCTATTCTTGAAATACACTAATTCGTCGTCGTCTTTCGAAACCGTGGAAATCCATTGCGTTAAATCGTTTGTCAGCTCGTTTTTTTCTTCTCTGGTTAAGCGTTCTTTGGATATGACAGGGCATGCTTTCCTTAGAACTTTGCTTTTTGGTTTAACCACAGCGAGTCGGTTCTCGGCACAGCGAACCAGGTCCGGAAAATATCCCTCTTCGCCTGATCGTAGTATTTGCACTATTCTTTCTAATTCTCTTCCGTCTTTACACGTTTCGATGTACGAATACTCGAAGTGTTGGATGGGGATCTTGTATTTATCAATCAAAGGTTGAGATTTTACCTTTGAGTAGGTTTCGTCGTGCTCTATTAATTTCCTCGCGTCACTGTGAAGAACCATTTTATTAAGGTTTATTTAGTTCGTGAACGCAACTGTCAAACTATACATTTGATTTTGTCGAGATTTATTTTTTGAACTAACAAATAGTTGCTAAGATAATAGCGCAAGTTATTGACCAAACACCCGCTGGTACACGATCAATAACACAAGCGCTGTTTTAGAATATTAGTTAGATTTTTTATCTTTGCACACACGTGTCGTCGCACCACATTTAATTATACGATAGTTAACACATGGCAGTGGATTATATTCAGTTAAAATTTCAAGACGGGGGGCCGAAAGGACACGTGTTCACTACACTGTTCGAAAGAGCTTAATGTTCTGTGTACTGAATTATGTAAAAAAGGACATATCAATGACGGAAATTTCTCTCTAAAAATGGTTCACTATTATAGATCACGCGATCAAACTCGTTACTAAAATGGAGTAGGTAAATATTATTATTACTATTAGGTTTTTATTAAGAAAAAATAAATATGTCAAAGTTCTAACTGCAATTTGTTTTTTTAAGAATATGAATACAATTCAATGGTCTTCCGTTGGTACTTTTTATTGGCGAAATTCTTTTATTTTTCTTCTATATATTTGCGTAAATTATTAGAACATTCACCAATAAACTATTTACTAAAGTATTGTCGGTACCCAGCAGCGAAGGCTGTAGACTCCTCATTGTGGCTTTTCATAATCCACCTAGAATAAAATGAACAAGGATCAAAAATTCCCGGTTTGGTTATGGAAAATATTAAATTCGAACCCAGAACTTTTTGACAGTAATGAATCTTTTTTTAAAAAAAATATTACTGGTAGATTTTACATGGGAAGTGGTATTTTTTATTAACAGATCAACCTGATCCAGTAAATAATCGAAAAAATTGACAAATATTGATAATTTGAAAGTGACACAGGACGAAACTTCGGAATGAAATGTATAAAAATTAACATAACGTTTGTATGATGTGTTCAAATGATGAAACATGTTCCCGGTCCTTTTATTGTTTTTTTAATGCTTTTTTTTTAATTTTCATGTTTTTTTTTTGACTTTATATTAATAATTTATTACATATTAGTTTTTTCCACATATGTAATCTAACTGCAAAACCGAATACTCTGAATTCTTGAAAACGTTTTAAAGTTATCGCAAGGATGGTAAAAGGCTAATCAAAATTTATCCGTTTATCCCCTACTAAAAAATGTATTTAAATTTTATAGAATAGCGTATACCTACATGCACTTGTGGTTTGAGTTCTTACCTTAGACATCCAGATTTTTGAAAAAAACATGTAAAATTGTACAACAATATTTATACTCCTGCAGTTGTGGTTTTCAGTTTTTGCGTTTGACATTAAGATTTTTAGATAAAAAAAGTCAAATCTGTATAGCAACATTTTACGGTTTAACTTTGAAATTGTAACACCGAATGCTGTAGAATCTTACAAACGTTTTAAGGTAATCAAAAACACGATAAATTGTTTAATAACAAAAAATTCTATTTCTCTATGAAACAAAAAAATATATATATCGCTAAAAATGTACATATGTTTGTCCAGACTGTAATTATGGTTTAAAAATTTCAGATAATCCCGATTCGAAACTTGAATTTACTGGACATATGACTTTTATTAAACACATCCTTTCTGGGATCAGTAGTAATCTTAGCTGCCAATGCATGTTAAACAATGATTATGTAGTAAAATTATTACTAACAACGCAAAACGTACATTAAAAATATTAAATGAATTTGTAGGAATAGTAAAACAGTACGTACATTCTTAATCTACAATGGACTAGAAATGTTAACCATTATATAACTTCAAATCTACCAGTTTCTAATATAATAATCGACACAATAGCGTTCATTCTTCTGGACAACTTGTGTAAAATCGAATTCATTGTGATAAATAAGAAAAAATCAGTCGACAACGCGAATGATTACTTTAGGGTTGGTTGTCGGCCTTCTCAGAAAGGTTTTTGCCTGGCTCCTAGTGGCAAGACCCCGAACTAACCACTCAAACTGTGTTGAAGTCAAACCCATTTTTTTCAGTAATTGTTCGTTTTTGTTGAAAACACTGTCAAAGTCTGTATCACTAATTTTCCACTAATCCTCCTATTAAAATCATTCGAAGTATTGTGAATTAATGTATGCTATATTTTGATTTTAATAAAGATTTTATTATTTAAATAAATTGTACTACATACTAAGAAATATTTAATATGAGAGGGGCCTTTATAACATGTTACTTTGTCAGTGTAAGGATTTTCAAACGATTCTATGATGTTTAACACATAAAAAAGAGGAAAAAATAGAAGAAAATTTTTTACGATATTTCCTGTCACATTTTTACTTCCCGAGCGGAAGCTAAAGAAGTATAGTAATCAAGTCCATCGGACGAATGGCCATTTTCATGTTTTCTCGACATTTCATGACCCCTACAGTACGAAAAAATAGTCTCTCGTTTCCGCCTGCCTGTTCATCTAGTGTCTGTATCCATTTTTATTACACATGTAATCTCCGAAATTGCTGGACCTATAGTTATCAAATTTTGGATGGTTAAATGCTAACCAAAATTTTCCTTCACATCCCACCAACAATTTGATAAGGTCATTTCCAAGAATTCTATGTTTATTTGATTTAACTGTTATACAACAATATAGCCCTATACGACTCAGAAATCTGGACCGTTCGATAACTTGGTCTTTGTTTTTCTTTTCTCTTTTTCTTTCGTATTGTGTATTATCTATGTTTATGACATAAAAATTTTCTTTCTCGAAAAAGATGAGACTACGCCCCTCTTTATTTAAAAATGTAAAACCGTCTCGAGGGCGCCAAATGTATTTTTTTTAATCTGGAATCTTCTCGGGGGTCCCAACTGTCTTTTTTTAAAATGTCAACCCTTAGGGTGGGGGGGGGGGCAAATGTATTTTTTAAGAATGTGAGTGAAACCTTCTCGGGGGTCCCAAATGTATTTTTTTTTAGAATGTGAAACCTTCTCGGAGGTACCAACTGTTCTTTTTTAAGAATGCGAAACCTTCTCGGGGGGTCCCAACTGTATTTTTAACAAATGTAAAACCTTGTCAGGGGCGCCAAATGTCTTTTTTTAAGAATGTGAAACCTTCTTGGGGGTCCCAAATGTATTTTTTTTTAGAATGTGAAACCTTCTCGGGGGTATCAACTGTTCTTTTTTAAGAATGCGAAACCTTCTCGGGGGTACCAACAGTTCATTTTTAAAGAAGGCGATACCTTCTCGGGGGCGCCAAGTGTCTTTTTTTAAAGAAAATGAAATCTTGGGGCTCCCAACTGTGAAGAAGGTGAAACCTTCTTTTTTCTATTACACTGTGACTAGTACCTTCTATATTGTTTTTACTCCATAGGGGTTATCACGAAAAAGTAAAATCCCGCAAAATCAAATTTTATAATTTTTCAGAGAAGCAGTATTTGTTGGACTGTACTTCAGAAGTGAGAGAAGTTCTGTCGAAGTAACTGTCGACGAATTTTTTTGGTTCATTGAACTGTTTTCAGGGGTTTGGAACATGAAAAAAACTGCAGTTTGATACATTATGTATTGTTATACCTCCTCTAGCGAGTTCCCTTAATGACGTGTTTACAAGGATATTCTCTTTCAAAGGAATATTCTGGGTTTTTTCGATTTTTCATCAGTTGATGTACTATTTAAAACAACATTTGCTCCAAATTCAAATATTTTTATTTCAAAAAGAAAACATTGATGCTATTTTCGAGAAAACCAAACATGGTATGATCCTAAATTTTCAAACCTTTGTCTTTTCAAATAACTGATATATTAAAATAAACCGGAACACTTCCAGGGCCAAAAAAACTCGAATCCTCTTCACGGAGCTCTTTAACACGATCCGCCTAGCCGACAACCTAGAACACCTAAGAAAAACCCTGCCTCGTTTTGGCCACTCTCTCGCCTCCGACCGCCGCAATTCCCTATGGATGTTCGGTGGCTATTCTCTTTCGCACGGTCCACTGAACGACATTCGTTTGTTCGACACCCGCAACAGCACATGGATGCAAGTTACGGTCGATTCCACAACACCAGATGCAAAAATGCCCCAAGGCCGATATTTCCATGGAGCTGACATCATACATTCCAAACAAGCTATATACGTGTATGGAGGTCTCACAAAACCAACGAAATCATCGAACAATAGAACATTGGACGACTTCTGGCAGTTCGACATACAAAACCAGCGCTGGAGCGAGGTGGAAAAGGACGGCGAGTGGCCGCCGTCTCTCTCGAGTCATACTTTAACGTCGTACCGAGGATCGACGCTTGAAAGTTTGATCTTGATTGGAGGGATATCGCCAGGAAGTGATTTTCATAAGCTGGTTTGGGAGTTTAGGGTGGATACGGAGCAGTGGCAAGCGTGGAGTACGAGGGGGCAAGGACCGAACGGGATTTTTGGACATAGTACAGTATTTCATGCGCCTACTAAGAGTCTGTATGTTTTTGGAGGGTACATTTACGAGCAGCAGCAAGCCCGACTTTCGAATAAGTTGTTCAGTTTGAATTATACCACGAAAGTGTGGACGGAACTTAATGAGTTAGGGACGTCTTTGTATCTGGTAAGTGTATAATTTTATAATTTAATATATCAAGGCAGACAACCAATTTGCAAATGTTTTGCAGCCTCGCCCACGTTTTTTCCACTCTGCTGTAACAACTGACGACTTCATGTTTGTAATGGGAGGACGTATATTTCCATGGAATATAAGTGACACATTGTACGCTTACTCATATAACTGTAACCGGTGGATTAACCTAATGTCTGAAGGTAAAACCCCCATACACGTAGATCTCGTTTAATTATTAGATACCTATCAGTAGCACTGGAAAAAGTTGGACCCTTACCGACACAAACTTATGCGCAAGCCATGACGATAGAGCCTGACGGCGACGCTGCCTACATCGTAGGTGGCTGGGGAACTGATTCTCAATGTTCGGTACTCCGTCTGGAACTACCCGAAGACTTATGTTCGTTGTGGCCAAGTCGCGATAGTTGCATTAGGATGGCTGGATGTGGCTATTGCGCATACAAAGTTGGCAGCGACATATTATCAGAAGTGTGCCATACGAACACTTATGAGTGTCCCTTACAAGAATCTCCAGTTAACGGTTGGTAGTACTGCGTCTAGATTTCAACTGTTATCAACTTAGAATACTACTATATTTGTACTTTTTAGCTTCAAAAATATCTAACTCGGGCACCAGCTGCACCGACCCTGTAGTCAACCGAAATTGCTCATCTGTAACCGACTGCGCTTCATGCGTGCAACTCGGGTGTTATTTTTGCAATAATGTGTGTACCCCAAACGCAACCTGCTCAATATCGCTACTAAGTGATTGCTCTCCGAATAATTGTTCTAAAAAAGAGCCCGATCAGTGCCGTCAGACACCTGGTTGCGATTGGAATTGTTCCAAAAGGGACTGCGTACCACGTAAGAACCACCAATAGTAAGTTATAACCGTACTGAAAGCTCTATTTCAAGTGCTCAAAGGTCAAGAAGCCAGTCCTAAAGTTTGTCCAGCACCGTGCATGCATTATAATACTTGCGGATCTTGCTTAGAAACGGCCCACTGTAGATGGTCAACGCAACTAGATGAGTGTATATCTGCCGCTTATCAGCCCGCTTATTGTGCTGGAGGAGTGTGTGGTTTGGTGTTGCAAGCAGATGATAAACAGTACTGTCCTGCACCCTGCAGCTCGTTTACGCAGTGTTCGGATTGTCTGGTGCATGCACATTGTGGGTGGTGTGCCGGCCCTGGGAACGGCGAAGGTATCTGTACGGAAGGGTCAAATGATAGGCCGATGCATGGAACTTGTAACGATGTTTATTTGAAAGTGAACCCTAACATATCGGTAAGTACGACATTTATTACAAGGGTACTGTTCCGAACACCAAACTTTGATACAATGGTCACCGATTTTCGGGATTATTAAAATTGGGAGATGAAAATATTGTATGTTGGCTAGAAATTCACATATTGTGAGCTTTTACTTATTCTGTTTTTGGGATAAACAATATAATGTGCCTACGTTCTTGTATTTTTCAATTCAACGGGCGACTTTTTCAGTACCATGAAAAGGGATAGCCGGGGTAATCATTGCCACCCGTATTGAAGGACAATGATTAATTAATTATTCATTGTAGTTAAATGTAGATGAGGTATTTAGAATCATAAACCTAACCTCATTTTTAAAAATCGATCGATTTCGCAATCTTGTTAGGGTAAATATCAGGATTACGGTAGTAGAATAAATAGGTATTCCGTGTATTCCTGGTCCGCGACGATAATTGTCAATCGCATAGCCTCTGGTTTTCGAGGTCCAAGGATACCACCGTGGTCCAAGGGAACCAATGGCCAACTACGATTTGGCACCCTTTGCGCTTCCTATGGTCGTAACAACCGGGGGTCCGTGGTATGTGATTGATTATGCTAACCTCAAAAGTTCGCTGGGTAATTAGAGCTATCTGCCGTAATTTTCTTTAACGAAGGAATTCCCGAAGTTGTAGGCCACCACTGCAATAGCGCTGGCGATCGGACGGTAATAAGCATCACTTCCGCGATGCCAAAGCCTGGTTATTACAGTGGCGTGTAGACAAATTTGGAATATTGGCAGTTGAGCGAACAAAACAAAAATTAAAAGAAATAAATTTGGAAATTGGGGAACGAGCAACGACCCTCGACCTTCTGTTTTTCTCTTTAACCACAGCTCCATACAAACCACCGCAATAGTCTCTATGGTTAGAAAGTATCGTTTATACTAGGGTCAAACTCAATCACCGCCAGGCAACAAGCAGAAAATGCCCACTTAACGGAGACTAAATCCAATAGGCGAATTGGTAATTTAGACTCGGATTCGCGCATTTCGTTTTTGCCATACGGCTCCGGTAATTTTCATAGATAACTAAATAAGTATCAAAATGACAACAAAGCCACACGCTTTAATGAAGCCATACTTATATCAAAAATTCAATTACATCAAAACATCTACAAAGTGTCAAATTCAATAAATCAGAATGAATCCATTAAGGCTACATCGTGAATCGAATTCCTCATTAGATAAATAAAAAAGTACCTGTTAAATACGATCGAAATCACAATAAAGTTGTTCGGTACACACGTCGCTGTGAGAGGCATGTCCGAAACTGATCATTCAAAAATTCATTCATAGAACACAAATGATAACACAAAACCGCATTTTGTCTTAGGAGTGATACATTTTGCTAGCTTTGACACGTTTGAAAACCAAACTTTTTTCTGCAGACAATAAAGTTGCGGTACACACGTCGCTGTGAGAGGCATGTCCGAAAGTGATCATTCAAAAATTAATTCATAGAACACAAATGATAACACAAAACCGCATTTTGTCTTAGGAGTGATACATTTTGCTAGCTTTGACACGTTTGAAAACCAAACTTTTTTCTGCAGACAATAAAGTTGTTCGGTACACACGTCGCTGTGAGAGGCATGTCCGAAAGTGATCATTCAAAAATTAATTCATAGAACACAAATAATAACACAAAACCGCATTTTGTCTTAGGAGTGATACATTTTGCTAGCTTTGACACGTTTGAAAACCAAACTTTTTTCTGCAGTCATTCATAATTATTCAAAATGCATGGAGAGATGACGCTAGGTATACAAGGAATTTTTGAGGTTAGCAGAATCAATTTCAACCATGAAATTCGACATCTGTTTGTAACCGATATATTTAATAAAAAAATCATACTTATTGACTCCATCAAATGTCATCTAAAAATTTTGTATTGTTAATTGTCATTTACTTGCCCTTGTAAACGAAAATCCCTAAATTAACTAGACTGATTTCCCTACTACACGCTAGGGACGTTAAATGTACGCTTAATGCAAAAAAACCCTCAGTATTACATACATAAATTATATATTTATATTTCAATAATATATATCATAAATTAATAAAACATAAAACAAATGTAGGTATTTCCTTCGTTCTTGGGTACTCCTTTATTCTTACTTAGGCTACTTATTTAGACTAAGCGAAATTATATTCGTTAATTATTTCACCTGAAATGTTTCACTGTAATCAACTATATGCCAAAAGTCGCCTAAATTCGCTACCCTGATGGTGCTAACCTTGTTTCAAAGTTTGCTATTCCAGATAATGTTCAATGTTGTTACTGTCAATGTGTTCGACTGTCCTTTTAGGAATACGACCTGAACGAAACATACACGTGGAACTGGAAACGGTGTCCCCCTGAAGACGAATGCACCAACGGGCACCACAACTGCGCCGCAGAGTCCCAACGCTGCGTGGACCGCGCCGACGGCTTCGAGTGCGAGTGTGGTCCAGGTTACAAACCCACGAATTCGACGAAGGTCTCTGCAGCGTCCACAGTTTGTGAGCCCGTGTGTCCCTTGGGTACGTTCCCGATTATCCATGTTTATTCTCTTCAAGTTTCATCAATCTCTTCAAATTGTGACAATTCGCTTGATGTTGCTTTGCTTTGCTAGGCTGCGTTCGTGGTCAATGTGTACAACCTAACAAATGTCAGTGCGATTTTGGCTATGTTGGCGCTAACTGCAGCATCCAGTGTCAGTGCAATGGCCACGCTAACTGTGAAGGTCCCGATAAATTGGATAAGTGCTTAACTTGCCATAATAACACAATGGTGAGTTCTCTCACCTCTTGGAAAAGATGTACGAGTGAAACGGAATTTTCAGGGAACGCAATGCGAGAAATGCAAACCGTTGTTCGTTGGAGATCCCTCCAATGGGGGGCAGTGTGTGCCATGTTTGGAGTATTGCCATGGTCACACTTCGATTTGTGTGGATAATAGTACTGATTTTGATTTCGAGGAGTTTATGGACTTTGAGTCCGAACGGTTTGTGAAGAGTTTGAAGGAAGGTCCGAAGACGCATGCGCGGTGTCTGAAGTGTACTAATCAGACGGCCGGCAACAGGTGTGAAGACTGTATAGTAGGTACGTATGAGGGCTCGACGAAGTCGACGATTTTACAGAAATTTGGGTTAGGTAATTTCAGAGGTACAGAAGACCATCACGATCCTTGCAGACCGTGCGATTGTCACGGTCATGGTGACACTTGTGATCCAGTTACTGGTGATAAGTGTAACTGTAAAAACAATACAGAAAGCGACGCTTGTGGCGGCTCTGGAAAAAATTCAGCTCATCCTTGCTGGATGGTGCAATGCTCAAAATGTAAAGAAGGATATTTGGGGACACCGACGTCGGGTCATCAGTGTTACAAACAAATGCCTGTGGATGCGAAGATGTGCTTTGATGCTAAAGGCATTGGTAAACACACTTTTAGACATAAGGAAGTGCTTATTTCTAATCCTTGTGTTTTTCAGACGAGTGCAAAGTAACCCCTAAGGCGCTTCTCCCCGGCGAGATAGTATTTTTCGTAATCCAGCCCCGATTCATGAACGTAGACATACGCATAATGATCGACGTAACTCAAGGCAACTTGAATGTATATATGAGTACTCACGACGACACATACGTAGCGTACCCTAACGCCACTACCGGCGTAAATACTATTGATCTCGATGCTCAATACGGTCGTTGGGACAACGGTACCCAGAAGACCAAAGACTCATTTTTAGAACGCGAAGCTTTGGGACTGCGTACTTACATCACAATAACGCAACCCAATACAATTCTTTCAGTAAAAAATCTCAGAGATAGATTAGTCATTACGTTACCTGAGGAGTATCACAGCTTGGAGTCCACAAGGTTTTTCCTTGTACTTCAAGCCTTAGATCCGGGAGACTCGGCGAAAAAGAGCGCGTTCGGAATCGTGTTCTCACGACAAGATCAACTACACATTGACTTGTTCGTGTTTTTCTCCGTGTTCTTCTCTTGTTTCTTTTTGTTCCTTGCGGCTTGCGTCGTGGCGTGGAAGGCCAAGCAAGCCGCCGATGTGAGGAGAGCTCGTCGAAGGCACGTTGTTGAAATGTTGCACATGGCGAAGAGACCTTTTGCGAGTGTTACCTTAAATTTAAGTACCAGATCTAAACCTAAGAAGTCTGCGCATTGTGATTTAAGGCCTGTTGCGGTCGAACCTACAGGTACGTGTTGCTTGTTTATAGTCATTGTGTATTCATTTTTGTCTGCAGATGATGGGTTAGCGGCCGTTGCAACAGTCTTTGTGAGTTTACCAGGAGGTCAGAGTCCTTGCGTTAAACTTGCTTTAGCGTCATCACTGATCCTTCTCGTCCGACAGTTTCCTACAGGAGGAAGAACTTTCCTGAGGAGGCGATCTGCACATGCAGCGCCACCTACTTAAGTATTGACTCTCTTGAATATATGTACCTATATGTTTTATATGTTGCATAGATGAATGTTTATTTATAAAAATAAATATTTTTTAAATGTTTATGCTCATGGTTGAGTTAAGCGTTTCAGCATTCGGTAGTAGCAGTACTTGATGTCGTACTCCATGTCGTACCAATAGTTGACGGCTATGCATTTATGGCTCTGTCTGACGTGGTGGAACCAGAGGCTTGGTATATAAAGAGCGTCTCCACTGTTCACTCTGATTTTATATTGCGTAGCGTTGTTAAATTGGGGGTATTTTTCATAATGCTGCTTCTTTAATGGATCGACGGCAACCCATTCAATTTTTTCTGTTTGTTTATCTTCAATATTCGAGGTCTTACTTATAACATCTTTGTATGTCCCTACGGGGTACGTCCTGTGTGGTACATATGGTAAATCAGTTGGCGGTATTAAGATAAAGTCTTTGAACCCATCTAATACGCAGTAAATGTTTTCATAAGGGTCTTTGTGCACTGAAAACGAAAAAGATTATTCCTTATTCGGGTTTAAGGCAGAGAGAAAAACGCACTACTTGTAATTGCCCGTGCATCTCCCATCCAAAAGTTTATGGCATCAGGTTTTTTATTAAATGCCTCCGAGGCCCATGGTATTTCACTGTCCACGTCTTCCATCAGTTCCCCAAAGTCTTCCGTTAAATTTGAGTTTTGTTTTTGGATGTAGCAAATGTGTTGCCGACTAAAATAGAAACATTTTTAGATCTTAAACTGAACTCAGACAATGGATATCCATTATATTTATCAATTTTAATTTAGAATTTAATATAAACAATTCTGCTGGGTTTCCGTTATACTTGCTATTGTGTTATTTAAACTAAAGAATGTAAGTATGTAATATACAGTGTCCCAGATAAAAGTCCGCGTTTTTATGTATACGATCATCAAATTACGAATTCCAATTTCTTTAAAAGTGATCCTCATTTTCCTGGAAGCATTCTCACCCTTAAGAAAGCTAGGTTATGATCGTCATTGACATTTACGACAGTTCTGAGTAGTTTGATTTATCATCATAAGAAGGCGGCAAAAAGTATGAAATTATATACAACTGTAGTTTTTATAATCACCTTGTATATAGTCAATTAAATTAGATTTTTCCCAGTATATTATGTACTTATTAAAGGATATTATAGCTTAGCCTTACACTGCAGAATTGTTTGCATTATGGAATACTGGGAAACTTTTGGGAATACATTTTTTGATTATTTTTTAATAATAGTGCATTTAAACTTACTTTTGGTCATCTAGTTTCGTTAAAAATTCCTTCATAGTCATTTGCACTTCTTCAGGCAAGACAAAATATTGTACCTTTCCTTTTTCAGTTATTTTGGGCGCTAGTCCGTCAGCATAGCCATTGGGTGTTACAGCAACTGTGACTTCTTTATCAGGAAAAGTGTCCCTAAAATTCCAACTCAATTTAACAATTTCTTGAAAGTATGTTTATGACATACATGAAATACTGGGGTGTCCATTTTGACAAAGCTGGAAAATGGTCACAACCCCCTTCTATTAAGACCGGGCAATTTTTGCTAACATAATCTCTATAAAATCGAAATGGCCAATTTGGGCTCGACGCATCTTTTTCCGATATGACTGGAACCTCTGGGTGGACGTGTAAAAGCGCTGCGAACACATCGAGGAAAAATTTAAAATACGATAATACAGAAAATGAGGTTATGTTCAAACATTTGACATTTGATTCAAAGTAAAAACATGTTCATCCAGTAATTATCACCAAGTAAGCAACTCACCTTTAGTTTCTTCCTTTAACACATTAAAAGCATCTTTAATAACTTGACTACTCATAATTTAGCACTTCGTGTCTTCCAAAAAAGTGAGGTTATGTTTCTTATTTACATTTAGCAGAATGTTGATTTTTCGTCCATACCGCACTTCTTTCAAATTTTTGACAAGACCCGTGACGTCCAGATGTAAACTGCATGAAATCATTAGAGTGGACCACGCCGGAGAATTGGGGGCTGATGTGATATATGCTGGACAAATGGCTGTCTTGGGTAGCACTTCGAAAGGTCCGGTTATTAAACACATGTGGGACCAGGAAAAGGGGCACAGGGCGAAGTTTGAGGAACTCATCAATGAGCATCGGGTGAGACCAACCGTGATGACTCCCATTTGGAATGTGGCTGGGTTTATGCTGGGGGCTGGGACAGCCTTGCTGGGAGACAAGGCGGCGATGGCGTGTACTGTTGCTGTTGAAACTGTTATTGTAGAGCACTATAATGATCAACTGAGGACGCTGATGGAAGATCCTGAGGCTAATAAGGAGTTGATGCAAACTATTAAGAAGTTTCGAGATGAAGAACAGGAGCATCATGATTGTGGAATCGATCATGGTGCTGAGCAGGCGCCTTTTTATAAAGCGTTGACTGAAGCGATTAAGTTGGGGTGTAAGGGGGCCATTGCTATTTCCAAAGTAATTTAATTTGTAGGTTAATTTTCTCCCTTGTAAGCACGGTTAATTATAATTGTTGCATTTTGACACTTGTTTTTTTTACTACTGATAATGGAATGTTTGTACCTGCTGATCACAATTTAATGTTTAAAATGGTTATTTAAATTTGTAAAAAATTGATCTGTTACATATAGGTTTTGCAAATTTTCTGAAGAATGCGGTGTCCCGATTTGAAAATTAAATTTGGCGCTGAAAATTAAGCCATGGAACCGCATTTAGAAGCAAAAAACATTTCGATAACGTTACTTGGCATGTAGTTCAAATGTCTTAAAAATTCGAAACAGTATGTTATATTTTGTTTTTTTAGCCTTAAAAGCAGTTTCTTGTAATCAATTCTACATAAATTTGCCTGTCAGTCTTGTCAATTTCACTATTAATATAACTTGAAAAAAATCGAAATATCCCAAACTGTACGATCCGCTTTTCTTACGCATCCTGTGCGTAAGAACACGGATACATGAATAACGGGTTGTGTGAATTTAGCGATTTTATGAAATTACAAGCTAAATTTAACCTACCCTTTTTTCAACGTGCTGGCACCAACACTGTTATACAAGAAGTGATGTCAGCGGGTCCAAAAAAAAAAGAAGCGCCTGAGGCCTGACATTCCAAAAAATCTATCTGTGCTTCCGCATTTGAAACCCAGTGCAACATTCCCCTGAAAATATATGGTTGCCTATGTTACTGACTGACTTTCTTATTTTATTTTTAATTGTTTAAATAAGATCTATGGTTTAAATGCGGACACCACAACCTTAGATCATACATATAATAATTTATTGTATGTTCTAAGCCTTAGACAGGTGGATAAATTTAAGGCAGGCGTATCAGAGAAAATAAAGAAGAGCTTATACTAGATGCTTAAAAAATAATTGTAAATAGATACGTTTTCTGTTGGTTTCAGAATATTATTGTCGATTTCATTTGGGATCAAGTGTAATCGGTCGGCTTGTGTTATTTGATTAGACGGACTTTCCATACCGTCGATTAACGTAGGAAACGTTAATGACAGAAGTAGATCGGGTTACTTGGTGTCTAAGTGAAATTTATAATTAAACTTCTCAAACTGATTAAGAAACTTACATATAACGGTCACAGATGTCAGTACGGCAGATCAATTTATATGAACTTGTGCTGTGGGATATTAAATTTTAAATTACAACGTGGTAAATAAAATTGAATTTTTGTTGATTTATTTCTTAAATTATCCCTTTTATTAAAATCTCTGATAAATTAGATATTTTAATAAGACTTTATAAGTTTTTGGCATTCTTTTGGTTGGATTTGTATTACTTTTTTCGTGTGCTCGATTGTCATATTTTCTGTTTTGATATCAACAATTTGATGTCAAAGTGTACTTTATTAACCCGCCCATATTTTTTTACCTTAAAAATACAAAATGGTTTAACAACATTTTACAGAGTAGATTTTATTTTAAGGTTTTCGTAAGCACAGTAAATCGTTAACCAAAATTTATCTGTGCATCTCCTCCAAAAACTCGATGACGTCGTTTCAAAATTTTGCAGGATAATCATCAATGCTTTCATATTTTTCAAAATTGTTTATGCATATAATATGTCTAAATAAGTTCACATCAATTTCTTGAAATTTTGTTTTCATTTCAACTACGATGCAACTTATTATTATTTATTATAATATTGTGCACTGCAATTAATTTGCAAGAATATTACCAGTTTCATGAATGTCTCTTACTAATATTTCTATTAAATTTTTGTCCTTTCATTAACTTTTTCGTGTAATACTTTCCACAGCAGCGAAATAATAAACGTTGCTGCAACAAGAATTTAGATGAAAGTGTATGTCGTCTGTTGACGCAAAACTCATCAAGTTTTAAAAACGACTGAATTCTTCAAAGTAGCATGCGGTTGCTCTTTGTCCTGGTAGTCCGCGAGGAAGTGGATGATGCGGTCAATTATGTAACAGCCCTTAAACCGTGAGGATGAGTAGGTGTTGTAGCTCGTGAATCTCACAACACAACCTAACGTAGAAAACTGGGGAGAGCTTGATCGCCTTGATCAGAGCCATCGATCCCGTAACTGCGATCTGGTGTAGATATAGACCAGTTTTTCTTTGATTTCGTTGTGTACCTAAAAGCCATTTTGGACTATTTATTTTATCTAATAATAGAACAGTGTTCATGGAATGGATCCTAATTTCAAAAGTACTAAAAGGCACAAAATTTTTTGTCAATTTTTCAACAACTTTTTCATTTTCCTAATTACTTTCCTTCAAAAATGAAAAATCTAACTTTGGGTTATTTGTTGTTTTTGAATAGTCATTCACTTGATTTTTAGTAATTTTCCTGTGTTATTATTATAACAGTAACATACATTTTTCTCATACTTCGTAGTGGTGCGACTTCATTGTCCCCGAAATGAACGCAATTTCTGGAAGCAGCTAAAATCGTCGATTTTTTGTATCGAGTTTGCAGCGTTTCCGTTCGAAAAAAGACATTCGTTCCTGAGGGACAGATTTTCCACAAGACGCTGGCGATTGCAAATGATTATTGGTTCGATGTAGTGAAGCGCAGAATATTGTTGAAATATCGAAGAATTCGCTCTTTTGGGCCTCAATCATCCCATTGTCCATTGGCTTTTGGCCTTGACCGGTCGATAGGTAAGGGTGATGTAAGAAAAAATGAGTTCGAGATAAAATATTTCACGAAACCATGTCGATTGTATCGATAAAAATGTACTTTAGACAGTCAATTGATCATTGAAGGAATGAAAAAGGTGGGAATAAAATAAGAAATGTGATAAATCGAAACAGGAGATGGGATAGCTTGCAGATACTTCATTAAAATACGTATGTATAGTATCTGTAAACCTTTTCAAATAGTTATTAACCAAAGTCCTTTCAAGGAAAATGTTTTCATGTGCAAATGCATTTTTTTATAATTAAACCGTAAAATCATGTGTAGGCTTGGTACCAGTCATGAAAAAATTACTGTTTTTGATGGACGAGGAATGCTTCATGGTAATTAATTGTATGACACTGTTTATGTTTTTGTTTTGTTTTCATTAATTAATTCTTATGAAAAACTCATATCGATTTGGTTAATCATGCAAATAAAAAAGTACCTACGTATTTTTTCATTTTTGTTTGGAAAATTACTGCTAAGAAACAATTTATAACTGTTTGTTAGAATGGTACAAGTTTTTGTAATAAACGTGACGTTAGATTTGAACTGATGACAACTTATTATTGAACAGTTCTGGCGATACAATTTAGTTTAATTTAGTTATTCTGTCGAAAATACTTAGGACTCTTAGGAGAATGACATCCACAAGTAACCAATTTCTTAAGAATTCTTTCTTGCATGTAGTGCACCAATCATATTGACGTCCTTGTCATATTGTTTATCTTCATTATCAAACTCGTGAGTCATTTCATGACCTTTTGTCCTATGGCGCCATAGTTTAAGTAATGGGATCCGTCTGGTTCGAAGAAGTAATCTGCAGTAGGTAGTTCTAAAAAAAGAATAATAGAATAACTTCAATGTTGACCACAACTAACATTTTATTTTTTTTCATTTAAATTTGAAACGTTCAAGACCAGAAATTTACAACACACAAGAGTAGAATTTTCAGGTAGCATATAGAAAGCATTCACATCATAATTAAGTCACTCTAAAAAAGGATACAAGATATTCCCAATAGATTTTTTGCCTTTGTTTGGCAAATTACTCCTAAGAAACAAGATATCACGGTTTGTTAGAGTGCTCCAAATTCTTGTAAATTAATGACGTTTGACTAAACTGAAGACAACAACTTAAACGTTTATGGCGACGCGATTTCGTCTAATTTAAAAAGTTATTTATTGGTACACTTCTGTGTCTAGAATACAAAGTTATTTGACAGACTTGTTTCACTACTTAAGTTAATGGGGGACGAATCTTTAATGAGATATAAGGCGAACTCCACTGCTTATGCACATTCCAGACTAACATAAGTGATTTTAAGTAAATTTTAGATTCGCCGATTTGAAATGGATGATAAATTACTCAGAGAAAAGTGAGTACATATTAAGAAATAAGGATAATAATAGGCATAATTTAATAAAATCGTGTATTTTTAGAAAGCTTTCGTGGATGCAACGACGAACTAAAATTGAAAAATGTTTGTTTGTTCTTACCGGGCTTGGTGTTGTTGTAATCATCTACTTGGCGTCAAACTTACTAATGACGTTTCCTCAAACCAGTGAGTTATTCTTTAACAAGATAACAAATAGGTAATAAAATTTCGTAGGAGAGAATCTTCAGCAAGACGTGTGCTTGACGGAAAAATGTATTCTTTCGGCAGCAGACATAATAAAGAATCTTGACGAAACTGTTGATCCGTGCGATGATTTTTATAACTTTGTGTGTGGTAACTTTGTTAAAAACGCCATAATCCCTGTTGGTGAAAATAGCGTTTCTTCCATTACCGACCTCAGGTGAGAAAAGTTCTCAGTTAAATTGAATACTTAATAAAATAAATTTATACAGTGATAAAGTAACTCTACAATTCTACAACATTTTGCAACAGCCTAAACGAGATGACGAACCATATTCTTTAAAAATACTCAAAGCAGTGTATAATTCTTGTATGAACAAGAAACAAATTGAAGAAGAGGGACTGACTTATTTGAAAAATGAGTTTAAGAACCTTGGTGGTTGGCCTGTTGTAGAACCCTACTGGAATGAAAAAAATTTTGATTGGACAAGTCTTTTGTCTCGTCTTAGGGAAGGTGAATGGATCAGCTCTTTTTTCTTTTACGCGAATGAGCGTATTGATCACAAAAATTCGTCCAGACTCATATATAGTGTGAGCATTTTCTTTCTTAACTATCGAGTTGTAGGTATTACTCGTTGTTTACAGATTGGTCAACCTTATTTGTCTGAAGCACTAAAGAAAGGGTTTAATGATACTGCAGTCAGAGCTATGTACCACCGCATGGTGGAATTTGCTGTTCTTTTCGGAGCTGACAGAGCAACTGCAATTTCTGACATGAAAAATGTTATTGATTTTCAAATAGAATTTGCAAAGCTGATAGGTCCACATGTGGCGCCAAAAAATAAATCTTTGAACTATAATCCTACAATTCGAGAATTACAGAAAATGTACCCGAGTTTCCCGTGGTTGAAGTTAATCAACAATTACTTGTCTCCGATAGCTACGTTGACATCGGATGATGTAATCCATGTGCAGCAACCGGAGTTTTTCGAAAGATTAGAAAACTTTCTACCTAAAATTAAAAAGAGGTATAATTTTTGTCCCATATTTTTAACTAAAATAACAGTGTTGTTTTTAGAACTCTAGCAAACTATATGTTTTCAACTGTTCTTGGACAATTCGTTAACTATTTACCAGAAGAATTTGAAAGAAAAGACTTGAAATATCTGAAAGACATTTATGGACGATACAACTCACGTCCGAGGTGGAGTTATTGCGTGTGGGAATCAACGAGGTGAGTAATTATCAAAAACGTATTGATACCTACTTATCAAAAAATTTTAGGTTGCACGTTGCTATGTCTTACGTGCATATCAAGCATTTATTCGATAAACGTATTAAACATAAAGTGACTGAGTTAATAGCAGACGTTAAGAATTCATTTTTCGAGACTTTGAAAAGTGTGGACTGGATGGATCGCGAGACGAAAAATCGCGCTATAATTAAAGCGGAGCAAATGCATACTTTTATAGGTTATCCCGAAGAACTTCTGGATGACAATAACGTGAAAAACTATTATCGAGGGGTAATGCAGAACTAGTGCAAGTTTCGGCCATTAGTTTTAACAAACCATGGTTTTAGTTGGAGTTAGATGGTGACGAATATTTTTGGAAGGTCCATGTTAATTTGACAAAATTTGCTAATATGAAGTACGTTCAAAAGCTGCGTAAACCCGTAAGAAAAGATTTTTGGGGAGAGAACGCTTATACTTTTGGATTTAAAGCGTATTATAAACAAACCGAAAACACACTTGGTATATATATATAACAAATCAAATTTTTGCTAGTTTAAGTTATGAAGATAATCTACTTTAACGTTTCTTTTTAGAAGTGCCTGCTGCTGTGCTTCAGGATTATCTCTTCGATCCTGATAGACCCCAATACTTGAACTACGGAGCAATAGGGAAAATAATTGGCCATGAAATCACTCACGGGTTTGATAATGGTGGTAGGCACTTTGATAAAGACGGTAATTTGAGTGACTGGTGGAAGTCGGAAACTAAACAAGCCTTTGCGAGGAAAAGCCAGTGTTTTCTAGACCAATACAGCAATTGCACAGTTCCTGACTTAGGAATTAATTTAAATGGCGTTAACACTTTAGCTGAAAATATCGCCGACAACGGTGGAATTGAAATTGCATACAGAGGATATCTGAAATGGTTGGAAAGGAATAGAGTTGAACCCTCTCTTCCGGGGCTTCGGTACACACCACGTCAGCTTTTCTGGATTTCTTCAGCTACCAATTGGTGCGTTAAACGGAAGAAAGAAGCTTTAAAGAATTTCGTTACTGGGAATACTCATTCTCCTAGATACTTTCGAGTAATGGTGCCTTCCATGAATTCGGAACATTTTGGAAGGGATTTCAACTGTCCGCTGGGTTCGCCGATGAATCCTAAATATAAGTGTCGTATGTGGTGAAGTTCTTTATTTGGTAAAAAACTATGTTAGGAATGTATCAAACTTTTGTAAGAAATGTGTTCATTAAAATCCAAGGTGTTTTATTCATTCGTTAGTTTGTCACTGTTGAATTACAGAATGTTTTCCAAGAGTGGAGGATTTCCCATAAACCTATAGGTTTAATCCACTACAACTTGCTTTTAGTTTTCTGCCTCTACCTTGCGAATCTATGTTTAGACGAATGCTTGACGAAGGCTTCTGGATATCTATCGATTATACCTGGAAAAAATTCTCTCAGCTGGTGTTATCATAGTTAGAGTTAGATACTGACCAAGGTGTTATAAATAAAATTTTTGTTACTGAAGGGTGGGTTTTAACACATTCCATTTAAAATTGAGTTAATAACCCTAGAACAAAAAAATATGATAATAAAGTGTACTTCGTGACCATAACCAGGCTATATTTTTGGAATCAACACGTCGGGATCTACATCCCTGAATTTAATCAGAATTTTTAGATGACTTTCAAAAATTAAATTTCCCATTATGTAGGTATTCGTATTATCTCTCTTATGCAAATTTCGACCCATTCTCGACTATTTTCGAAATTTAACTAAACACTCTCATGTAGACTTTGGGCCGCAGAAGTCACTTCTGGATTCAATTCATCGATAACTTAAACCTTTTTTCCAGAATCGTCCATTGAAATATCGCGATTTTTAAAAGTTTCAAAAAATTCGAATTTCACACTGAATTTTCCGAAAAAATTGCTCCGTTACCATAAACATGCTATATTTTTGGAATCAGCACGTTGGGATATACGAGTGTATATCTCTGAATTTTTTTCAGAATTTTTAGACAACTTTTTCAAAAATGAAATTTTAGACTATGGTAGTATTTGCCAAATAACCTACCCTATAAGAAAATAAAAGGCGGGTGGGCCAGGATAGTATTTGCAAAAATAAGACTCATTTTGGAAAATGATCTACTCTTCTAAGAAAAGGTACTAGCCCCGCCCACCCACCCTTTATTTTCTTAGAAGAGTAGGTCATCTGCCAAAATCAGTTTTATCTTGACAAGAATGAGACTGATTTTTGCAAATGACATGTCCTCTAAGAAAATAAGGGTGGGTGGGCGTTGCTAGTACTTGTCAAGATGTGACTGATTTTGGCAAATGACATATCCTCTAAGAAAATAAGGGAGGGTGATCGGAGGGCTAGTACTTGCCAAGATAAAATTGATTTTGGCAGATGACTTATTCTTCTAAGAAAATAAGGGCTGGGTGGGTGGGGCTAGTACTTGCTAAAAATTAAAAATTTAAAAATCAAAAAATGACAGATTGAAAGATCAGATAAATGAGAAGTAAAAATAGTACAAATGTATAATCGGAAAATCAAAAACTGAAATATCGAAACATTGAAAAACAAAAACCAAATCTTTTAAAATCGAATTCGATATTCCAGTTTTCATTTTTTTTTTAGTTTTTAGATTTTTCAACTTTTGAATATTTCATTTGATAATTTGTTTGACAATTTTGGAGTTTTTAATTCCAATCTTTTGATTTTTCAAGTTTTAGCTTTATAGAATTTTTTGACTTTTAATTTTTCAAGTTCTCAAGTTCAAATTTTTCCGTTTCACGATTTGTCATTTTTCGATTTTTTAACTGAAAGAACAAATTTATTTATTTATATCCAGAATCTGTGGGATTTTTGGAGTTTCTGAAAGAATTTTTATAATCCTGGAAATCTTCAGTCTTCAGAATTTTTTGGATCATCAGAAACCTCAGAATCTATAGAATCTCTAGAATCTTTAAAATCTCTAAAACCGTGAGAATCTCAAGACGCTGTACAGTCTCTATATCTGTAGATTATATAGATCTTCTGACTATTCAGAATATTTGGGGTTCCTGAAATTTCTAGAATTTCGGAATTTTCAAAATTTTTGGAAACTGGAAACTCTGGAAACTTTGAAATCTTTAGATTATTTAGAATCCTGGGAATCTTTAAAGTCTTTAGAATTTTTGAGATATTCAGCTTCGAAATATTCAGAATTTTCATATGCTTCAGAATCTCTAGAATCTCTAGGTTCGGAATATCCGAAATCTTTGGAATTTCTGAAACTTTTGGAACCTTTATAATCTTCTGTATTTTTGCAATCTTCAGTTTTCGAAATATTCAGAATCTTTAAAATCTCTGGATTCTCTAGAATCTTAGAATGTCTGAAATATTTGAAATTTCTGGAATCTATTGAATCTTTAGAAAGTTTGAAAGCTCCTAAATCTTCAGAATTCTTGGAATTTGCGGTGTTCGAAACTTTTAAAAAAGTCTCTGGAATCTCTAAAGTCTCTGGAATTTGTAGATTACTTAGAACCTTTATAAATTCTAGAATGTTTACACTATTTAGAATCTAAATTTGTTAGAACGTCTAAAATATCTAGAATATGTACATTTTTCAGAATCCTTAGAAACTTTACGGTTTGTATCTCTAGTCTCGAAATGTCCGGGATTTTTGCAATTTGTGGAATTTCTGGAAACTGTGGTATATTTGGTATCTTTGGAATATTTAAAATTCAGAGAGTCCTCAAAGTCTTCAGCATGTTTGGGATCTTCAGCTTTTGAAACATTTAGAATCTTCAAAACTTTCAGAATTTCTGGAATTTATAGTCCCAGCATGTAGAATATTTGCAGTCTTTGGAAATTTCAGAATCTTCACAATCCTCAAAGTGTTCAAGACTTTTGAGATATTCGAAATCTTTGGAATTTCTGAAACCTTTAGAATCTTTATAATCTTCAGATTTTTGGAATCTTCAGTCTTCTAAATATTCAGAATCTTTAACATCTCTGGAATATCTGAAATCTTTGAAATTTCTGCAATTTCTGGAATCTTTGAAACTTTGGAAATTTCGAAATCTTTATAATCTCCAGAATTCTTGGAATCTTCAGTTTTCGAATTTTTTAGAAAATTCGGAATCTATGTATAGAATCTCTAAAATCTCTAGAATCGCTAGAAACTCAAGTCGCTCTAGAACCTGTAGATTGTTTAGAATCTCAAGAATCTCCAAAATCTTTAGATTATTTAGAATCTACATTCGCTAAAATCTGTAAAATTTCTAGAGTAAGTATATTCAGTATTCAGAATTTTCAGAAACTTTGCGGTTTCTGGAATCTCTAGTCCCAGAATATCTGGGATTTTTGGAATTTGTGGAATTTCTGGAAGCTTTGGAATATTTACAATCGTGAGTTTCTTCAGACTTCAGAAATTATGGAATATTCAACCTACGAAAGATTCAGAAAATCAGTCTTATCTTGGCAAGTAGGAGACTGATTTTTGCAAATGACATATCCTCTAAGAAAATAAAGGTGGGTGGGCGGGGCTAGTACTTGTTGAAATAAGACTGATTTTGGCAGATCACCCAAATGTAGGAAATGTGTTCATTAAAATCCAAGGTGTTTAGGATATGGGCGTAGATACAAACAGCAAACTGGTGTGACTACCAAATGTTTTCCAAGAGGATTTCCTATAAACTTACGGGCTTCATCCAATACAACTTGCTTTTAGTTTTCAGCCTCTATCTTGCGAATCGATGTTTAGACGAATGCTTGACGAAGGCATCTGGATCGATTACATCTGGAAAAAATTCTCTCAGCTGATGTCATTATAATTAGAGTTGGATATTTATCAAAGAACAAAGCGTTATAAATAAAATTCTTGTTATTAACACATTCCATTTAAAATCGAGTTAATACCCTAGAACAACAAAATATATTAATGATTAAGTGCTAATACAGGTATTGAGTTTTCAAGAATTTTACTTAGGGTATCAACTGTATTGTCAACTGATGGGACTTCTTACTTCCAGTGAGTTATTCTAAATACATAACTATAAAAATTATATTGGTACTAAATATTTCGTAAAGCATGTATAAATTATTGAAAAATCATTTAAAAAATTGCTGTTTTTGGTTAGAAAATTATAGCCAGGAAACAACATAACTGTTTATTAGAACCTGAACAATTTTTATTACTAGAGGCAGGCTTCTATTTTGTACTGAGTAAGTCATTTAGCTCAGATGCAGTGGAAGTAACATTTGCGCATATACGGTTAAGAGCTGGATCCAATGATGCCACAGATGCTAGAGCTGCAGTGTATGCATTGCGTCAGATATTTTAAGATGTGGTATTGTAAAAGCTTCAGAATCATCAAATGTCGCAGAACGATTTAGCTTTGTCAGTTCTTCTCACCAATTCTCAAAGAGTAGAATGACTCTTATAGAGCTACAAATAACCATACAACAGAAATGTTGATACCTGCCACCACCAGCGTTCGATTAGAAGATTCGCAAAATAACTAGGTACATCCCAGAAAGCAAAATATATTCTGCTTCTGTAGCATTTGTCGCTGGGTATGTAATCAGAAAAATCCAGCAAAAACTGATGTGCAGTTCTTGTGTTGAACCACTGTTGCCAACAACTACTTCAGGACCGCTGCTGAAGATTATAAATTTTCAAGATAGAGGCAAATTAATTTATCCTTAGCCATAAAAAGAAAATTCAAAAGTTGCGTAAACTTGTGAAGAAACCTTACCGAGTAGAACAAGCTCGTACTTATGACGTGGGTACTTACATACCAGCCGAAAATACCATTGGTATGAGTTGAAAATTTCAAATTTATATTTCTTCGACCCAGACAGGGTTCAGTACTTAAACTACGGCGCAATAGGACAAATAATTGGTCACGAAATCACTCACGGGCTTGATAATGTTTGATATTAAAACTGAAGGGAAGACAACAACCTTAACAGTTATGGCGACACGATTTCGTCAATTTAAGTTCATTACTTATTGTTACGTTAGAACGGGACGATATTATGAGCTCGGCTCCATGCTTACAATCCAGTCATTTTAAGAAAATTATTTTAGATTCGCCGGTTTGAAATGGATAATAAATTACCCAAGGAAAAGTGAGTATGTCTTAGTTTTGGTGTAATATAGTTGAAACTGTGTATTTTTAGAATATTTTTGTGGTGTGAACGACAGACCAAAATTGAAAAATATTTGCTTGTTTTTACCGTTGTTGTAATCATCTACTTGATGTTACATGTACTAATGACGTCTCCTTCAACCAGTAAGTTTTTATCCAACATGAAAACCAATTGGCAATAAAATTTCCTAGGAGATACTCTTCAGCAAGACGTGTGTTTGACGGAAAAATGTCTTCGTTCGACAGCAGACATATTAGAAAAAATTGACGAAACTGTTGATCCGTGCGATGACTTTTATAAATTTGCCTGTGGTAAATTTGTTAAAAACGCCATAATCCCTGCTGGCAAAAAATCGATTTCTCCCTTTACCGACAACAGGTCAGAAAAATTCTCAGTTTGAATTTAATGATAAAGTGAATTTATTCAGTGATAAAGTAAGGCTACAATTCTACAAGCTTTTGGAAGGGCCTGATCATCATAACGAATCATATTCATTAAAACTACTCAAAGCAGTTTATAAGTCTTGTATGAACACAACACAAATCGAAAAAGAGGGATTGACTTATATGAAAAAGGCGTTTAAGGACTTTGGTGGTTGGCCTGTCGTAGAACCTTACTGGAATGAAACAAAATTCGAATGAACCACCCTTGCGTTTCGCCTTCTGGAAGGTGAATGGACACGGAGTTTGTTCTTTATCAACATTAACGATAGTGGTTACAAAAAATGGGGCCCACGCGTATATACAGTGAGTATTTCGTTTCTCAATTATCGGGTTGTATTATTATTCGCATTTACAGATTAGCCAACCTTATATGGATTATGTAAATTTAAAGGAAGGACGTAACGATACTGTAGTTAAAGCTTTGTATGAGTATATGGTCAAATTTGCGGTTCTTTTCGGTGCTGACAAAGCAACTGCAAGTTCTGATATGAAAGATGTGATTGATTTTCAAATTGAATTTGCAAAGGTGTTAATACCACTTGAGGAACGGAACAATATCTCTTCACATACTTCTACAATTCGAGGATTACAGGAAATGTATCCGAGTTTCCCGTGGTTAAATTTAATCAACAATTTTTTGTTTCCCATGATGAGGTTGGTTCCGGATGATATTATTCATGTGGAGCAACCGAAGTTTTTCGAAAGATTAGAAAACTTTCTACCTAAAACAACAATGTTCTTTTTAGAACTCTAGCAAACTATATGTTTTCAACACTTCTTGCAAGCTTGGTTCGATATTTACCAGAAGACTTTGAAATAAAACAAGTGGAATATTTGAAAATTGTTGATGAGAATTTCAAAGCCCTTCCAAGATGGAACATATGCATGTGGGAGGTATCAAAGTGAGCATTATCGAAGCAAAACGTCATTATAACGCTTACCAAAAAATTTTAGGTTGCACGTTGCTCAGTCTTCTGTGTTCATCCAGGTTTTTTTCGACAAACGCCTTAAACATAAATTGACTGAATTAACTGTAGACATTAAGAATTCATTGTTGGATGCTCTGAAAACAGTGGATTGGATTTATCAAAGCACTCAAAGATGCGCTACTATTAAAGTGAAGAAAATGACTTTTTGTGTAGGTTACCCCGAAGAACTTCTAAAGGACAACTATGTGAAAGTTTATTATCAATGGGTAATGCGGAAATAGTGCATGTATCGGTAATTAGTATTAACAAATCATGACTTCAGTTGCACCTGGATGGTAACGAATATTTTTGGAAGCTCAACGTTAAAATATCAAAATTTTTTCGGATGAATTTCGTTGAAAAGCTGGATGCACCACCCTTCATTAAAGATTATTTTGAAGACCATGCAAGTACTGATGGATTAAAAGCGTATTATATTAGAAACGAAAAGTCTATTGGTATATATTATAAATATTATATAAAAATGTGTATTTGTTTAAGAGAATCTACTTCCAAAAATTTTTTTTCTAGAAATGCCTGCTGGTGTGCTCCAGGATAAGCTCTTCGATCCTGATAGACCTTAATATTTGAATTACGGGACAATAGGAAAAATAATTGGCAATGAAGTCATTCATGGGTTTGATATTATTGTGTGGTGGAAGCTGAATTTTAAGAAGGGAAGACAGTGTATTCAGTACCAAAACAGGAAATTCAATTATTTTGACATGAATTTAAATGGCGTTACATTGCTTACAGAGCGTATCTCAAATGGTTGAAAAAGAATAAACCAGAACTTTCGCTTCCGGGACTTCGGTACACACCGCGTCAGCTTTTCTGGATTTCTTCAGCGACTCATTTGTGCGTTAAAAAGAAGCCAGAATTTTCAAAGCAGTTTGATATAAATTTTCGTGATCCTTTTTATTTACAATTCCTACTTCCTTTCAAGTATTCGGATTATTTTGAAAGGGATTTTAACTGTCCTGTGGGTTCACCGATAAAAGATAAGTGTGGTTTGTGATGAAATTCTTTGTTTGGTATACAAAAATGTTAGGAATATAATAAAGTTTTGTAAGAACTAAGTTTCATTAAAATGCTAAAATTGTGATTTGGCGTAAAAATCCAAGGTGTTTTAAAATAGGGGATGAGGCACACACGTAATTAGTTAATTTGTCACTGATGTAACCACACGATGTTTTCCAAGGGTAGAGTATTTCAATAAAATAATTGACTATATTAACAATAATCAGGTATAAATTTAACATAACACAATTAGCTGTCAGACTTCTGAATGCTTGATGAGGGAATCTAGATGTAAATGGAGTACGCCTGCAAAAATTTTTCTCAGCTGGTGTGATCATAGTCAAAGTTAAATAAATATTACTCCTAACATGTATAGAATACTAAGTTTTATGAATATATTTTTTTTCTAGGGTAACTTCTCCTAAAAAAAATCAAGAATGAGGTGGGAGAGAGTGGGTTTTATCAAGCTTTGGAAAGTTGGTATAATTCTAAGGAGTTTAATGGAATTAATGAAAATATCCTTTTGACTTATTTTGCACAAGGGCACGTACCCCCCCAAAATTACAATGTCTACAAATACACTGGACATAGCAAAATAGTAATTTTCAATATTTAAAAAGTTATCCGGAAATTTATGTCATAATTACTACTACTAATTTTATCATCTCGCTCCACTTGTATAAAATGTATCAAAACTTACTTCCACTTGCATCTAAAGGTGTGTCTTGGATATACGATATGTTATTTCTGATGAAATGTTGATAAAAGCCTGGCACAGAGATCGAATCATGACTGATTTAGGTGTTTTGTTTACTACATTTCGGAGCCGCCTGATATGCGCCTGATACAACTGGACTGTGGGCCCATTCCGACCGTGCTCGGGAGGATTGAGTTACTATCGAGGGTTTTAATTTTCATTCTGCGCTAACACGTATAATAAATATTCTTGGATAATCTTCTCGGTAATACAGACATTCGCAAACAACTACACACCGCTTATATTAATAATATTCAGGCACATAACGCAAGGGTCGACAAAAATCGCCATATATTACGCCGATTAATAATGTGCATACAATTTTGTCGAGTGTTTGAATTTGATTTACGTGGACATAAGGAATGTAGGGAATCACAAAATCTAGGTATATTTCGAGGTCTGATTGATTTTATGGCTGAATTGGACTTGATCAGATCATTTGAAAAAGTAACGGTTTTTAAAGGAACGTCTAAAACTGTCCAAAATGAACTTTTAGATGCCATGAACGTAAAATTTTGACCGAAGGCAAAAAGATATGTGGAGAAATCCTTTTTACTTCCCGAGCGTAAGCAAAGGAAGTATTGTAATCGAGTCCGTCGGCCGAATCTCTACTTTTACGTTTTCTCGATCTTTCATGACCCCTAGAAGACGAAGAAATAGGTCTCCCATTTCCGTCTGTCTGTCCGTCTGTCCGTCCGTCTGTCCGTCCGTCTGTCCGTCCGTCTGTCCGTCCGTCTGTCCGTCCGTCTGTCCGTCCGTCTGTCCGTCTGCCGTCCCGGATTTTTATTAGACAGATAATCTCCGAAAGTACTGGACCGATTGTTGTGAAATTTTGTACTTATATTAAGAATATGATGTAGATGGTAAAACGCTAACCAAAATTTGTCTAATCATCCCCACCACTAATGCGATGACGTCACTTCAAAATTGTACATAGTAAATGGGTTTTCAATTGTATAAAATAACATAGTCCTACACATGTAGTTTACAACTCCGAATCGACTTTTCACCCGAAACGTCCAGATTTTTGGAAAAAAAATCAAAATTATAAAACAACATTCTGAAATTTAATTTTCAATCTGCTAACCAGAATGCTTTGAAATGTTGCAGATGTTTTAAGGCTATAAAGAGCATCATAAATCTTTAGTCAAAAAATATTTGCTTATCCCCTCCAAAAACTTGATGACGTCAGCTCAAAAGTTTGTGGAATAAATCATATCTAAAATGTACAAAATATGATGAGTCTGTACTTGTGATTTATCACTCCATTCATATTTTTTGGATTTGCATATACAGGGTGACTCAAAAAAATTAATGAATGCGTAAATTTATTTTATTGATTTACTCAGGAACTACAAAACCGAATTCTTTAAAATCCACTGCGAAAAAAAAACATAATAGGCATGCAGTCGTCACGTTTCCGACAGCGAGGGAAGTACTGTCTAAACTCTTTAGACCAATTTTTTATTTTAATTGAAAACATTTTTGTATTTGTTTCCGTCACACAATTTCGTCTATTAATTGGTAATAACAACCTGTTTTATATCTTCATATTTAACTAATCAATCAAATTGTGTCCCCCCATTTCAAAAGATCACGAGCAGCCACTGTCTTTTGGAGTAGTTATTCCATGCTTAAATGTTTAGAAAGAAAATGCTAAGTTGAAATTGGAAATCGACCATCAAGGTAATGCCTGTAAGCGTGATTAATAGCTTGAAACTGAATTAAAAATGCTGCGAAAAAAAAAAGTTGAACTTTTTCAAATTTTAGAACCTCAGGAGCTTCATATCAAGAGGAATTGAATAAAACTGTGAAGAGCAAAAACTAATTCAAGAAAAATAACCAACCGATGAAGACAAAGAAAGAACTGCAAATTTCAATTTACTGTTAAAAAAGAAATGGACGGGATGGTCCCACACCTATTGGAATACCCTCATAAATGTTAATTATCTGGCAAGTAAAAGTTTTGGGTTGTGGGAATCCTTAACTGAAAACTTACCAGCCATTCAAAATAATCTTCAGTTGCTCACCATTTTATTTTCTGGCATACTATCATTTGCAAAATCTCATACTAACCAGTTTCAAAATTCATGAGATTTTTGATATCAGCAATTGATACTTCAACCGGAAAACTATAGGAACTTGACTGATGAAACGTCGTGCTCTTTTTTCAATGCTATGTAACCAATGGAAAGTGAAATAATACTTATGTACATGAATTTTTGGAATCAGTACTGGTACTCCAAAAATAGAGCCCCTAAATGCAAATTGTTTTCAGACGGTAAATCTTTCCATTCATTTTTTTTTTCGTTTCAGTCATGTTCTACAACTACCCATATTCTTAACTTCGCTTTATTTAAATTAGTGCCAGGAAACAACATATCACAGTTCGTTAGAATACCCTAAATTAAATTAACGACTTCAGAATTGAACAACTTAAACGGTTTTGGCGACACGATTTCGTTTAATTTAATAAATTATTTCTATCTGTAGTTCTTTGTACAGTATACAAAATTATCTAACAGACGTGTTTCACTACTTCTTGTTAAATTAGTGGGGGCCGAACCTTTTACGAGTGTATAAAGTCAAATACGCTGCTTATGCACATTCCAGACCAATAACATATAACTGGCTTTAAGCAAATTTTAGATTCGCCGATTCCAAATGGTTGAAAAATTACCCAAGGAAAAGTGAGTATATATTAAGAGATAAGGATAATGGCGTAATTTCGGCGTAATTTACTTAAAACCGCGTATTTTTAGAAAATTTTCGTGGTGGGAACGACAGACTAGAATTGAAAAATGTTTGCTTGTTCTTACCGGGTTTTCTGTTGTTGTAATCACCTACTTGATGTCAAATTTCCTAATGACGTTTCCTCCAACCAGTGAGTTTTTCTTTAACATTAAAAATAAATTGCTAATAAAATTTCGTAGGAGAGGGTCTTCCACAAGACGTGTGTTTAACGGAAAAATGTATTCGTTCAGCAGCACACATATTAGAGAAAATTGACGAAACCGTTGATCCGTGTGACGATTTTTATAAATTTGCTTGTGGTAACTTTGTTAAAAATACCATAATTCCTGACGACAAAGTAATGGTTTCTTCCTTCAGCGACACTAGGTGAGAAAAAGGGGACCCGGGTGGGTTAGGTAGCTTCCTGCTTGCCCGCTACACCTTGGGTCGTGGGTTCGATTCCCGCCCGGCTCTGGGTGTTGTGTATGTGCCCCGTTCCCCTGTAATTGGGCCACCGGCCTGTAGGGGAACGAAGTCAAATAAAAAAAATAATAAAAAAAAAAGTCTGGGTTTAAATTTAATTAAAGCGAATTTATTCAGAGATAAAGTAAATCTACAACTGATGAACCTTTTGGAAGAGCCTGATCGAGATCATGAACCATCTCATCTAAAACTTCTCAAGAAAGTTTATAAATCGTGCATGAACACAAAACAAATTGAAACAGAAGGGCTGACTTTTGTGAAAAATGGGTTTAAGGATCTTGGTGGGTGGCCTGTTGTAGAACCTTATTGGAACGACAAAATTTTCGATTGGAAAAGCCTTTTGTATCGTATTCAGAAAAGCGAATGGAGAGAAAGTTTCTTCTTTAGCATGCATGTGGGTACTGATTACAAAGATTCCACCAAAGTCATATTTACAGTGAGTATTTATTTTCTTGTGTATCGAGTGGTATTAGTAGCTATTTACAGATTACCCAACCTTCTATGTATTATGAAACACTAAAGAAAGGTTTTAACGACACTACAGTTAAAGCTATGTATAACCACATGGTCGAATTTGCGGTTCTTTTTGGTGCGGATAGAGCAACTGCCATTTCTGATATGAAAGACGTTATTGATTTTCGAATTGAATTGGCAAAGCTGATAATTCCAGATGAGGAAGAAAAAAATAAATCTTTGAACTATAATCCTGTAACAATTCGAGAATTACAGAAAAATTACCCGAGTCTTTCTTGGTTAAAGTTGATCAACAATTATTTGTCTCCGATAGATACGTTTACTTCGGATGATATTATTAATGTAGCGATTCCAAAATATATGGATAGCTTAGAAACATTTCTACCTAACATCAAAAAGAGGCATAATTTTGTTCTCCATTTTTAAGTAAAATAATGGTTTTCTTTTTAGGACCTTAGCAAACTATATGTTTTCAACCATTCTTGAGCGTTTGGTTACCCATTTGCCAGAACAATTTAGAAGAAAAGAAGCGGAATATGAGAGAATTGCGTATACGAAAAATGAGGCAACTCCGAGATGGAAAACTTGCGTGTGGCAAGCATCGAGGTGAGTTTTATCAAAAAGGATCCTTAAAATTAAAATAAAAAATTAGGTTGCACATCGCTATGTCATCTATACATATCAAGCATATGTTGGATAAACTTATTAAACATAAAGTGACTGAATTAGTAGCAGACATTAAGAGCTCATTTTTGGATACTTTGAAAAAAGTGGGTTGGATGGATCAGAAGACGAAAAAACACGCTGTTATTAAAGCAGAGAAAATGAGCTATTTTATAGGTTACCCTGAGGAACTTCTAGATGACAACAATGTGGAAGATTATTATCAAGGAGTAAAGTCGGAGAATCGCAAGTTTCAATCATCGGTTTTAACAAATTATTTCAGTTGGAGCTGAATGGTGACGAGTATTCTTTGAAAGTCCATTTTAATTTGTCACGATTTCTTCATATGAAGCATTTTCAGGAGCTGCGTATACCCGTGAATAACGAAGGCTGGAAAACCCAAGCATATACTTTTAAAGTCAATGCCTTTTATATACAAGTCGAAAACACCATTGGTATACATTATAGATCATGTTTTAAATATTGTTCAATGTCTTACTTTAAAAATTGTAATCATAATTTTTTTTTAGAATTGCCTGCTGCTGTGCTTCAGGATAACTTCTTTGATCCCGATAGACCTCAATACTTGAATTACGGAGCGCTAGGGGACATAATTGGCCATGAAATCACTCACGGATTTGATAGTAATGGCAGGCAGTATGATAAAAACGGCAATGTGATTGATTGGTGGGAGCCGGAAACTAACCGAACCTTTGGGCAGAAAAGCCAATGTCTTGTGGACCAATACAGCAATTACACAATTCCTGAGTCAGAAATTAATTTAAACGGCCTTAAAACTTTGGCTGAAGATATCGCCGATAACGGTGGAATTAAAATTGCATACAGAGGGTATTTGAAATGGCTGGAAAGGAATAAACCGGAGCTGCCTCTTCCGGCACTTCGGTATACACCGCGTCAGCTTTTCTGGATTTCTGCGGCCACTAATTCGTGTGCCAAAGTGAAGAAAGAATATTTAAAGCAGTCTATTCGTTGGAGTGCTCATTCTCCCGATTATTTTCGAATTCTGGTTTCTTTTATGAATTCGGACTATTTTGGAAGGGATTTTAACTGCCCTCTGGGGTCGCCGATGAATCCTAAATATAAGTGTAGTGTGTGGTGAAAAGCCCCCACTCTGAAAAAGATAAATAGGAAACTTTTAGAAATTTTAGAAAAACTTAAGACAATAATTTATTTATCCAAAATAACCAAAAACATTTTACCAAATAAAAATAAAACTCTTAAAACTATTTACCTAGTTTATATTTATGTCACACACACTCTCTCTTCCGAAGTTCCGGCACGAACTTATTAAATTATAGGGGTGTATGCAAACAATCTGTTATTCCCAAAATTTTGGATAGTATTGTGTCGAAACAACTCCACTGGTTGTCTTCTTCAGTTTTGACAAGTAATCAACACGGCTTCATGAAGGGTAAATCGCCTCTGTCAAATTTGCTTTCGTATTCTATATTTATTAATGAGGCGTTCGAAGCCAGGATTCAGGTTCATTCTGTTTACACCGATTTTGCCAAGGCATTCGACAGAGTAGATCACAATATTTTAATCTCTAAATTAAATTACTTTGGCTTTCATCATGACACAGTGAATTGGTTGTTATCATTTTTATCGGGGAGACAGCAGCAAGTTAGAATTGGAAATTTTAAATCTAATAGTTTCGAAGTCCCTTCAGGTGTACCACAGGGTACACATTGCGGTCGAGTTTTGTTTCTTATTTTTATTAATGACTTGCAATTTAATTTTGAATTTTCTAATTTTCTGCTTTATGCGGATGATTTAAAAATCTTCAAGAAAATCAGCTGCTTTGAGGACACAATCAAATTACAATTCGATTTAAACAGTTTGCATGGATGGTGCCTAAAGAATCAGTTATTTCTGAATGTCAATAAATGTTATGCCATTTCTTTTTGTAATCGTAATCTACGGAATGTTTTTATTCGCTCTTATGCGATTGATGATGTCTCACTCAAGATCGTGGATGAAATTAAGGATCTAGGGGTCGTTTTCGATTCTAAGTTAGCTTTCAAGAGTCATTATAGTATGATATTTAAAAAAGCATTAAATATGTGGGGTTTTTTGTGGCGTCATTGTCATATGCTATCAACGACTTATTGAGAGTACTTTATTGCTCACTTGTACGATCTCAGGTTGAATATTGCTCATCAGTTTGGAATCCATTTTATAAAACAGACATTGAACTTTTGGAAAGAATTCAAAAAAAGTTTCTACGATGTATGGAATTTAAAATGGGGATTGCACATCGTCCAGGAGAATATGATGTGGTCATGGAATTGTTTAAACTTCCTCCTTTGCATATAAGGAGAACAATGTCGGATTCTTGCATCTTACATGCAATTATTAATTTTCATTTACGTTCGCCTGATATTTTATCAAAATTATCATTTTATGCACCGGTTTCGAATATATGTACAACCAGAGGTGCTAAAATTTTTCGAGTTTCGGTTGCACAAACAAATCTGAGTTTGAACAACGCAGTTAGGCGAATGATGCAATTAGGTAATATATTAGCGGGATATAGATCAGTAGATATTTTCTCAAACCCTTTATACATATTTAGAAGAAAAATTGTTTATATTTTATTTAAAAATTGTTAACTTAGGAGTTGATGTTTAATTTGAATTTATTTTCAATTAATTTAGATTGTAAATGGTGGTTTTATGTAATTTTTATCAATTCTATATTAATGTAAATGGAGTTTTCCGTAATAAACTAAACTAAACTAAACTAAACGAGCCCAGGAAGACTCTCTCGTGCTGAACTTGCAAAATCACAGTTCGTCAATCTATGATAAGCTCAGCATTATGGTCTCCCCGCCGTAACTCGTGGTTGGGCGATTTCCCGAAGAGAGGAATGTCGAAATTTTAAAAACTCAAAAAGTCTAATGTGACACTATGAAAGGAATATAACAAACTTTTGTAAGAAATATATATGTTTCATTATAGTAGTTTACGATACAAGTAACGTTATTAGGGTTTTTACATTACGAGGAATATGTTTGAAGAACGAGGGGCGGTAGCCCCGAGTTCTTTAAAATTTCCGAGTAATGTAAAACCAGATAACGTTACGTGCATCGTAACACGTTTTATTTTATCCTATAATCACAATTTAAAACTATAACAAAAATATTTTTAACGACAAAGTTCAAAGCGCACGAAAAATCAGTCAGCTATGCCTGCGCTGGTAGCCACGGTATTAGTTGTTTACACTGAAAAAACTATTGTTTCTGATTTTGTAAATGCGAGAATGACTTCCAAAATAAAAGGCCGTTGCTGAAAGGCAAAAAAACAGCTGGCAGGTATCTCAAAGAGGTAGTAAACTTTAAGACCTGGAGAAAAAAATACACGATAGATAGATTAATTACTATTAGCAGACGCTTCGGAATTAGTAAGTTTTTAAAATTTTTATGTCAACAGCTCTGAAGGGAAAATGTCAGTGAAGATTATGATTTCATAACAACACTAGTGTTGTTATGAAAATTCATAACAGTACTAGTAATGTAAAGTATGCCTTAACGTAACTCGTTGTCAACGTGTTATCGGTATGGTTACAATATAGGATAAAATAAAAATATTAAAATTGTGATTTGACGTTCATTAAAAGTTTACCTTCTTTAGGACATTGCTTGATCATTCAGTCACCTATAGCACACTTAAGAGCACCATTAGATCAACAGGGAGCCATGAAAATAAACCCAGTTAAATACTAAGCATCCTCCCAGCATAAAGTAAATTAACTAAGAAAGTAAAATCGTTTTGATGAGGATAAATATTCTGTGTTATGTCAGTTGAGTGCGATATCCAGCAATCAATGTCATAAACTGAAACGATAAACCACTGAAGAACATTCACTTGGCCCCAAATTACAACTTTTCCGTTGTTGTAATTATAAAAGATGATTATCAAGGTTATAGCAATACGGAATCGACCGAAAACTTTATTACTGATTTTACAAAAAAAATGCTTCTTTTCTGTTATTGATTAAAATCAACTGAAGTTAACAACTTAAACGATTCTGATTGCGTTTAATTTAAAAAGTTATATCCTTTACACTTCCACTAATAAACTGCTCTTTCTGTTGCCCACATTTCAGCCACTAAATGTTATTTCAGTTACGTAAAAGCATTTGTAAAATTCGGTTGTTAATTGTTCTAGTTTTCCACATTCATTTGGGTTTGGAAAAGTGAAACTTTTCCTAACTAGAGGAAAAATAAAACAAAACAATATCAAACACCAGTTCTCAAACTCTGTACGCCTTATTATAATTTTTCTTTGATTTCTCGGGCAATAGTGAATTGTGTGCCAGTGTGGCTGACTCTTCAACATCAAAAGATACTATGCAACATCATCTTCTGACATTTTTACCTCAAGTAACACCCAAAACACTTCAAACGTTGAAAAATTGCAAAATGTTGCGTTGTTTGTTTGTATTTTCCATGACAACAAATTTATTGCATTAAAGGGACTTGATACTTTATTATTCAGTTAAATTTATAATGAAGAGGAATTACAGAAAATTTATCCGAGTTTCCCGTGGTTAAAGTTAATAAACATTTTTTTGTTTCCCAAGAAGATGTTGGTTCCGGTATTTATGAGAAGCAACCGAACTTTTTCAGAAAGGTAGTAAACTCTGTACTTGAAATAAAAAAGAGGTATAATTTTTGCCTCGTATTTTTCATTAAAACAACAGTGTTCTTTTTAGAACTCTAGCGAACTATATGTTTTCAACAGTTCTTGCAAGCTTGGTTCAATATTTGCCAGAAGAATTTGAAATAAAACAAGTGGAATCTTTGAAAATTGTTGATGGGAAATTCAAAGCCACTCCAAGATGGAACAGATGCATTTCGAAAGCATCAGAGTGAGCATTATCAAAAACATCATTATAACATTTACCACAAAATTTTAGGTTGCACGTTGCTTGGTCTTCTGTACACATCCAGTATTTGTTCGACAAACGCATTAAACATAAAGTGACTGAATTACCTGTAAACATTAAGAATTCATTTTTGAATGCTTTGAAAACAGTGGATTGGATGGATGAGAGCGCTAAAATATATGCTGCCATTAAAGCGAAGAAAATGACTTTTTGTGTAGGTTACCCCGAATAACTTCTAAATGACACCTATGTGAATCTTTATTATCAATGGGTAATGCGAAAATAGTGCATGAATCGGTAATTAGTTTTAACAAATCATGACTTCAGTTGCACCTGGATGATAACTAGAGAGCGGAAAATATGCAGCAAAATTTTGAGAAATATGATCATATGATATGCACCAAATTTATGCAAATATGCAGTAACTTTCTTAATATATGCAGAGATATGCAGTTGCATATGCTCCAAAAATAAAGAAAAAGCTTAATAAGCGAACTAAATTTATTTATAAAATACAAAAAACAGGTTTCCCGAGCTTACGTTTTAATTAAAAAAAATACATAAATCACATTGCAAAGTGTTTAATTACATTTCACTAACACATAAATCACCTTTTTAAAGTTAATATTCTTATAGCAAAAAATAAATAAAAACAGAACAAATTAAAAAATAGTAGTAATCCATTATGTAACTACTCTTTTCGTAACAATTTATTTATAAATATTTTTCGAAATATTCTAACAAAAAGTTTTTCTCCTGATTCTAAAGTATATGTATTTGTAAATAGAAAAACTGCGTACTACGTCCACAGATATAAAAATACTTACCGGTTTAGTGCAGGCGCGACAAAACACAGTTCGTTCTTGAAGAATAACTTCAGGAAAAGGTTTAACCCATAAATTAATTTGAGTTATCTTCGACATATTGATACAACTGTATCCCTTTAAATGCTTCAATACAAACTCACGATGAAAAATGATAGTATAACGTCCCTTCGACCACCACTAAACGTACCATTAATACACTTAACTAACGAACAAAAATATTGGGAGTGAACGGTATTTCCCAAAGTAATTAGGGAGCGAATTTACCTGGAAGGATGAGGTCTCCAAACTACCATAAAACCCAAACCTTTCCTAGCTATTTGAAGCTTAGAATAATATTTGTAATATGATTCATCAAATTTCGTCTTTCTAAATAAATGCCGATAGAATGACAATTTTTTTTTTTCAAATTAGCACAAAAATTGATAAAAATGCAAAATATGCACCTGTTCCGTGAAATATGCAGCAGAAGGCAAATATATGCAAATATGCAATTTTTTTATAGCTGTATTCATTTTTAATTAGCATGATTCATTCACATATTAAATATCAAGTCTTATATGCAAAAAATAACGGATATGCAAATTTCATAAAATCCGCTCTCTAATGATAACGAATATTTTTGGAAGGTCAATATTAATATGTCAAAATTTTTTCGGATGAAGTTAGTTGAAAAGTTGGATGATTATTTTGAAGAGCACGCAAGTACTGGTGGATTAAAAACGTATTATAAGGGAAAAGAAAACACCATTGGTATTTATTGCAAATATTATATGTATAAAAATTTGTATTTGTTTAAGAGAATCTAATTCCAAATTTTTTTTTTTTAGAAATGCCTGCTGGTGTGCTTCGGGATAAGCTCTTCGATCCTGATAGACCTCAATACTTGAATTACGGGACAATAGGAAAAATAATAATTGGCAATGAAGTCATTCATGGGTTTGATAATGGTGCCAGGAAATACGATGAAGCCGGCAACGCGCTTGTTTGGTGGGAACCGAAAATTAACCGAAATTTTCAGAAGAAAATACAGTGTATTGTTAAGCAATACACCAAATACAATGATACAAAAATGGATTTCAGACATGTTAAATATGTCGGCGAAAGTATCGCCGATTACGGTGGAATCAACATTGCTTATAGAGCATATCTCAAATGGTTGAAAGGGAATAAAGCAGAACCTTCGCTTCCGGGACTTCGGTACACACCGCGTCAACTTTTCTGGATTTCTTCAGCGACTAATTGGTGCGTTAAAAAGGAGACAGACTTTTCAAAGCAGTTTGATATTACTTTTCGTGATCCTTTTTATTTTCAATTCCTGGCTCCTTTCATGAATTCGGATTATTTTGGAAGGGATTTTAACTGTCCTGTGGGTTCACCGATGAATCCTAAAGATAAGTGTCGCGTGTGATGAAATTCTGAGTTTGGTATACAAAAACGTTAGGAATTTAATAAAGTTTTGAAAGAACTAGGTTTCATTAAAATATTAAAATTGTGATTTGGCGTTAAAATCCAAGGTGTTTTAAAATAGGGGATGAGCCACACACGTAATTAGTTAATTTGTCACTGATGTAACCACACGATGTTTTCCAAGGGTAGAGTATTTCAATAAAATAATTGACTATGTTAACAATAATAATCAGCTATAAATGTAACATAACAGAATTAGCTGTCAGATTTCTGAATGCTTGAGGAAGGAATCTAGATGTCCAGATGGAGTACGCCTGCAAAAATTTTTCTCAGCTGGTGTGATCATAGTCAAAGTTAAATAAATATTACTCCTAATAAGTATAGAATACAAAGTTTTATGAATATATTTTTTTAACTAGGGTATCTTCTCCTAAAAAAATTAAGAATGAGGTGGGAGAGAGTGGGTTTTATCAAGCTTTGGAAGGTTTGTATAAGTCTAAGAAGTTTAATGGATTTAATGAAGATATCCTTTTGACTTATTTTGCACAAGGGCACGTACCCCCCCCCCAAAATTACAACATCTGAATACACACTGGACATTGCAAAATAGTAGTTTTCAATATTTAAATAATTATCCGGAAATTTATGTCCTAATTATCAAAACTAATTTTTTTATCTCGCTCCACTTGTATAAAATGTATCAAAACTTACTTCCACTTGCATCTAAAGATGTGTCTTGGATGTACGATATGTTATTTCTGATGAAATGTTGATAAAAGCCCGGCACAGAGATCGAATCATGGCTGATTTAGGTGTTTTGTTTACTACAGCTCGTAGCCGCTTGATATGCGCCTGATACAACTGGACTGTGGGCCCGTTCCGACCGTGCTCGGGAGGATTGAGTTACTATCGCTGGTTTTAATTTTCATTCTGCGCGAACACGTATGACAAATATTCTTGGATAATCTTCTCGGTAATACAGACATTCGCAAACAACTCGTCGAAAAAATCGCCATATATTACGTCCATTGATAATAATCTGCATAAAATTTTGTCGAGTGTTTGAATTTGCTTTACGTGGACATGACGAAAGTAGGGAATCATAAAATCTAGGTATATTTCGAGGTCTGATTGATTTTATGGCTGAATTTGACTTAATCAGATCATTTTAAAGAAGTAACGGTTTTTAAAGGAACGTCTAAAACTGTCCAAAATGAACTTTTAGATGCCATGGACGTAAAATTTTGACCGAAGGCAAAAAGAAATGTGGAGAAATCCTTTTTTATTTTTATTGAATACATTTCTGTACTTATTTCCGGCACACAATTTCGTCTATTAATTGGTAATAACAACCTGTTTAATATCTTCATATTTAACTCATAAATCAAATTGTGTCCCCCCATTTCAAAAGGTTACGAGCCGCCACTGTCTTTTGGAGTGGTTATTCCATGCTTAAATGTTTAGAAAGAAAATGCTAAGTTGAAATTGGAAATGGACCATCAAGGTAATGCCTGTAAGCGTGATCAATAGCTCGAAACTGAATTACAAATTTAATGCTGCAGGAAAAAAATACAGAAATACATACTTAGAAGAGCTTGAAAAACAGATTTTTCTCTGAAAGCAAAATGTTGAACTTTTTCAAATTTCAGAACCTCAGGAGCTTCATATCAAGATGAATTGAATAAAACTGTGAAGAGCAAAAACTAATTGAAGAAAAATAACGGACTGATGAAGACAAAGAAAGAACTGCAAATTTTAATTTATTGTTAAAAAAGAAATGGACGGGATGGTGCCACACCTATTGGAACACATTGATAAATGTTAATTATCTGGCAAGTAAAAGTTTTGGGTCGTGAGAATCCTTAACTGAAAACTTGCCAGCCATTCAAAATAATCTTCAGTTGTTCATCATTTTATTTTGTGGCATACTATCATTTGCAAAATATCACACTCACCAGTTTCAAAATTCATGAGATTTTTGATATCAGCAATTGATACTTCAACCGGAAAACTATAGGAACTTGACTGATGAAACGTCGTGGTCTTTTTTCAATGCTATGTAACCAATGGAAAGTGAAATAATACTTACTGTACATGAATTTTTGGAATCAGTACTGGTACTCCAAAAATAGAGCCCCTAAATGCAATTTTTTTTCAGACGGTAAATCTTTTCATTCATTTTTTTTTTCGTTTCAGTCATGTTCTACAACTACCCATATTCTTAAATTCGCTTTATTTAAATTACTGCCAGGAAACAACATATCACAGTTCGTTAGAATACCCCAAATTCTTTAAATTAACGACTTCAGAATTGAACTGAAAACAACAACTTACACAGTTTTGGCGACCGATTTCGTCTAATTTAAAAAATTATGCCTAGCTGGAGATCTTTGTACAGAATACGAAATTCTCTAACAGACGTGTTTCACTATTTCTTGTTAAATTAGTGGGGGCCGAACCTTTTACGAGTTTATAAAGTCAAATACGCTGCTTATGCACATTCCAGACCAATAACATATAACTGACTTTGAGCAAATTTTAGATTGGCCGATTCCAAATGGTTGAAAAATTACCCAGGGAAAAGTGAGTATATATTAACAGATAAGGATAGTGGCGTAATTTATTTAAAATCGCGTATTTTTAGAAAATTTTCGTGGTGGGAACGACGGACTAGAATTGAAAAATGTTTGCTTGTTCTTACCGGGTTTTCTGTTGTTGTAATTACCTACTTGATGTCAAATTTCCTAATGACGTTTCCTCCAACCAGTGAGTTTTTCTTTAACATTAAAAATAAATTGCTAATAAAATTTCGTAGGAGAGGGTCTTCCACAAGATGTGTGTTTAACGGAAAAATGTATTCGTTCAGCAGCACACATTTTAGAGAAAATTGACGAAACTGTTGATCCGTGTGACGATTTTTATAAATTTGCTTGTGGTAACTTTGTTAAAAATACCATAATTCCTGACGATAAAGTAATGGTTTCTTCGTTCAGCGACACTAGGTGAGAAAAAGTCTGGGTTTAAATTTAATTAAAGCGAATTTATTCAGAGATAAAGTATTTCTACAACTGATGAACCTTTTGGAAGAGCCTGATCGAGATCATGAACCATCTCATCTAAAACTTCTCAAGAAAGTTTATAAATCGTGCATGAACACAAAACAAATTGAAACAGAAGGGCTGACTTTTGTGAAAAATGGGTTTAAGGATCTTGGTGGTTGGCCTGTTGTAGAACCTTACTGGAACGACAAGATTTTCGATTGGAAAAGCCTTTTGTATCGTATTCAGAAAGGTGAATGGAGAGAAAATTTCTTTTTTAGCATGTATGTGGGTACTGATTACAAAGATTCGTCCAAAGTCATATTTACAGTGAGTATTTATTTTCTTGTGTATCGAGTGGTATTAGTCGCTATTTACAGATTACCCAACCTTTTATGTATTATGAAGCACTAAAGAAAGGTTTTAATGACACTACAGTTAAAGCTATGTTTAATTACATGGTCGAATTTGCGGTTCTTTTTGGTGCGGATAGAGCAACTGCAATTTCTGATATGAAAGACGTTATTGATTTTCGAATTGAATTGGCAAAGCTGATAATTCCATCTGAAGAACAAAAAAATAAATCTTTGAACTATAATCCTGTTACAATTCGAGAATTACAGAAAAATTACCCGAGTTTTTCTTGGTTAAAGTTGTTCAACAATTATTTGTCTCCGATAGATATGTTGACTTCCGATGACATTATTAATGTAGCGATTCCAAAATATATGGATAGCTTAGAAACATTTCTACCTAAAATTAAAAAGAGGTATAATTTTGTTCTCCATTTTTAAATAAAATAGTGGTTTTCTTTTTAGGACCTTAGCAAACTATATGTTTTCAACTATTCTTGAGAGTTTGGTTACCCATTTGCCAGAACAATTTAGAAGAAAAGAAGCGGAATATGAGAGAATTGCGTATGCGAAAAATGAGGCAACTCCGAGATGGAAAACTTGCGTGTCGCAAGCATCGAGGTGAGTTTTATCAAAAAGGATCCTTAAAATTAAAATAAAAAATTAGGTTGCACATCGCTATGTCATCTATACATATCAAGCATATGTTGGATAAACCTATTAAACATAAAGTGACTGAATTAGTAGTAGACATTAAGAGCTCATTTTTGGATACTTTGAAAAAAGTGGGTTGGATGGATCAGAAGACGAAAAAACACGCTGTTATTAAAGCAGAGCAAATGAGCTATTTTATAGGTTACCCTGAGGAGCTTCTAGATGACAACAATGTGGAAGATTATTATCAAGGGGTAAAGTCGGAGTATCGCAAGTTTCAATCATCGGTTTTAACAAATTATTTCAGTTGGAGCTGGATGGTGACGAGTATTCTTTGAAAGTCCATTTTAATGTGTCACGATTTCGTCATATGAAGCACTTTCAGGAGCTGAGTAAACCCGTGAATAACGAAGGCTGGAAAAACCAAGCATATACTTTTAAAGTCAATGCTTTTTATACAGAAATCGAAAACACCATTGGTACACATTATAGATCATGTTTTAAATATTGTTCAATGTCTTATTTTTAAAAATTTTAATCATAACTTTTTTTTAGAATTGCCTGCCGCTGTGCTTCAGGATAACTTCTTCGATCCCGATAGACCTCAATACTTGAATTACGGAACACTAGGGGACATAATTGGCCATGAAATCATTCACGGATTTGATAATAATGGCAGGCAGTATGATAAAAACGGCAATGTGATTGATTGGTGGGAGCCGGAAACTAACCGAACCTTTGGACAGAAAAGCCAATGTCTTGTGGACCAATATAGCAATTACACAATTCCTGAGTCAGAAATTAATTTAAACGGCGTTAAAACTTTGGCTGAAAATATCGCCGATAACGGTGGAATTAAAATTGCATACAGAGGGTATTTGAAATGGCTGGAAAGGAATAAAGCGGAGTTGCCTCTTCCGGCACTTCGGTATACACCGCGTCAGCTTTTCTGGATTTCTGTGGCCACTAATTCGTGTGTCAAAGTGAAGAAAGAATATTTAAAGCAGTCTATTCGTTGGAGTGCTCATTCTCCCGATTATTTTCGAATTCTGGTTCCTTTTATGAATTCGGACTATTTTGGAAGGGATTTTAACTGCCCTCTGGGGTCGCCGATGAATCCTAAATATAAGTGTAGTGTGTGGTGAAAAGCCCCCACTCCGAAAAAGATAAATAGGAAACTTTTAGAAATTTTAGAAAAACTTAAGACAAAAATTTATTTATCCAAAATAACCAAAAACGTTTTGCCAAATAAAAATATAACTCTTAAAACTATTTACCTAGTTTATATTTATGTCACCGTGGGCAACCACACACACTCTCTCTTCCGAAGTTCCGGCATGAGCCTAGTAAGACTCTCTCGTGCTGAACTTGCAAAATCACAGTTCGGCAATCTATGGTAAGCTCAGCATTATGGTCTCCCCGATCTTCCGCCGTAACTCGTGGTTGGGCGATTTCCCGAAGAGAGGAATGTGGAAATTTTAAAAACTCAAAAAGTCTAATGTGACACTATGGAAGGAATATAACAAACTTTTGTAAGAAATATATATGTTTCATTAAAATATTAAAATTGTGATTTGACGTTCATTAAAAGTTTACCTTCATTAGGACACTGCTTGATCATCCAGTCACTTATAGCACACTTAAGAGCACCATTAGAACAACAGGGGGCCATGAAAATAAACCCAGTTAAATACTAAGCATCCTCCCAGCATAAAGTAAATTAATTAAGAAAGTAAAATCGTTTTGATGATGATAAATATTCTGTGTTATGTTAGTTGAGTGTGATATCCAGCAATTAATGTCATTAACTGAAACGATAAACCACTGAAGAACATTCATTTGCCCCAAAATTACAACTTTTCCTTTGTTATGATTATAAAAGATGATTATTATCAAGGTTATAGCAACACGGAATCGACCGAAAACTTTATTACTGATTTTACAAAATAAATGCTTCTTTTCTGTTAAGTTAGTGATTAAAATCAACTGAAGTTAACAACTTAAACGATTCTGATTGCGTTTAATTTAAAAAGTTATATCCGTTACACTTCCACTAATAGACTGCTCTTTCTGTTGCCCATATTTCAGGCCACTAAATGTTATTTCAGTTACGTAAAAACATTTGTAAAATTCGGTTGTTAATTGTTCTAGTTTTCCACATTCATTTGGGTTTGGAAAAGTGAAATTTTTCCTAACTAGAGCGGAAAAATAAAACAAAACAATATCAAACACCAGTTCTCAAATTCCTTGTACGCCTTTTTATATTTTTTCTTTGATTTTTCGGGCAATAGTGAATTGCGTGCCAATGTGGCTGACTCTTCAACATCAAAAGATACTGATGCAACATCATCTTCCAACATTTTTACCTCAAGAAACAGTCAAAACACTTCAAACGTTGAAAAATTGCAAAATGTTGCGTTGTTTGTTTGTATTTTCCATGACAACAAATTTATTGCATTAAAAGGGACTTGATACTCTATCATTCAATTAAATTTATAATGAAGAATTTTTTTACCTAATTTTACAAAATCTTGTGTGCAATTTGATTGGAAAAGTGTCTTTCCACATTCACGACATATTTTTGATCTCGACTTCGTCTCGATCAAAAATCTCATGTCTAGAATGTGGGAAAATGTCACATTTCCTATCTTATTGCACAAATAGCTATTGTAAAATTCGGTTGTTAATTGTTCTAGTTTTCCACATTCATTTGGGTTTGGAAAAGTGAAATTTTTCCTAACTAGAGCGGAAAAATAAAACAAAACAATATCAAACACTAGTTCTCAAACTCTTTGTATGCCTTTTTATAATTTTTCTTTGATTTCTCGGGCAATAGTGAATTGCGTGCCAGTGTGGCTGACTCTTCAACAACAAAAGATACTATGCAACATCATCTTCCAACATTTTTACCTCAAGAAACACCCAAAACACTTCAAACGTTGAAAAAGGGCAAAATGTTGCGTTATTTGTTTGTATTTTCCATGACAACAAATTTATTGCATTAAAGGGACTTGATACTTCATTATTCAGTTAAATTTATAATAAACAGGAATTACAGAAAATTTATCCGTGTTTCCCGTGGTTAAATTTAATAAACATTTTTTTGTTTCCCAAGAAGATGTTGGTTCCGGATTATAGTATTTATGAGAAGCAACCGAACTTTTTCAGAAAGGTAGTAAACTTTGTACTTGAAATAAAAAAGAGGTATAATTTTGGCCTCGTATTTTTAATTAAAACAACAGTGTTCTTTTTAGAATTCTAGCGAACTATATGTTTTCAAATGTTCTTGCAAGCTTGGTTCAATATTTGCCAGAAGAATTTGAAATAAAACAAGTGGAATATTTGAAAATTGTTGATGGGGAATTCAAAGCCATTCCAAGATGGAACAGATGCATTTCGAAAGCATCAGAGCGAGCTTTATTAAAAACATCATTATAACATTTACCACAAAATTTTAGGTTGCACGTTACTCGGTCTTCTATACACATCCAGTATTTGTTCGACAAATGCATTAAACATAAAGTGACTGAATTAACTGTAAACATTAAGAATTCATTTTTGAATGCTTTGAAAACAGTGGATTGGATGGATGAGAGCGCTAAAATGTATGCTGCCATTAAAGCGAAGAAAATGACTTTTTGTGTAGGTTACCCCGAAGAACTTCTAAATGACACCTATGTGAATCTTTATTATCAATGGGTAATGCGAAAATAGTGCATGAATCGGTAATTAGTTTTAACAAATCATGACTTCAGTTGCACCTGGATGATAACGAATATTTTTGGAAGGTCAATGTTAATATGTCAAAATTTTTTCGGATGAAGTTAGATGAAAGGGTGGATGATTATTTTGAAGAGCACGCAAATACTAGGGGATTAAAAGCGCATTATAAGGGAAAAGAAAACACTATTGGTATTTATTACAAATATTATATGTATAAAAATTTGTGTTTGTTTAAGAGAATCTAATTCCAAATTTTTTTTTTAGAAATGCCTGCTGGTGTGCTTCGGGATAAGCTCTTCGATCGTGATAGACCTCAATACTTGAATTATGGGACAATAGGAAAAATAATTGTCCATGAATTCATTCATGGGTTTGATGATATTGGCAGGAAATATGTATGATGAAGACGGAGTAGTTATTCCATGCTTAAATGTTTATAAAGAAAATGCTAAGTTGAAATTAGAAATGGACCATCAAAGTAATGCCTGTAAGCGTGAAACTGAATTAAATATGCTGCAGAAAAAAAAAATTTAGAAATATATATTTAGAAGAGCTTGAAAGACAGATCTTTTCTCTGAAAGCAAATGTTGAACTTTTTCAATTTTCAGAACCTCAGGAGCTTCATATCAAGATGAATTGAATAAAACTGTGAAGAGCAAAAACTAATTCACGAAAAATAACCAACTGATGAAGACAAAGAAAGAACTGCAAATTTCAATTTACTGTTAAAAAAGAAATGGACGGGATGGTGCCACACCTATTGGAACACACTCATAAATGTTAATTATCTGGCAAGTAAAAGTTTTGGGTCGTGAGAATCCTTAACTGGAAACTTACCAGCCATTCAAAATAATCTTCAGTTGTTCACCATTTTATTTTGTGGCATACTATCTTTTGCAAAATATCACATTCAACTAAGATAAAAAATATTCACGGTCAAAAAAAAGGGATCTTGTTTTCTTAATTAATTTACCTTGTGCTAGAAGGATGCTTTACATTTAATCTGGATTCACGTCCATCTTTTTTCTTTGTTTTAATTTTTCTTCGTAGATAATAGTAATAATAATAATAATATATATTGCATTCCTGAAATATTTTGTTACGTTCCTCACTCGAAATTAACAAATCTGCCAGTTTCAAAATTCATGACATTTTTCATATCATCAATTGATACTTCAGTCAGAAAATTATAGGGACTTGACTGATGAAATTGTGTTGTGGTCTTTTTTCAGTGCTATGTAGCCAATGGAAAGTGAAATAATACTTACTGTACATGAATTTTTGGAATCAGTACTGGTACTCCAAAAATAGAGCCCCTAAATCCAAATTGTTTTCAGACGGTATATCTTTCAATTCATTTTCTTTTCGTTTCATTCATGTTCTACAACTACCCATATTCTTAAATTCACTTTATTTAAATTACTGCCAGGAAACAACATATCACTGTTCGTTAGAATACCCCAAATTCTTTAAATTAGCGACTTCAGAATTGAACTGAAAACAACAACTTAAACGGTTTTGGCGACACGATTTCGTCTAATTTAATAAATTATTTCTATCTGCAGTTCTTTGTACAGAATACGAAATTATCTAACAGACGTGCTTCACTACTTCTTGTTAAATTAGTGGGGGCCGAACCTTTTACGAGTTTATAAAGTCAAATACGCTGCTTATGCACATTCCAGACCAATAAAATAGGTATATGTGACTTTAAGCAAATTTTAGATTCGCTGATTCCAAATGGATGATAAAGTACCCGGGGAAAAGTGAGTATAGATTAAGAGATAAGGATAATGGCGTAATTTCGGCGTAATTTATTTAAAACCGCGTATTTTTAGAAAATTTTCGTGGTGGGAACGACGGACTAGAATTGAAAAATGTTTGCTTGTTCTTACCGGGTTTTCTGTTGTTGTAGTCATCTACTTGGTGTCAAATTTCCTAACGACGTTTCCTCCAACCAGTGAGTTTTTCTTTAACATTAAAAATAAATTGCTAATAAAATTTCGTAGGAGAGAGTCTTCCACAAGACGTGTGTTTAACGGAAAAATGTATACGTTCAGCAGCACACATATTAGAGAAAATTGACGAAACCGTTGATCCGTGTGACGATTTTTATAAATTTGCTTGTGGTAACTTTGTTAAAAATACCATAATTCCTGACGACAAAGTAGTGGTTTCTTCCTTCAGCGGCATTAGGTGAGAAAAAGTCTGGGTTTAAATTTAATTCAAGCGAATTTATTCAGAGATAAAGTAAATCTACAACTGATGAACCTTTTGGAAGAGCCTGATCGAAATCATGAACCATCTCATCTAAAACTTCTCAAGAAAGTTTATAAATCGTGCATGAACACAAAACAAATTGAAACAGAAGGGTTGACTTTTGTGAAAAATGGGTTTAAGGATCTTGGTGGTTGGCCTGTTGTAGAACCTTACTGGAACGACAAAATTTTCGATTGGAAAAGCCTTTTGTATCGTATTCAGAAAAGCGAATGGAGAGAAAGTTTCTTCTTTAGCATGTACGTGGGTACTGATTACAAAGATTCGTCCAAAGTCATATTTACAGTGAGTATTTATTTTCTTGTGTATCGAGTGGTATTAGTCGCTATTTACAGATTACCCAACCTTTTATGTATTATGAAATACTAAAGAAAGGTTTTAACGACCCTACAGTTAAAGCTATGTATAACCACATGGTCGAATTTGCGGTTCTTTTTGGTGCGGATAGAGCAACTGCAATTTCTGATATGAAAGATGTTATTGTTTTTCGAATAGAATTGGCAAAGCTGATAATTCCAGATGAGGAACAAAAAAATAAATCTTTGAACTATAATCCTGTTACAATTCGAGAATTACAGAAAAATTACCCGAGTCTTTCTTGGTTAAAGTTGATCAACAATTATTTGTCTCCGATAGATATGTTTACTTCGGATGATATTATTAATGTAGCGATTCCAAAATATATGGAAAGCTTACAAACATTTCTACCTAACATCAAAAAGAGGCATAATTTTGTTCTCCATTTTTAAGTAAAATAATGGTTTTCTTTTTAGGACCTTAGCAAACTATATGTTTTCAACTATTCTTGAGAGTTTGGTTACCCATTTGCCAGAACAATTTAGAAGAAAAGAACTGGAATATCAGAGAATTGTTTATGGGAAAAATGAGGCAACTCCGAGATGGAAAACTTGCGTGTGGCAAGCATCGAGGTGAGTTTTATTAAAAAGGTTCCTTAAAATTAAAAAAAAAGAAATTAGGTTGGACATTGCTATGTCATCTATACATATCAAGCATATGTTTGATAAACCTATTAAACATAAAGTGACTGAATTAGTAGCAGACATTAAGAGCTCATTTTTGGATACTTTGAAAAAAGTGGGTTGGATGGATCAGAAGACGAAAAAACACGCTGTTATTAAAGCAAAGAAAATGAGCTGTTTAATAGGTTACCCTGAGGAACTTCTAGATGACAACAATGTGGAAGATTATTATCAAGGGGTAAAGTCGGATTATCGCAAGTTACAATCATCGGTTTTCACAAATGATTTCAGTTGGAGCTGGATGGTGACGAGTATTCTTTGAAGGTCGATTTTAATTTGTCACGATTTTTTCATATGAAGCACTTTGAGGAGTTGCGTAAACCCGTGAATAACGAAGGCTGGAAAAACCAAGCATATACTTTTAATGTCAATGCCTTTTATATAGAAGTCGAAAACACCATTGGTATACATTATAGATCATGTTTTAAATATTGCTCAATGTCTTACTTTCAAAATTTTATTCATAATTTTTTTTAGAACTGCCTGCTGCTATGCTCCAGGATAACTTCTTCGATCCCGATAGACCTCAATACTTGAACTACGGAGCACTAGGGGACATAATTGGCCATGAAATCACTCACGGATTTGATAATAATGGCAGGCAGTATGATAAAAACGGCAATGTGATTGATTGGTGGGAGCCGGAAACTAACCGAACCTTTGGGCAGAAAAGCCAATGTCTTGTGGACCAATACAGCAATTACACAATTCCTGAGTCAGAAATTAATTTAAACGGCCTTAAAACTTTGGCTGAAGATATCGCCGATAACGGTGGAATTAAAATTGCATACAGAGGGTATTTGAAATGGCTGGAAAGGAATAAACCGGAGCTGCCTCTTCCGGCACTTCGGTATACACCGCGTCAGCTTTTCTGGATTTCTGCGGCCACTAGTTGGTGTGCCAAAGTGAAGAAAGAATATTTAAAGCAATCTGTTAGTTGGAGTGCTCATTCTCCCATTTATTTTCGAATTCTGGTTTCTTTTATGAATTCGGACTATTTTGGAAGGGATTTTAACTGCCCTGTGGGGTCGCCGATGAATCCTAAACATAAGTGTAGTGTGTGGTGAATTTCATTAATCGGTAGATGAATGACTATTGTCACGTGTCCAAAAAAATCTTCAAATAAAACCCCACACTCCGAAAAAGATAAAAAGAAAACTTCAAAATTTTAGAAAAATTTATTTATCCAAAAGAAGAACATTCACTTGGCCCAAAACTACAACTTTTCCGTTGTTGTGATTATCAAAGATGATTATCAAGGTTATAGCAATACGGAATCGATTGAAAACTTTATTAATGATTTTACAAAAAAAAATGTTTCTTTTCTGTTAAGTTAGTGATTAAATCAACTGAAGTTAACAACTTAAACGATTCTGATTGCGGTTAATTTAAAAAGTTATGTCCTTTACCCTTCCAATAATAAACTGCTCTATTTGTTGCCCACATTTCAGGCCACCAATGTTATTTCAGTTACGTAAAAACATTTTCCATCTTTTGATTTGAAATGGATGATAGATTTCCGCTGAAAAGCGAGTACGTACTTAGATGATGAAAATAATAACTTTTACTTAATAGGTACATTTTCAGAAAATATTCGTGCTCCGATTACAAAAAGCTGACTAAAGTTGAAAAGTGTTTGCTCACGATTATACGATTTTTTGTTATTTTTATAATTTATTTGGGATCAAATTTGCTTACTACAACTGGTGAGTTATCCATAATAAGCATAAAAATGATGTTGGTAAATATTTCTCGTAGGACATGTGTGTATGACGGAAAAATATGTTCGTTCGACAGCACGCATATTACAAAACATTGATAAAAATATTGATCCATGTGATGATTTTTATAAATTTATTTGTGGCAGTTTTATTAAAAATACCACAATTCCTGGTGATAAAGCAACAGTTTCTTCGGTTTCAGACACACGGTAAGCAATTTTTGACACCTAAAACTGATTAAATATTTTTTTACTGACAAGATAATTCTTCATTTGATGCATCTTTTTGAAGAGCCTTGTTACGATGGTGACTCACATTCTTTAAACCTAGTTAAATTTGATTTGATTGAAAAAAGAATTTAAGAATTTGGGTGGTGGGCCTTTGTTGGAAGTTAGTAGTCAACCTCCCATGGGTTATGTAATACTGAATAAAGACTACAACGATACACCAGGCAAAGCTACATATAATTTTTTGGTTGTCTGTGTCTGTTCTCAGGGCCGGCGCTAGAGATTTTGCCGCCCCGTGCAATTTTTTTTTGCCGCCCCCTCAATAAAGTTAAAAATATAAACTACCTACTACATAATTAATTTTGCTACCTTCAACTAAAATTTATTAAATCACCTAACTTTTGTTTCATCCAATGATATGTGTTTCTTGGCTTTTGGTTAAATATCCTCGTGTAAATTCAACAAAAAATAAATTTGTGGTAGATGGTAGGTATGTATATACAGTTAATTGATCATTAGATAGATATGTACATCTATTTACACGGGGAAAACTTGTTTATTTAAAACATTACACAAACACTTAAAATTTAACTCTTTTCTCACCTTGATTGCTTAGAAGACTTGCACAAGTTCTTTATAGTCCAAATTTTGGGCTAGTTCATGTTCAATTGAAATTGAGACATTCTTCAAGAGAACCACTTTGTTTTTTTAATTCAGTTTCTCAAGCAAGTTTTCTTTTACGGTACACAGCATCCGAAAGACGATACCGTTTCAAGCGATATCGAAAAATACGGAACAAAGGCACAACACGTCCTAAAGTCGATACAAAACTGAGCTTTAATTGAAACTTTTCTTCAAGAATCGAATCATCTTACAAAAATAAATAAATTTAAGTACTTTGAAACAAGTTTATTAACCATATACAATATCGGTTGTTTAGGAGAGCGTCACGCTTAATTCTTTTAAGTATCGCTCTGGCGACTGAAATATGAGTCTATTTTAGTGGAGGAATGATACAGTTGAAATTTTTCCCACATGAGCATTGTAATTGTTTTTCTTGTTTGAGTTTGATTGCAGTTATTTTAAAAATAAGTTTTTATTATCGAATTTCGCCGCCCTTCAAAAATTCGCCGCCCCGTGCAATTGCACGTGTTGCACCGTCGGTAGCGCCGGCCCTGTCTGTTCTTTTTGGTACTGATAGAGCAACTGCAGTTACAGGTATAGTAGCCTGCATAGATATTGTAGCCGTCCATAGAGTCGAAATTTGCGAATAAAAATAAAATAAAACCGGTTCAAACGGAGCCGACGGTGGCTTGCAAATTCTGACATCACTCTGGCACACGTTGCACAGAGACGTATTTAATATTAAATGTCATCTTTTCCGTTATGATATAATCTGCTTCATTTCTTAGCTCAATCTCGTCAATAAAAACGAAGCTCTGTTCACTGTAAACAAGTTGTGGTATGGTATATTCATCGTTGCGGAGGTAGGTGGAGCGAAAAACCTGGTCATCTTAGCAGCAAACGCGGGTATAAACTAGTCCACGTGGACTGTTTGTTTCCTGTCATATTTTAGTTTGCTTGAACCAATTGCGTTGCACCAAACGGTTATTACACTTGTTGAAATACATTTTCACACTTCCATCTTTCTCTAGATCGTGGGTTTTGTAGCTGTGTGACAAATCGTTTGTCGTAGATAGAAAATAGTAAGATTACAGTGACCCTAAGATTTTGTGCAATCGGTCTTAAATACGCCCCTGTGTGATACGACGCGTGCCGTAGTGACAGAACTTGCAAGCCGTCCTCGGCTCCGTTTGAGCCGGTTTTATTTTATTTTTATTCGCAAATTTCGACTCTATGGACGGCTACAATATCTATGCAGGCTACTATATTAAAAATGTGATTGATTTTTCGAAAGAGGAGCATAATACTATATTTCAGGACTATAACCCTAGTACAATTCGCGAATTACGGAGGAATTATTCGAATAGACACTAGTTGAAGTTATTCAATAGTTATTTATTTCCCGTAGATTTCCTGAATTACGGTGACACTATCAATGTGATACAACCTGAATTTTTCAAAAGGACCCGGGTGGGTTAGGTAGCATCGCGCTTGCTTGCCACACCTTGGGTCGTGGGTTCGATTCCCGCCCTGCTCTGGGTGTTGTGTATGTCCCCCGGTACCCTGTAATTGGGCCTCCGGCCTGTTGGGTAACGTTAATCAATAAAATAAAATAAAAAAAAAATAAAAAAAACTGGATACATTTTGTCTAAGGTCAAAACGCGGTATGGGATCAAAATTGTTTTCGGAAAAAACGAAGTGTGCTGTTCCACACATACATATTAAATATTTGTTTGATGAAAGTATAAAATAAAAAGTGACTGAGTCCACAACAAACATAAAGGAGTCATTTTTGAACATTTTGAGGCAAGCGAGTTAGATGGACCCGAAAACCAAAAACGTGCTATCCTTAAAGCTAAAAGGATGAAGTGTTATTTAGGATACCCTGACGAATTTTTAGAACACAAAAAGTGGAAGAATATTATCGAGATGTAACCTATATAACAGTGTCGGCAAGATATAGTCATATGTTTTAGCTGAAGTTGAATCCAAACGACCATTACATAAAAATTCACTTGATTTTATCCAAGTTCTCCCATAAAAAGAAAATTCAAAAGTTGCGTAAACTTGTGAAGAAACCTTACCTCGTACTTATGGCCGAAAATACCACTGGTATGAGTTGAAAATTTCAAATTTATATTTGAAATTTTTATTTTAGAACCACCTACTGCGGTGCTACATGATTATTTCTTCGACCTAGACAGGGCTCAATAGAACAAATAATTGGTCACGAAATCACTCACGGACTTGATAATGTTTGATATTAAAACTGAAGTGAAGACAACAACCTTAACAGTTATGCCGACACGATTTCGTCAATTTAAGTTCATTACTTATTGTTATGTTAGAAGGGGACGATATAATGAGTTCAGCTCCATGCTTACAATCCAGACCAATAAAATATAAGTCATTTTAAGAAAATAACCATAATAACCAGGGAAAAGTGAGTATGTCGTAGTTTTGGTGTAATGTAGTTGAAACTGTGTATTTTTAGAATATTTTTGTGGTGTGAACGACAGACCAAAATTGAAAAATATTTGCTTGTTTTTATCGTTGTTGTAATCATCTACTTAATGTCACATATACTAATGATGTCTCCTACAACCAGTAAGTTTTTATCTAACATGAAAACCAATTGGAAATAAAATTTCGTAGGAGAGGTTCTTCAACAAGACGTGTGTTTGATGGAAAAATATATTCGTTCGGCAGTAGACATTTTAGGGAAAATTGATGAAATTGTTGATCCGTGCCATGACTTTTATAAATTTGCCTGTGGTAAATTTCTTAAAAACGCCTTAATCCCTATTGGTGAAAAATCGGTTTCTTCCTTTACCGACAACAGGTCAGAAAAATTCTCAGTTTGAATTTAATGATAAAGTGAATTTATTCAGTGATAAAGTAAGGCTACAATTCTACAAGCTTTTGGAAGGGCCTGATCATCATAACGAATCATATTCATTAAAACTACTCAAAACAGTTTATAAGTCTTGTATGAACACAAAACAAATCGAAAAAGAGGGACTGACTTATGTGAAAAAGGCGTTTAAGGACCTTGGTGGTTGGCCTGTCGTAGAACCCTACTGGAATGAAACAAAATTCGAATGGACCACTCTTGCGTTTCGTCTTCTGGAAGGCGAATGGACACGGAGTTTGTTCTTTATCACCATTAACGATCTTGGTTACAAAAAATCGGGCCCACGCGTACGTGTGAGTATTTCGATTCTCAATTATCGAGTTGTATTATTCGTCATTTACAGATTAACCCACCTGATATGGATTATAAAACATTACAGATTGGACCTCACAATTATGCAGTTAAAGCTTTGTATAAGTACATGGTCGAATTTGCGGTTTTTTTCGGTGCTGACAAAGCAACTGCAACTTCTAATATGGAAGATGTGATTGAATTTCAAACTGAATTTGCAAGGCTGTTGAGTCCAGGTGGAGGGAGTATAGCTTCGTATAGAATTGAGGAATTACAGAAATTTGGTCCGAGGTTCCCGTGGTTAAAGTTAATCAACAATTTTTTGTTTCCCATGAAGATGTTGGTTCCGGATGATAGTATTTATGTGTATAAATCGAGCTTTTTCCGACAGTTAGTACACTTTCTACCTGAAATTAAAAAGAGGTATAATTTTTACCTCGTATTTTTAATTAAAACAACAGTGTTCTTTTTAGAACTCTAGCGAACTATATGTTTTCAACAGTTCTTGCAAGCTTGGTTCAATATTTGCCAGAAGAATTTGAAAACAAGTGGAATATTTGAAAATTGTTGATGGGAAATTCAAAGCCATTCCAAGATGCATTTCGAAAGCATCAGAGTGAGCATTATCAAAACCATCATTATAACACTTACCACAAAATTTTAGGTTGCACGTTGCTCGGTCTTCTGTACACATCCAATATTTGTTCGACAAACGCATTAAACATAAAGTGACTGAATTGACTCTAAACATAAAAAATTCATTTTTGAATGCTTTGAAAACAGTGGATTGGATGGATGAGAGCACTAAAATGTATGCTGCCATTAAAGCGAAGAAAATGACTTTTTGTATAGGTTATCCCGAAGAACTTCTAAATGACACCTATGTGAATCTTTATTAATGCGAAAATAGTGCATGAATCGGTAATTTGTTTTAACAAATCATGACTTCAGTTGCACCTGGATGACAACGAATATTTTTGGAAAGTCAATGTTAATATGTCAAAATTTTTTCGGATGAAGTTAGATGAAAAGGTGGATGATTATTTTGAAGAGCACGCAAGTACTGGGGGATTAACAGCGCATTATAAGGGAAAAGAAAACACTATTGGTATTTATTACAAATATTATATGTATAAAAATTTGTGTTTGTTTAAGAGAATCTAATTCCAAATTTCTTTTTAGAAATGCCTGCTGGTGTGCTTCGGGATAAGCTCTTCTATCCTGATAGACCTCAATACTTGAATTATGGGACAATAGGAAAAATAATTGGCCATGAATTCATTCATGGGTTTGATGATATTGGCAGGAAAGATGATGAAGACGGCAACGCGCTTGTTTGGTGGGAACCGGAAATTAACCGAAATTTTCAGAAGAAAATACAGTGTATTGTGAAGCAATTCACCAAATACAATGATCCAAAAAATGGATTTCAGACATGTTAAATATATCGGCGAAAGTATCGCCGATTACGGTGGAATCAACATTGCTTATAGAGCATATCTCAAATGGTTGAAAAGGAATAAAGCAAAACCTTCGCTTCCGGGACTTCGGTACACACCGCGTCAGCTTTTCTGGATTTCTTCAGCGACTAATTGGTGCGTTAAAAAGGAGACAGACTTTTCAAAGCAGTTTAATATTACTTTTCGTGATCCTTTTTATTTTCAATTCCTGGCTCCTTTCATGAATTCGGATTATTTTGGAAAGGATTTTAACTGTTCTGTGGGTTCACCGATGAATCCTGAAGAAAAGTGTCGTGTGTGATGAATTTCTGTGTTTGGTATACAAAAATAAAAAATGTTTGGAATATAATAAAGAACTAGGTTTCATTAAAATATTAAAATTGTGATTTGGCGTTAAAATCCAGGGTGTTTTAAAATGGGGATGAGGTACACACGTAATTAGTTAATTTGTCACTGATGTAACCACACGATGTTTTCCAAGGGTAGAGTATTTCAATAAAATAAATGACTCTAATAACAACAATCAGCTATAAATTGAACACAATTCAATTTGCTGTCACGTTTCTGTATGCTTGATGAAGGAATCTGAATGTCCATGGAGTACGCCTGTAAAAATTGGTTTCATCTGGTGTCATTTTAGTCAAAGTTAAATAAATGTTAATGTAGATACAAAGTGTTATGAATATATTTTTTTATTAAGTACCTACCTATTATGAACTTTCTTCAACTTTCAGAATTTCTGAAAACTGAAAAATATGAACTAAGGTAACAAATAGCTTCATATCGTGAGGAATTGAACAAATGCAGTGAAATTCCTAATATAAAACAAACAATATCAGAATTGCACCAAAAGTTGATTGAGTGTGAAGAGCAACACCTAAATCAACAAAAACAATCAACTGACGAAGGCAAAAAAAGAATTGCAAATTTCTTTTGTAATGTTAAAAATTTGGTCGAAAGTTACTTCGACAGAACTTCCCTCGCACTGAATGTGCAATGAAACACATCCAGCTATTTCGGGTTGAGTTTTAACTTTACACAATTTTATGATAACCTCATCAACACCTTTGCAATAACATTTATTTCTTAGTTCTGAAGAAAAAAATGAAAGAAAAATTATTAAATTACGTACCCCCTAAGCAAATAGAGGGCGGGTGGACATAGCTCGTATTTGTTAAAATAAGATTGATTTTGGTAACTAAATGACTGAACAATATAAAGAGTAATCACTGGAATGAAGAGGGGGTGGGTGGGCGGGGCTATTTCTTGCTTATAAAAGATTCTGTATGAAAAAGTAAAACTTAGTAAAGCCGTCCTCCCACTTTTTTTTTTTCAAAAATAAGAAATAAATATTATAGCAAATAAGTGGTATAACAAATAAATTACGATTAACACTTTTTTTAACAGCTTACGTTCTACTGGTTGCCATTCTCACTTTACAAAAAAAGATATAATTCATCCCGTCCACCCACCCTGCCTCCATTTCAGTAATTCATTTTGTCTAGTCCGAATGAAAGGTGGATCTCAATTGAAGAGAGATAAAATCGTTGTAATGAGAACAGTGTGTGTGTAGTAGTATCTGCTTACATAAGATTGATTTTGGTAAACGACATACCTGTTAAGAAAATAAAAGGTGGGTGGAAGAGGCTACTACTTGCTAAAATAAGACTGATTGTGAGAAACGACATACCCTCTAAGAAAATAGAGGGCGGGTGGGCGGGGCTAAAGCTTGCTAAGCTAGGACGGAACAATATTAAGAGTAGTCACTGGAACGAAGAATGGGTGGGTGGGCGGGGTTACTGCTTGCTCATAAAACTAGAGAAAACTAAATTTAGCCCCGCCCACCTTATTTCTCCATTTCAGTTATTTATTTTATTTAGTGTAAAAAGGAAATTGTAAAACAATTTTGCCAAAATATTTTGGCAAAATGGGATGAGCCGTTCCTGATTTAATCAATAAAAAAATTACTCATTCATTAATTTTTGGAGCCCCCTGTTTAAGCAAATCTAAAAGATGTTAATTTAGTGATAAACCACAAGCGTAGACTCATCATATTTTGCACATTTAAGATAGGATTTACTCAGCAGTATTTTGAGGTGACGTTATCAATTTTTTAGGGGAGATGAGCAAATACATTTTAACCAAAAATTTACCATGCTTATGATAACTTTAAAACATCTTCAACATTTGAAAGCATTCGGTTTTTTTAGTGCCTGATTAAATCAATACAATAAATTTACATATTCATTAATTTTTTTGAGTCACCTTGTATAAGCAAATCCAAAAAATATGAATGGAATGATAAATCACAGGTATAGACTAATCATGTTTTGGACATTTTAGATAGGACTTATTCGGCAAAATTTTGAGCTGACGTCATCAATTCTTTCGGGAGGGATGAGCAAATATATTTTGATCAAAAATTTACCATGCTTATGATAATTTTAAAACATCTCCAAGATTTCAAAGCAGAAAACACAAAACTTACATTAAGAATTATTGAGAACTTCCAAAAATTATATCACACTTAGTAACAACCAAAGTATTTTGTATTAACTTTAAAGATCCATCAGTGGTTAATAAAGTAGTAGTGTAGCAATATTATCTACAAATGCCCCTATTTCTACTGTTAGGTGAAAAATACTTACTTTTTACCATTGTCGTTTTTTATTTTTAATATGATTTTAATATGATAATAATATATATTATATTCCTGAAATATTTACGTTCCTTATTCGAAATTAACAAATCTGTAAGTTTCAAAATTAATGAATTTTTCATATCGAGAATTGATACTTCAACCAGAAAACTATAGATAGCTAAAGACCAATGTATCATTGTAGTCTTTTTCGATACTATGTAATCCATAGAAGGTGGACTAAGTATAACTATGTATTTGAAAAGACCCAAAAATAATACTTACTGCGAAGGTACGCTGTGAAAAATTTTTGGAATCGGTAGCTACTGTCACTCCTAGAAAAAGAACACTTAAATCCAAATTGTTTTAAGACTGTTTTCACAAAAATGAATAAAAAAGTTTGCTTTTGTTTGGAAAATTACTGCCAGGAAACAACATATCATTGTTTGTTAGAATACCCCAAGCTCTTTAAATTAGTGACTTCAGAATTGAACTGAAAACAACAACTTAAACGGTTTTGGCGACACGATTTCGTCTAATTTAAAAAATTATTTCTAGCTGCAGTTCTTTGTACAGAATACGAAATTATCTAACAGACGTGTTTCACTACTTCTTGTTAAATTAGTGGGGGCCGAACCTTTTACGAGTTTATAAAGCCAACTACGCTGCTTATGCACATTCCAGACCAATAAAATATAAGTGACTTTAAGCAAATTTTAGATTCGCCGATTCCAAATGGATGATAAATTGCCCAGGGAAAAGTGAGTATATATTAAGAGATAAGGATAATGGCGTAATTTCGGCGTAATTTACTTAAAACCGCGTATTTTTAGAAAATTTTCGTGGTGGGAACGACGGACTAGAATTGAAAAATGTTTGCTTGTTCTTACCGGGTTTTCTGTTGTTGTAATCATCTACTTGGCGTCAAATTTACTGATGACGTTTCCTCCAACCAGTGAGTTATTCTTTAACATTAAAAATAAATTGCTAATAAAATTTCGTAGGAGAGAGTCTTCAACAAGACGTGTGTTTAACGGAAAAATGTATTCGTTCAGCAGCACACATTTTAGAGAAAATGGACGAAACCGTTGATCCGTGTGACGATTTTTATAAATTTGCTTGTGGTAACTTTGTTAAAAATGCCATAATTCCTGACGATAAAGTGGTGGTTTCTCCCGCTAGCGACACTAGGTGAGAAAAAGTCTGGGTTTAAATTTAATTAAAGCGAATTTATTCAGTGATAAATTAATTCTACAACTGATGAACCTTTTGGAAGAGCCTGATCGCGATCATGAAACATCTCATCTAAAACTTCTTAAGAAAGTTTATAAATCGTGCATGAACACAAAACAAATTGAAAAAGAAGGATTGACTTTTGTGAAAAATGGTTTTAAGGATCTTGGTGGTTGGCCTGTTGTAGAACCTTACTGGAACGACAAAATATTCGATTGGAAAAGCCTTTTATATCGTCTTCAGAAAGGTGGATGGAGACGGACTTTCTTCTTTAGCATGTATGTGGGTACTGATTACAAAAATTCGTCCAAACACATATTTACAGTGAGTATTTATTTTCTTGTGTATTGAGTGGTATTAGTTGCTATTTACAGATTACCCAACCTTGTATGTATTATGAAGCACTAAGGAAAGGTTTTAACGACACTACAGTTAAAGCTATGTATAACCACATGGTGGAATTTGCGGTTCTTTTTGGTGCTGATAGAGCAACTGCAATTTCTGATATGAAAGATGTTATTGATTTTCGAATTGAATTGGCAAAGCTGATAATTCCATATGAAGAACAAAAAAATAAATCTTTGAACTATAATCCTATTACAATTCGAGAATTACAGAAAAATTACCCGAGTCTTCCTTGGTTAAAGTTGATCAACAATTATTTGTCTCCGATAGATATGTTGACTTCGGATGATATTATTAATGTAGCGATTCCAAAATATATGGATAGCTTAGAAACGTTTCTACCTAAAATTAAAAAGAGGTATAATTTTGTTCTCTACTTTTAAGTAAACTAATGGTTTCTTTTTCAGGACCCTAGCAAATTATATGTTTTCAACTATTCTTGACAGTTTGGTTAACCATTTGCCAGAACAATTTAAAAGAAAAGAACTGGAATATCTGAGAATTGTTTATGGCAAAAACGAGGCAACTCCGAGATGGAAAACTTGCGTATGGCAAGCATCCAGGTGAGTTTTATCAAAAAGGTTCGTTAATATTTAGAAAAAAATTTAGGCTGCACATTGCTATGTCATCTATACATATCAAGCATATGTTTGATAAACGTATTAAACATAAAGTAACTGAATTAGTAGTGGATATTAAGAACTCATTTTTGGATACTTTGAAAAGAGTGGGTTGGATGGATCGAAAGACAAAAAAACACGCTATTATTAAAGCAGAGAAAATGAGCTCTTTTATAGGTTACCCCGAGGAACTTTTAGATGACAACAACGTGGAAGATTATTATCAAGGGGTAAAATCGGACTATCGCAATTTTAAATCATCGGTTTTAATAAATGATTTCAGTTGGAGCTGGATGGTAACGAGTATTCTTTGAAGGTCCATTTTAATTTGTCACAATTTTCTCATATGAAGCACGTTCAGGAGTTGCGTAAACCCGTGAAAAAGGAAAATTGGGAAGACCAAGCATATACTTTTTATGTCAATGCTTTTTATATACAAACCGACAACACCATTGGTATACATTATAGATCATGCTTTAAATATTGCTCAATTTCTTACTACGAAGAAAATCTACTAAATTTTAAGCATATTTTTTTTTTAGAATTGCCTGCTGCTGTGCTTCAAGATAACTTCTTCGATCCTGATCGACCTCAATACTTGAATTACGGAGCACTAGGGGAAATAATTGGCCATGAAATCACTCACGGGTTTGATAATAATGGCAGGCAGTTTGACAAAGACGGCAATGTGATTGATTGGTGGGAGCCGGAAACTAACCGAACCTTTGGGCGGAAAAGCCAATGTCTTGTGGACCAATACAGCAATTACACAATTCCTGAGTTAGAAATTAATTTAGACGGCGTTAAAACCTTGGCTGAAAATATCGCCGATAACGGCGGAATTAAAATTGCATATAGAGGGTATCTGAAATGGCTGGAAAGGAATAAACCCGAGCTGTCTCTTCCGGGACTTCGGTATACACCGCGTCAGCTTTTCTGGATTTCTACGGCCACTAATTGGTGTGTCAAAGTGAAGAAAGAATATTTAAAGCAGTTTGTTAGTAGGAGTGTTCATTCTCCCAATTATTTTCGAATTCTGGTTCCTTTTATGAATTCGGATTATTTTGGAAGGGATTTTAACTGCCCTCTGGGGTCGCCGATGAATCCTAAATATAAGTGTCGTGTGTGGTGAATTTCATTATTTGGTAGATGTATAACTACGTTAGGAATATAACAAACTTTTGTAAGAGATATGTTTCATTAAAATACTAAAATTGTGATTTGACGTTCATTAAAAGTTTACCTGCTTGATCATCTGGTCACCTACAGCACACTAAAGAGCACCATTACAACTACAGGGAGACATGAAAGTAAGTCCAGTTAAATACTGAACAACCTTCCACCATAAAGTAAATTAATTAAGTAATCAAAATCGTTCTGATGAGGATAAATATCCAGTATTATATCATAAACTCAAATGATAAATCACTGGAGAACATTCACTTGTCCCAAAACTCCAACTTTTCCATTATTGTGACTATAAAAGATGGTGATCAAGGTTATACTAATATGGAATCGACCGAAAACTTAATTACTGAGTTCACAAAAAAAAATACCCTTTCTTTTAAGTTGCCGATAAAATCAACTGAAGATAACAAGTTAAACGATTCTGATTGCGTTTAATTTAAAAAGTTATGTCCTTTACACTTCCACTAATAAACTGCTCTATTTGTTGCCCACATTTCAGGCGACTAATGCTATTTCAGTTACGTAAAAACATTTTCTATCTTTTGATTTGAAATGGATGACAGATTTCCGCTGAAAAGTGAGTACGTACTTAGATGGTGAAAATAATAACTTCTACTTAATAGGTACATTTTCAGAAAATATTCGTGCTCCGATTACAAAAAGCTGACTAAACCTGAGAAGTGTTTGCTCACTACTGTCGGTTTTTTTGTTATTTTAATAATTTATTTGGGTTCAAATTTGCTTGCTATAACTGGTGAGTTATTCGCAAATACTATAAAAAAGATGTCGCATTAAATATTTCGTAGGACATGTCTGTATGACGGAAAAATGTATTCGATCGGCAGCACACATATTAGAAAACATTGACAAAACTATTGATCCATGTGATGATTTTTATAAATTTGCTTGCGGTAGTTTTATTAAAAATACCATAATTCCTGGTGATAAAGCAACAGTTTCTTCGGTTTCGAACACACGGTAAGCAATTTTTGACTCATAAAACTAATTAAATATTTTTTTTTAGTGACAAGATAATTCTTCAATTGATGAATCTTTTCGAGGAGCCTTATCACGATAATGACCCACATTCTTTAAACCTAATTAAAATAATTTACAATTCCTGCATGAATACGACGAAATTTCGGAAAGAAGTTCTAGACTTTGTGAAAAACGAATTTAAGAATTTGGGTGGTTGGCCTGTTTTGGAAGACAACTGGAACGAAAGAAAATTCGACTGGGAAAATCTTGTATATCGTCTTAAAACGACTGGATTTAGACGTACTTTCTTGTTTAGAGTGGCGGTGGATACCGATTCCAAAAATTCGTCAAAGCATATTTTGACAGCAAGTATTAGTTTGCGGTCTTTTCAAACAGTTATAGTGTTTTATTTCTAGATTAGTCAACCTTCTATGGGTTACGTAGTACTGAATAGAGACTACAACGATACACTAGTTAAAGCTACGTATAATTTTTTGGTTGAAGTAGCTGTTCTTTTTGGTGCTGATAGAGCAACTGCAGTTACAGATATCAAAGATCTGATTGATTTTGAAATTGAGTTGGCAGATTTGCTAGTTTCGAATGAGGAACATAATAATATATTTCAGGACTATAACCCTAGTACAATTCGCGAGTTACAGAGGAATTATTCGAGCATTCCGTGGTTGAAGTTACTCAACAGTTATTTGTTTCCCGTAGATTTCCTGGATTTAGGTGACACTATCAATGTAATGCAACCTGAATTTTTCAAAAAACTGGATACATTTTTGCCTAAAGTCAAAAAGCGGTATGATCTTTTTCAAATTTTAATTGTAATAGTGTTGTGTGTATTTAGAACATTGGCAAATTTTATATTTCTAAGAATTTTGAGGGATCTCCTTGCTTACTTACCAGAAGAGTTCACAAAACAGTCACTAAAATATATCAAAATTGTTTTCGGAAAAAACGATGTGATGCCAAGATGGAAGAGTTGTATGTGGGAAGCTGCGAGGTAAGTATCATCTAAAAATCTCACTGAAATCGACAAAACGTGTTCAGATTACATTTTGCTGTTTCACATATACATATCAAATATTTGTTTGATAAAAGTATAAAACAAAAAGTGACTGAGTTAACAACAGACATAAAGGAGTCATTTTTGAACACTTTGAGGCAAGTGAAATGGATGGACCCGAAAACCAAAAAACGTGCTATCCTTAAAGCTAAAAATATGAAGTCTTATGTGGGATACCCTGACGAATTTTTAGAAGACAAAAATGTGGAAGAATATTACCGAGATGTAACCCATAAAATAGCAACATATGCTCTAATAAACAATGGTTTCAGCTGCAGTTGAATCCAAACGAGCATTATATAAAAATTCACTTGAATTTATCCAAGTTCTCCCATAAAAAGAAAATTCAAAAATTGCGTAAACTTGTGAAAAAACCTTACTGGGTAGAACAAGCTCGTACTTATGACGTGGGTGCTTTCTATGTACCAGCCGAAAATACCATTGGTATGAGTTGAACATTTCAAATTTATATTTGATTTTATTATTTTAGAACTACCAGCCGCGGTCCTACAAGATTACTTTTTCGACCCAGACAGGCCTCAGTACTTAAATTACGGCGCAATAGGACAAATAATTGGTCATGAAATCACTCACGGGTTTGATAATGATGGTAAACAATATGATAAGGACGGCAATGTGATTGATTGGTGGGAACCCGAAACTACACGAACCTTCAACACCAAAACCCAATGTCTTGTGGACCAGTACGAGAATTACACAATTCCTGAAATAGAGATGAATTTAGACGGCGTTAGAACCTTAAGTGAAAATATTGCAGATAACGGTGGTATAAAAATTGCTTATAAAGGATATCTCAAATGGGTTGGGCGCAATAAAATAGAACCTTCTCTTCCGGGACTTCCGTATACACCGCGTCAGCTGTTTTGGATTTCGGCAGCTAATATTTGGTGCACTAAATCCAAGAAAGAATTTCTTAAGAAATTTGTGACTTTTGGTTATCATTCTCCTAAGTATTTTCGAGTTGTGGTGCCTTTTATGAATTCGGATTATTTCGGAAGGGATTTTAATTGTCCTTTGGGTTCACCGATGAACCCGAAAAATAAATGCAAAGTGTGGTGAAACACTTTATTATTAAGTATGTTATAAAATACTATAAGATTTATTTAGTAAAATCTGAGGTGGATTAAAAAAACGTAGACGTGAAACTAATTACCTCGCCAAATTAATTAAATTAAACGCCGAAGGTTCTAAATTTGCAGAGTCTTTCTTTTAGATTCCCTTTTAAAAACTTCACTGCTAATTTTGCAGTTCTCGAAGACTTTCCATGTTTGAATTATGAAGCAATACGACAAGAAATCGGCCATAAAATAACTTACGATTTTGATGATCCTGAAAGACGGTATGATAAAGACGAGAACGTGATTAATAGCAAACCGAAACAAATCGGAGCTTTGGCGCGTTTTTGCAGCTGAACCCAGAATTTAAAGGTGTTAAAAATTTATTTAAACTTATCGCCGATGAGGGAGAAAATTACCAGGGTGATAAAAACGCAATAAACGCCTTTGAGAATACCACATACTCGTTACATGTTTCATCAGCTGCCGAATGAACAAAATAAATAATAATACTTCTATATTCGGGAAAACTTTGTAAACATTTCCCTGTATGAATAATATTCAGCCTTTCCTAAAACGTAAGTTTCTCGTGTTTCTGTTCAACAACAACGAATTAAGTAATTTAATTTATGAGGAGGTGTATTTTAATGGATGCCTCTAAACTATCTAAAATGTAGGCAGTTCTTATTAAGCGTGAAATTATTTTACTGTTGGAACAATCTAAATTTAGATGGACGGGATGGGGTGGTTGATATGGAAATTTTGTACTAATTAAAGTTAATTAAATTATGTGCATTCAACGTAGGAAACGAGCACTTAGAAATAATTCAAACTTTGAAACAAGACAATTTTAAAAACTGCAAATTAAAGAGGTTTTAATTGTGAAAATGGAAAAAAAACAGCCAGGGACTTTCTACCTTTAGTGCAGTCAACCGGTTATAAAGAATGCGCTTAAAAAGACCTATTAAAAAAATTGCAGAAAATAATGGATTAATTATTGCTTAACATGGCATGGTATGTTGCTAACATAAAATACCACACATATCCTGATGCAGTGAGTGAAACTAATCACATTTTAATAGCCATTAATTGACGTAGGTGCATCAAAAATAAACATTAATATCGCAAAAAGTGCGTGTTTCTGTGTTGTACCGTATTAGATTACATTGTAACTATTTAACCTTGTTCGCATACAGATTATTTCGTGTCACATCGACGAATGAAAAACGTATTTAAACAAATAAAACAGATGCTATAAACACTTTAAAATTTGTTGAAGTTTCATAAAAAAAATATTTTAATTATGTGACAGTGATAAACATATTTAAAAATATTTTTGTGAGTAAGTTTAATCTTACCCTGCACATACTTCTATTCAGTATATACACAATATTATGTAAAATGGAAACAATTTTTTTACGCGTCATTCTACCATCGAATGACTTACACATTTGACCTATTTTAAAGTTTCTAAAATTTTCTCAAGCAAAAAAAGTCATTAACTGTTACTTTGTGGGAGATCAAATCTTGAGAAAAGTGCGCATGCAGTCATTGATAACGAAACTGTAAAACTTGTCGTAATCTCAAGAAACAAATTTGCTTTGAGGAAACAAGTTGACTTGTCAGTGTCGCCTGCATCTTCACTGGTAAGTTAGTTGAACTGGGATGCTGGGGTAGAGTTATACTGTACTTGTTCTTTTGGCAGGTGTGCTTAGGGTCGATTTTGGAAAGTACTTTTTATCATGATCTTGCACGATATCGTTGCTATAACTTTTTACTCATAGCCCCTGCTGGTTTTTGCTGCGACAATTGTGCCTTAATTATTAGTCAACAAATTACAGATTTAACGTATGAAAATACCCTAATGGGAGAGAGTTTGAATAAAAAATCTCCAATTTAAAACGTGAAAATACTTTACTTCGTGAAGAAATCAGAAGATTAATGCAGCAGAATTCGAAAGTTAACCGTCATACTTTAAATAATGTTTTCAATGAAGTTAGTTTGATTTATGATGCAATTCTCAAAAGTGCACTTTCAGTCGTTGTCAAACCGAAAAATACCACTCAAGCAATAACAGACTAAATCTGACATTATTATTTCGTCTATTAACTTTGACAATACTGATGAACCCAAAATTGTCCAAGTCCGTAAAGATCTTTGTAACTTCAGGCGTTCCCCAAGGATCCATTCTCAACCCTCTCCCTTCGTTATTTTTATTAACGGTGTTATCAGAAATATTAATCCTGAAGTTCTGATGTATGCAGACGATTTAAAGATTTTCCGGTGTATTTCGTTTGTAAGTGATTGTCTGGAACTCCAGGAAGATATTAAAACATTCCTTTATTGGAGTAAATTTAACCACTATGACTATTTATTTATATATTTATTTGTTTTGCTCCAACTCTCCTTTTTAGGATATGCAGTAATATACTAGCTGCATGTTATGGTAGACTTTGGGTGAAAACCTGTTGGCTGACGTATTTATTAATCATTTTTAGGTCTAAAATCGAAAATTCGCCTTCGGTTCATGAAGCTTCGATGATTTGGTAATTATTGAAATTTATCATAATTAAATGAATTTTTGGCAAAAATATCTCTCCCTCATGTAGAGTCTTTTGTAGACGTATTCCCAGTTTCATTTTATTTGCAACTTTAGGTTTAGCTGCATCAAATCTTCTCACTAAATATCATATTATTATCCTCCTTTATACTGATGTTTTGGATCTCCTAATGTATAGGAGACTATCCAACGGCACCTTACCAGATTTTTTTGTCTTTATACACTGGTCACAAAAATTCTGGCGCACATCTTCTTTCAAATAATGCATGGGACATGCGTTTTGAGAAAAATTTAAACCCCAAATATCTACTCGATTTTGCTGTCTGAGCACGAAAATTCAGGCCTAAAACTTTCTGATTGTCTTACCATGAATTGGGCCAGAAAACTCACCTCTAGAAAAATGTGGCCACTTGTACAAAAAAGCAGTAGAAAGAAAAATTTTTCTGAAATGTTTACGTTTTCCCATACAATATTTTTTAAAGGGCGAGATTTAAATTTGATTTATATAGGTTTTTAAATCCCGAGCGTAAATTTCCTCGATGTTTCATAATTCATTCTGTATATAAGAACATGTCATCCGTCCCGATATTTATTAAACAGATAATCTCCGAAATTGCTGGACTAATTTTGTAAAATTTTAGAGATAATAATTTACTCCCACCCTTGCGGTGTATGAATCTGCCTTGATTTTTTACCTTAGGCATCGGGATTTTCGAAAAAAAAATTAAAATTGTATAACAATATTTTATAATAAGTAATATAAAAGTTTCACTAGAATATACCGGGTGTCTGGAAAATGGCGGATTAACTCTTCAATATGTTATGTACGGGGGTTTCGGGAATCCCAAAAAAATAATACAAACATTTCTTATGATGTAGATTACGAAAAAACCTAATTATTACATAAAAGTAAAATTGGCAACACCGCACATAATGCGTGAACATCTCAGGCTTTCTTTCTGGTTTCTTAGTAACGATGGTGGCTGAAATCCGCTTTTTTTTTAGAACAATAACCATAACAACTAATACCAACAATAAAACTAAAACAAGCTGTTATTTTTCATTAATAAATCAACCAAAAAAAATTATAAACATTTATAAATTATAAACAAAAAAAATTATAAACATTTATAAATTATAAATAAAAACAAAACCAACGAAAGAAAAATCAATTAAAGCATAAGCAAAAACTAAATACTAGAGAAGATGTTCAAAATTCCTGCCTTGTGCATGTAAGTAAGCTCGTAATGTTTCCAAATTTTGATCATTTTTTGTAAAAGTTAGTTTTCAGTACTTGCTAAGATAAAACTGATTTTGGCAATGATATACCCTCTAAGAAAAAAGAGGGCGGTTGGGCGGGGCTAGTACCTGCTAAGATAAAACTGATTTTTGCAAATGAGACATCTTCTAAGAAAGGAGAGGGTGGGTGGGCGGGGCTAGTACCTGCTAAGATAAGACTGATATTGGCAAATGACCTACTCTCTACGAAAATGAATGGCGAGTGGACGGGACTGGTACTTACTAAGATAAGAGTGATGTTGCCAAATGATATACCTTTTAAGAAAATGAAGGGCAGAGGGTATATCATTTGGCAAAATCAGTTTTATCTTACCAAGTATTGGCCCCGCCCACCCACCCTTTATTTTCTTAAAATAAGACCAATTTTGGCAAATGATATATCCTTTTAGAAATGCAATTAAATTATTATTAGGCTCCAAAGCACTTTCAAATTCTTTCCAAACAGGAATACCTAGAACCTCAAGATTGTTTTAAATTTTTCAAAAAAGAGCGGGGTCTCAAAATGAACTAAAAAACAAGTCAGGTCAGAATTTTCCAAAAACAGAACACCAAAGCCCCCCAAAATTGTTTTAAATAATTTACAAAAAAAATCTCCATGGGCTCCCAAAATAATACACCATGGGTACCCAAGAGTCCCCAGAATTAGAAAAAAAAAACACTGCGGCACTCAAGACTTTTTCAATTTCATAAAAAATAAAACACTAAAAGCTCAGAAGATTTTTTCAAGTTGATCCAGCAAATAAACACCAGATTCCTTTAAATTTATCCGGAAATAAAACACCAGGGGATCTAAAATTAACTGTAAATATTTCAAACGTAGGGTTTTGAAAATTTTGACAATTTTTGTATGTCAAATATTTTTAACTGCTTACTCGATTTTTGCTGATTTGTACCGTCGCTTTTTATCAGGCAAACATTGTTGTCAAATCGAATTTTTTCTACCGCGCACGTTTTTTGATTTTCTAATAGAGCTATTAAACCACCCAAATGACGTCAAAGCGGTTCGTTAATAGCGGGAAGGGGTTCTGAAACAGATTTGGTGTAATTTAGATCGGTAAGATTGGTAGCGACGACGAGAAATGTCAGGTGAATGTCAGTGACAAATGTCAAATTAAAATTTCCCGTATTTCGGGAGGCGTAAGGACTTCACTAACTTCTTTACAAGACACTTTAACCAATTTTAACTTACAAAAACTCGAATTGATTCGAATTACAGTTGTTGTTATGAAAATTCGAACTTCAAATATTTCGTGGTTAGTGTCAGACCAACTCATCACCAACCACGACAAAATTCCCCAGATTTAAAAAACGCAAATTTCAATTAATGTGCGCGGTAGAAAAAATAGTATAAATAACTCGTTCATAAGGCCATTGTGGCACTTTATATAACTCGCTGCTAGCAAAAGAACCAGTTTTAAAATTATTATAACTCCACTTAAATGTGAGAAGGAATTTTTTTAGTACTTTTCCTAGACTCACCAGTTAATTTTTAAGAGCGTATCGGCTATCTTCAGACACCCGGTATATCAAAACTGATATGTTTATCCCCACTGAAAAACTGGTGACGTTTGTTTCGCAAAATATACTAAGAGAAGTATGTGAAGTATAAAAAAGTCCTCAACAATGAACAAAAGCATAAAATAAACTTCAAAAAATATTTACTTTAAAAAATTTTGGAGTCACTTTTTTCATTCTCAGTTTCTTTATTATTAAAAAAATAATGCGTTCTACATTTTTTTCAACGAGAATATTGTTTTGGTGAAAATCTATGCATACATTTCCAGTTCAACTGTGTGCCAAATTTTATTACTCCTTACGTCATTCAAAGAAACACATGCTGAAATCGATGTATTCCTAAATTCTTAAAAATATTTTTAATTCCAGGTATTACGTCCACATATTTTAAATATACATTTTTTTAATTTTAACAAATTTTAAAATGTTTATAACATCTGTTTTATTGTTTTAAATACGTTTTTCATTCGTCGATGTGTTACGAAATAAACTGTAGGTATGCGATCAAGGTTAAAAAGATACAGTGTAATCTAATACGGTACAACACAGAAATACACACTTTTGCGATTTTAATGTTTATTTTTGGTGCACCTACGTCAATTAATGGCTATTAAAATGTGATTAGTGATCCTCACTGCATCAGGATTTGTATGGTATTTTACGTTAGCACATTATTTTAGTCTATTATTTTCCCTAATTCTTTTAATAGTATCTTCTATTCTTTTCATAATTAAAACCTCTGTCACTTGCAGTTTTTAAAATTGCTCTGTTTTAAAGTTTGAATTAACACTAATTAGTGCAAAATTTCTTTACCAGCAGTAAAATAATTTCACACTTTATCAGAAATGCCTACATTTTAGATAGTTTGAAAGCATCTATTAAAATAGATTCATAAATTAAATTGCTAAAGTCGTTTTTAAAACAGACTTTTCTTCCACATCCAAAAATTTGTTTTTAGAAAATTTATTTCTATTCGTCACGCTGGTAATTTCGTCCCTCATGGGTATAGCACTTTAAAAAGAGGTTAAACTCTTTGTAATTTTTCCTGAAAATTTTGACTTTTTTAATATGCCCAAAAACCGGTCAAAATCTTTGAAGTTTCCATAGCTAGAACTGTTGATATTTTAGTTTTATAATTTTGGACCTATGTACTTTCAGTCTTTTAACAATAATAAATATAAATATCAACAAAAAGTAGTGCGTTTTTTACGTTTTTTAAATATTAAATAATAATTGATTTTGGTGACAATATCAAGAATTAGAATAATTAGTTATCTTATGACAGATGTTTCTTTTTTTTTTATTCAATGATTGCAGTTTTATAGTACTCCTATTATTTAAATGGAATAATAATTTTATTAATGATTTTTATTTATAACACGAATATAAAAATTGTTTAGTGTTGAACAATTCAAATGCTTTGGTTTCGTATTTTTATTGTCATTTCATGCAAATTACAATTCTTGACAGGAAATATGACCTTATTTTGGTGTTGAAACTTGGCATGAGATATGTATATCTATGTATGTAAAAACATGTTTAGATTTCTCCTGGGAATTAAATTATTACACCCACACTTTACAACTAGTTAAAGTAGGCAGAGAATGAAGCAAGACTTTTATTAGTACTTATCATCTTAAAATAATTTATTGTTATTTGATTATATTACTTGGTGTATACAAACATTTGAGTAACAACCACATAAACTAATGTAAGTTCCACCGAATAAAACCGTTTGCTGCATTGTAGATTTTTTAACGTGAGTAATAAATTTGAAAACAAAGCTTTCTTTTTGACGTAATAGTTCGTGCGTCAAAATACTAAACTAAGAAATATTAATTAAAAAGTACGTAATACCTGTTACATCAACTTTATTAGTTTTCATTAAACTTTGATTCACTGATTGTGACGTTTCCACGCAAACAGGGCTGGATGTAGTTCAGTTTTCAATATTGTGTGGATGCAGTGGGTGCAGCTCCTAATGTTACCGTTATCGTATTTGCGTATGCGATTAATGATAAAAAGACTATTAATTTAGACAATTGTATTGTACGGCGTACGCAAAATATTGACAATGCTTTTTAAACAAGCCGTAACCTTTGTTTTAATTATTTATGGGATCAGTCATTTGGTCTTGGACGTTCTCTTCCGGTGAGTCGCTATTGTCACCGCAAAATTTTCGGTCACCTTGGTATAATGTTCGAATTTGAATCATATCAGCGTTTTATTGTGATCTCGATCGTCCACTGCACAAACCCACTTTTCATTATTTTTCCATTGTTCGATTTACATTTTCTTGTCAGGTTAGTTAAAAACGCACGATCCACGATCTTGCGATGCGTTAAGTTGCTGAATTTAGCAACGGAAGATTAATTGACGCTCGTCCTGGCGTAACGGCACCTTATTAGCATAATTATTATCAAAAGTACAAATACATTGTAACCATTAATTATTTTTTTTTGCTACAAATTGCACTAAAAAACTTGCTGGCGGTTTTGCAACAACTATAAATAGATTCCAAACAGGTCAAATCGTTATCATAAAAAATTGTCGATTTCAATTCAGACGAGTGTGTCTTTCCCATATTTCTGTTTCCGATGCTATTTATCATTTAACGAGTAGGTAGAGTGCAAGCGTAGAACCGTCGGATGAACTATGATAAAAAGTGACTTTTTGCGTGTGTAGTCTCTTCCAAATCTGTGCTGCGTACGCTACTGCTTTATCAACATGCCACTGAGGTAAGTGTTCCAGTTTTAAAAATTCTTGAATGATGAAAGTGGCACCGTTTTAAGCGAAACGAGATGCCAGTCTCCTTCGGTAATTAAAAATTGTAATGTCTTCATTTCAGACAGGACTCTTGGTGGAAGCGCAAGACCAAATTAGAACGAAAATTGATAGTTGTAGCTTTAGTATCGCTATGTTTGGCGGGATTTCTCCTAATATCGCTACTTTTTTGCCAGAGAATCCGTAAGTACTCGATTACATAAATTATTTATTTACTCAAATGTGTTTTTATATAATTCCTTGTTGTCGGTTTACCTTGTACCCCATTGTTGGCAGACACCATTAAATTCTAATGAAGTGCTCCGTTACATCACTCATTGAAAAACATACCCATGTGACTCGATCTTGAACAATACTCCACAATTTTCCTTTCAGTACTGTCAACTTCATCGTATCAAAATCATCAATCACTTTGACAGAACTATCAATTTATCGCTGGTTCTAACAGTTTTTTTGATGCATTCCGGCATTAAATGAATTTTGTTTTGTTTTTTCTAAATGCATTGTTCATGTTTATTACCTTGGAAAAATTTGCAGATTCGACATTTCTTGGATCGGATGATATCTGCCTCACCAGAGAATGCGTTGAGACGGCAGGGGAGGTTTTTCGTAACATGGACGAAAGCGTGGATCCGTGTCAAGATTTTTACAGATTTGCTTGTGGAAACTATATCAAACATTCTCTGATATCTAACGATAAGACTTTTGCTAACACGTTTACGGTAATTAATGATATTCTTCAAGAACAAATCAAAATTTCGTTGGAGGAAGCACCTAGCGCTAAGGAACCTAAACCTTTCGTCACCGTGAAGAAGTACTACAGGGCGTGTAAAAACAAAAGTAAGTAGGTACTGAAGTGTTACATTTTCAGTGATGAAACGTCTCATAGTTTTATTACCTTTGAACTTTAGCGTTGACCGAGCGATATGGGTTGGATATTGCACGGAAGTTGCTTAAGGATTTGGGAGGTTGGCCTGTGTTGGAAGAGTATTTTGATGACTTCACCTACAACTGGATCGACAGTATAGGAGCACTACGTAAAACCGGTTTATCTGTTAACAGTTTGATAGATATATCAGTTGGACTTGATTTTAAGCATTCCACAAAGAGACTTATTCAGGTATTTTTTAAACGGAGCGAATTTTTTCCAAAGGTTGTTTATAGATCGACCAACCCGGGTTAGGACTGAGTAGAGAATATTTAGTTAAGGGTATCAGCGATAAAATAGTTAAGGCTTACTACGAGTATATGGTAGATATAGCTGAGATGTTCGGTTGTGACAGACCTAAGGCAAGCGAAGAACTTCTCGAATCACTACAGTTTGAAATAAATTTAGCAAACGTAAAAATATCACATTCATGAAATACTTAAACCAGACTGGTGACAATTTTAGTTTTCCCTTTCTCAAGAAGATCGAAGGAACATCAGTAATTTATATAATCTTTTAACGATACAGCAGCTGGAGGCCAAATATTCTCAAATCCCGTGGCTAGATCTTATCAATACTATAATGCCCAAAAACGTACAAGTAAATCGAAGCCAACCAGTACTAGTAGGAGTTCCATACTATCTACAATCGTTCGAAAAATTGATAAACTCAACACCAAAACGGGTTCAAGCCAATTACGTAATGTGGAGAGTAGTTAAAGACCTAATTTCCTATTTGAATCAAGAGGTTAAAGACAGGGAGTTAATTTTTAAGCACGCAATCAACGGAATCCAAGAAAGCCCCCCCAGATGGAAGGAATGTATTGATGAAACCACAAGTTTGTAAGTTCCCCAAAAAGCACGTAACCTTAGTTAAAAAACAAATTTTAGAGCACCAATAGTAATAGGCGCCATGTATGTTCGTAAATATTTTCACGTGGAGGCCAAACAGAACGCTCTTGAAATGGTGAAGTATATAAAAGAACAATTTAAAGATATTCTTCGGTCCATAGATTGGATGGATAGCGAGACGCGTAAGAGTGCCTTGGATAAAGCGAACACGATTGTAGATCACATAGCGTATCCAGACGAGTTACTAGACGATCAAAAAATCGGACAACTATACGATAAGGTGAGGTTTTATACTATCACGATGTGTTTTACAGGTTTTTATTTTGACTTTAGTTAGAAGTCGATGAAAATCAGTTTCTTTATTCAGCTTTGAATATCAGCAAATTTACGATGGACTACACTTTGAGTAGGCTTCGGGAAGCTGTGAATAAAACGGACTGGAAAGAACATGGCTTTCCGGCCCAAGTTAATGCCTTTTACCATCCGTTGGAAAACAGCATCAGTATTTCGTCTTTATAGTGTATACGAATTAAAATTTATAATTTGTCTTTAGCGTTTCCTGCTGGTATCCTCCAGGGTGTTTTCTTTCACAAAGACAGACCAAGATATATGAATTTTGGGGCCGTGGGTTCAGTCATTGGTCACGAAATAACTCACGGTTTTGACGATACAGGACGCCAGTTTGATAAAAACGGCGACTTAGTGAATTGGTGGAAGGAAGAAACGAAAATCAAGTTTTTGGAGAAAGCGCAGTGTATAATAAAACAATACAATAATTATTCAATTCCGGAAGTAAAATTAAAGGTACACTTTTATAAAAACTGTATTAGTGAAATAACGCCAATGTTGCAGTTGAATGGTGTTAGGACGCAAGGTGAAAATATAGCGGATAATGGTGGTGTTAAGCAAGCATATTTAGCGTATAAGAAATGGCAACGTAGTAACGCCCCGGAACCCAAACTACCTGGTTTAAAGTACGACCCGAGACAACTATTCTGGGTATCAGCCGCTCAAATCTGGTGTTCCAAACACAGACCAGAAGCTATAGCTTTACAGGTTACTGTAGACGCGCACTCTCCTGCTGAGTTTAGGGTGTTGGGACCATTTAGTAACTCGGAATTTTTTGCCAAAGATTTTAACTGCCCTGTGGGCAGTAAAATGAATCCTGAGCACAAATGCTCAGTGTGGTAATAAATTATTTGTTACATTTGAAATTTTTATTTTTATTTTTTAAATTTTAATCTTGAAATTAAAGGGGCTTGAACTGAAATTTTAACCATTTATAAAAAAGTAGAACAGAAAAGCAATCAGGTTGCATATTGGAAGTAAATCGTTATCAAATTTAAAAAAGTTAGTCCAAGTTTTCCATCCTGAAGTGATCGGTTGCCACTATGACGTCACTCACGGATCTAGCGCAAATTATTGCTCTACCTTGAAGGCTACGGGTAGAAACTTGATATTTTCACTGATGTTCTTTCTTTTATTATTTATTTTTATGAAAGTAAAAGGTTAAAATATTAGTTTATTTATCCTTTGAAGGTTGTGAAGTATGAATTGTTTTAAGAGATGTCAAATAAGTAATTTTTTAATAAAATCTTACTAATAACGTTTGTGTTTACAACTTAAAAACACATTTTTTTAGAGATCTATGTACTAGTTTTATAAGTAGATTTTTACGTAAACTGCCACCCTGTATTTTGTTATTTGAAACCTTATGGTGGAATAAACGATATAATAAGTTAACAGTGTTTTTCCCACAAAAACAACTCGTTTTTGAAGTAAACATTTTTAACAGGAAGATTTATTGTTTAGTCTATCCAATAATCAATGAATAAAATTAATTTTTAAATCTGCACTATCATATCCTATTTGATGAATTCCTTCAGCCAAAAAGTTGTAGCGTCTAAGAAAAAGTGACAACTTAGTTAATTTATAGTTACAAACGTCGGTATTGCGTAACATAAACAACAAACATTTAACACGATTTTTCTATTAGTACTGCTTGTGTTAAAAACGGTAAAATTCATTTAAATGACTTGCGTTGTATGTTATTTCATATAAGGTTTAGATTAAAAGTTTGGACGCAAAAAAGATTGTCCTCTAAATAAAATTTTGATTAAATGATGAAGCATTTTTATTCAATAGCAACATTTTAAAGAACTGTCTGGATGATTTGCAATTTAAGTGTTAATGAACTTCTGAGGTCAAGGATCTTTGTTAAAAAACCCTGGACTAAAAATTAGTAAAACAACATTAATTTAAGTCTTAAGTGTTAAGATGAATTTTTAAAATATGGAAATAGGTATGAATTGTGTCTAACATTAAAATTAAATTTGAATGTTCTTCCATTGTGTTGTTGGACTTTCATCTAAAGTTATAATTTAAAAATGTTTTCATTGTTTGTATTTTGTAGAAACTAATTTTTAAATTATACTTACATTTTTTTTTTTATTCTGATGATCTGCTTAACACGGCATTAAATTTAAACCAGAATGCAGTAATCAGTTTAGTCCTTTTAGTAGATTAGAACGCTTAACAGTTGACTGAAGCGTAATCTCAGCCCTTCAATATAAAACGGATGACATCATCGACTTTTTGGTGGTAGCTTGTAGTGTAGGTTTTTTCCTGATATCCTCTGGGAGCAAACCCTTTTTCCTTTCTTTTTAATCCTTAACGTATAACAGACAACGACATTTGTATTTCGGGGGAGAATATAAAAGGGAAACATCTAAAGTTACATCCTCCAGAGCATGATGACACATTTTTAACTAAATGTTGTCTATACTAGTAGCATTGAAAAATAGTGACAAGTTTGAGTAAAGTGAAAATAAATATTTGTTATTAATTATAATTTACAAAATGTAAGGAAAAAAATAATAATAAAGATAAGTAATGTGTACATATTAAGTTAAGTATTAATTACATACGGGTTATTTATAAATGCTGTATATTATAGTAACAATAAACATCATTTAAATAAAACGGTGTTTATTATGATTTATGTTGTACAATTGTTGTCAGTTCATGTAATTTTAACAAATATTTAAAAGTGTTAAGAGAGCTGTTTGCGTATACTTTAATTTTACCAGACATGGCACTTGTGTTTCGGGTTCATTTTAGAATTTTCGTTACATTTAAAGTCTTTAATGAAATACTCCGAATTCATTAAGGGAACATTAACTCTATGTTGATGCGGAGCATGTTTATCATAAACCACCACCAGCTTTAACCACTGAGTCGCCTCCACTTTGCACCAAATATTTGCCACAGCAATCCAGAACATTTGTTCAGGTGTGTATGGTAATCCGGGTAGGACTTGTTCGGGGCCGTGCTTTTTCGACCACGCTTTATAGGCAAGATATGCTAATTTGATACCTGCGTTATCAGCAATATTCTCACCTTGCGTGTTAATACCATTTAACTAGAAAATCGCACAATAAAAAATATGCTTTAAAGAGGCATTACTTACGTTCAAGTTGACTTCAGGCACAGTTATGTTCCCATACTGATCGATAATGCATTGAGCTTTTGCGTCGAAAGCTTCTTTCGTTTTTTGTTGCCACCAGTTAACTAAATTACCGTCTTTATCAAACTGCCTGCCTTCATCATCGAAGCCGTGAGTGATTTCGTGGCCTATAATATGACCGATAGCTCCATAATTCATGTATTTGGGTTTACGGTCATCGAAGAACACGTTTCGTAGAATGCCAGCCAAGAATTCTATAAAGAAATTCAAGTTTGGATGTGAGTACATGGCAGATAAGAGTTGGATTTACCGATACTGTTTTCACTCGAGTCGTAAAATGCTTGCACTAAAGCGACGTACCCGTGATTGCGCCAGTCTTTTTTGTCAAGTTTTTCGTCAAGTTGAGGATACTCGACGTCGCTTTTAAATAGGGATAAATTTAGCATTGAGCCTAGGTAGTCAGAAGCGTCGAAAGTCAGCTGAAAACTAGACATAAGTATTTGATTCGAGTGGAATCAAGAGCGCGATTCTTTAGGTTTGTGTATTGAGCGTACATTTTTGTAGTAGAGTTCCAGTTTTTGGTCATCGAGAAGTTCGTCAGGGTAGGCCGTGTGAAGATGGATCGCTTTGGCTTTATCAAGTGCTTGTTTTTTGGTATCAGCGTCCATCCAATCGACAGATTTTAGAGTTTGTATGAATGCATCTTTTATGTACTCGGTCATTTCAACAACGGCGGCTTTTGCTTCTTTTTTAAAGAAATTTCGTACGAACAAAGCTCCACTTGCTACGTAAAGTCTGAAAATAAGATGATGTATACATGTTCTGAAGCAAAGAACAATAAACAAACAAAAATACACTATCATAAGTAAAAGTACATAACTAGAGGGTTAAAAGCTTAAATATCTTTTATATTAATCGGTTTGTTGTTTGTCTAAAATTTTTTGAAGTGTCATTTCAAATAAGGTAAATAGCATGCTTCCATACATCTATTTTCGGTCATACATTACAAGATATTATTAGTTTGTTTTCTTTGATTATGGTAACAGGTTATGGGGCCGAGGATGAAGGACGAAGAGACAGGTCATTCATTTAATGGACAATCGCGCCCTTTGACTCGAGGGGAAGTGTTGGAATACCATATGTTATCGAAGTTTCTGAAGCATTACGTGGAGAGCCACGACGCTCCACAGGGACACAAATTTTGTCAAGTAGACACAATGGTACTGACGCCAGTACCATCGCGCCATGGTGCTCCGTCGTTTGTTATGTCGTTAATATACGTTTTGATTCTGAAGCTTGATAGCTTCAACAGTTTCTCTATACTCTCTATTTTTTCTAATTGATTTTTTAGGATGTCAAAAAAAAATTAAAATATGAAGCAATATATTTACTTGCAGTACAAAATTAGAGGTGGATGGGAACGTTTTTGTTTACATTCGACTATTTATCAATATAAAATCCGCTTTTCGTCCAATAAAATGATTGAACAGAAAGAAAATTACTACTATGAAATTCAATTTTTATCTCATGATAAATGAAATAAGCCAATGTAATTCAAAAGCGAAAGTGGGTGGGATTATTTTTGCTTTTTTTTGTTTATTTACAACTCTTTATAAGTGTAAAATTCAGTTTTCGTCCAATAAAACGAGTGATCAAGAGAAAACGGGGTGGGTGGGCGGGGCCATTTTAATTTTTGTTTAATTAAATTTGACGATTGCCAAAATAAAATTCAATTTTCATTTAACGATAAATAAAAAAATAAACCAATGAAATTCAAATGTGCAGGTGGGTGGGGTTAGTTTTACGTTTTTATTTAGTCTAAATTCTGCTGTTTATAGACGTAAAATCCACTTTTAATCCAATTAAATGAGTGTCACTTTCAAGTTTTTTTTTTTTTAAATTTGGTTTGACCACTTGCTAAAATGGAAATCAATTTTCATCCCAGGGGAAATAAAATATGTTAATGCAATTAATGAACGGAGGAGTTTGGAGTCAGTTTTACCTTTTTTTTGTATAGATTGTACGATTTCTATTAGTTAAACGCCCCTTTGGTATTTTCCAATTTTCAAAGTGAATCAGAAGTTAGCATTTTTTGAAATACAAGTTCAAGGCTTTGAAAATACTCAAAGGATTTCTGAAACTTCTTTCAATTTTTGTGGGCCTTGAATCTTTGAAATTTGCCAGAAAAGGAATATCTCGAATTAATTTTGAAAATCTCGTAGAAATTATGTGGACACTAGAAATATCATGGTGTAGTCAACGCTCTGAAGAACAAAAATAGACCGATATTTGACAACAACGTTGTCAACATTAAGTAATAAAGCCTTGACAACACTGAAATTATACACTTATTCCGGATAAATACGCTTATGTTGTTGTTAAGGCTTCAAATAGCCCAAAATTTCGAATATTTAGAAAACCCAATTTTCAAGGCTACAAAAGTACTAAAAGTGCGTTTTGACGTCATTTGTTTCGTGGTAACTTTTGAAATTTTTGGACGTTTGCATTTTTGAAATTAATTTAGTGTTGCCGAGGCCTTGAAGATTAAGAAGGGGTCGATTTTCGACAACTAGTTCGGCGAATTCTGAAAAACTTCATGGCCTTGGAAATGCTAGAACAATTCGTCTGTGTGAAACAAAAATTTGCAATTTTTTTAGAAATAAGGTACTCAAAGGACTCCTGGATAAAAAAAGATTTCTAACTAATTTTGAGAAACTCGTGGCAATTTTGACGATTCTAGAAATGTGGTATAGTCAAAACTACGACAAAAAATAGACCGATACTTGATAACATCGTCAACATTCTTTTTATTATGAAGGTCTTCAAGGCCTTGAGAACACTGAAGTTACTTGCAATACGAAAAATAATTCATTCATTCATTCCTCAACATAACAACTACTAAAAAAATAATCCATTAACATAATACAGTACAAAGAAAAATGAAAATAACCTAATAAGAGTGAAAGCCAGCAACAAAATTAACGAAACATTTTTTTAACAATGTCTTGAGTACTATAATTAAAATTTAACTAAATTTAAGCAATAGATGTCTCGAAAACGAAAACCGATTGATATTTCTGGAATTGTCGAAAGAGTTCAGTTTCCTTGAATCAAGTTTATATAAACATTAAGTGTATTAGCCCTGTCCACCCTCCTCCTCTATTGTCTTAGAGAATATATCATTTGCCAAAATCAGTCTTATCTCAGCAAATATAAGCCCCGCCCACCCGCCCTTTATTTTCTTAGAAGGTACATCATTTGCCAAAATCAGTCGTATGTTATATCATTTGCCAAAATCAGTCTTATCTTTACGAATAGTAGACCCCACCCACCCGTCCTTTTTTTCTTAGAGGGTATATCATTTGCCAAAATCAGTCGTATCTTAGCCCTGCCCACCCACCTTCCATTTTCAATGAGGGTATATCATTCGCCAAAATCAGTCTTATCTTTAAAAATACTAGCCCCACTCACCTATTTTCTTAGAAGGTATGTTATTTGCCAAAATCAGTCGTATCTTATATTCCCTTCATTTGCCAAATTCAATTTTATCTTTACAAATACTAGCGCCACCCACCCGCCCTTTATTTTCTTAGAAGGTATGTCATTTGCCAAAATCAGTCTTATCTTTAAAAATACTAGCCTCACCCACCCGCCCTTTATTTTCTTAGAGAGTATATAATTTGCCAAAATCTGTCTTCTCTTAGCAAATACAAGTTTTAACTAATCAAACAGCAGCTTATCTCGTTTTCTTGAAATTCGGAGGACATAAGATACTGTTGCTATTAAACTGTTAACGATACCTTCACAAAATTTTACTAAGAAAATCTCACTTAAAAATATAAACCTCATGCTTATTTATATGCAGTTTATGAATCTATTTATGTTTTAATTTTAATTTATAGGGATTATCAAGTAAAAATCATAAAATTGTATTTTACGGTACATTGAGGGATCTCAGATTTGAAATTAAATTTCTCGCTGAGAGCAAAAAAAATTGTCGAAAGCTAGGTCCTTTCCTCACCCTTGCAGTATAATCCGACAAATCCAGCTTTTTACAAAAATTTTTAAATAACCTCTGTAAAGTAAATAAGTAACACCCCCGCAGCCCCGGCGCCGTACGCACAATGTAAAATATATTTAAAGCACGTAATTAGCGGGATAAAATGTCCTTCAGCACTAGGTAATAGCAATCTGAAGCTCAAGTGTTGATTTATATTTATACATCGAAAGAATGTCACGTAGAAATTAGTTTGATTTGAGTGAGTTTGACTCTTCAAAACAGAGGTTTAAAATTATGAATTAAACCACAATCGAACAAAATGTCATGAATATTATAATTAATAATATACAATGCGAGAGAAAAAGAGGGAAAAAAACGAAAGGCTAAGTTTCATAAAAAAAAACTAGAATTCTTTGAAATGACGTCGTCAAATTGTTGGTGTGGATGATTAGCATTAACCATCTAAATGACATTTCTAATATACATACAAAATTTGACAACAATCGGTCAGGTCAAAAGTAATAAAAGTAGCGCATAATTAGGAAATAAATAAGTCAAATTATAAGCACTTGTTGGTTCATTGACTGGGTTCATCGTCCTCTTACATTAGTACATTGCACAGCAGTTTAGGAGATTATGTGTTTAATAAAAATGGATACAGACACCAGACAGATAGACAGACAGACAGACGGAAACTGGAGACTACTTTTTTCGTACTGTAGGGGTCATAAAACGTCGAGAAAATATAAAAGTGGTCATTCCTCCGATGGACCCTATTAGAATCTGGCCGCTGTAAGTATAGCACACCAATAAAAGTGCGCAAAGAACGAAATTGAGACAGGACGAGGCAATTTTCAAAAATAAGGGGAGGCAGTTCCTCAGTGGCGTCCGCTATATTTCATGTGTTTCACCTGTGTTTCACTAGCGCTCTGTGAAGTTTTTTATTTGAGTATTTGTTTTACAAGTTTTATAAATCAGTTCTTTTCAGAGCTTAAAAATAATCACGTACACCAAGATCCTTAGACAACAAAATATGACTACGCCACTGACGGTTTTCCCCACCTGCTCTTGTGGGCAGCTTGTGATGACTCAATATGTCATTCTTTGGTCGGACGCTCTAGTAAGTACTATTACCTCATTTGATTTTTCAGTAATTTCAATTTTATGCTCATTTTATTTGGCGAGACGTTTGACTTTTATAATTTCAAGGAGTGTAAAATTGTTGTAATATTAGTTGAAATTATGTTTTACAAACAACATATTTGTCTGAATAAAAATTAAATCTTTTCTTACCTTATACACGCTTGTGTACATTCTTTCCACCTCAACGGTCTTTTGTCTATACCACTGATTGGTTTGTTAAATTCCAATTCCAAATTTCTTAACTCATCATTGAGGTAAGTGATGTGATCCTCAGCTAATGACCAATACATATAATTAGCCAAGGTTCTAAAATTTAACACTAAAGTGTATTACAACAAGTACCATCTTTAAAGTACCTTTTCGAGGTGTTTTTCAAGACGGTTTCCAGTTTTTCGTAATAGGATGGAACTTTAACGATAACGATATCATCGTTGTTAAATTTTTTGTATGGATGCATCATAGTGTTAATATAATTCAACCATGGTACATAACCAAACGTCGTTTCCAGTTTAGAGACAGACATTGGATTGTGCTTCAAAGTTGCATCGCGAAGTTCTTCTTCTGGCAACGTTATCTTCAAAAGTGTTACTCAGGAGATATTATTTTAGAGGTAGTACTTACTCTAGCTAAAGTCACCACCAATTCAGCAACTGCTCTCATTTCTTCAGACGCTTTTGTCTCTTCAGCGCCTAAAACAACAACTACTTTCTTCATATACTCGTAATAGGCTTGGAAGATAGTTTCGTTGAATCCGTTCCTCTTGATCTTATCTAATTCGATTTTAACTTGATCTAGCTACAACACGTTGAGTAGTAGAATTTCGTTTCAATAGATATTTATCCAACTAACAACAAGAGCTTTTCTGGACGAGTTGGAAGAATCCGGCAACACTTTAAAATTGAGCAACATGTACGGAGTCAAGCCCACTTTCATCAACTGATAACTCGTTGATACCCAGTCGAAGCTATTTTCGTCCCATCCATCCCCTTCAACAACAGGCCAACCTCCCGTACTTTTAATAAGTCGTTTGAATTTCTGCAACGAGTTCGCCTCGATTTCCGTCGTGTTCATGCAAGCCCGATAAAGCGTTTTAGCAAGAACAAAGGGTTTGATGTCTGTCGACACGATGGGTTTTTTAAGTAAGTTGTGCATCAGCTCTTCCACTTCGTCTCTGGGGGTTTATTTACGTATTAAAATTGCAAAGTGGCCCTAAAAATCTTACTCTACGATAGTGAAGGATGTTATCGACGTCTTGTCTTCAGGAATAACGGTGTTTTTTATGAAATTCCCACAGGCGAACTTGTAGAAGTCCTCGCAAGGGTTGACGTTTAAATCGACCTTTTCTAAAACTTGAGTAGCAGTTTTTACACAGTCGGGGGTGAAACATATGTCATGCGAGCCATACTTGCAGCCTAAAATTTAAGAGGGACGCCCGTAAAAAACGTTTCTATTAAATAGGTAAGTATGTTACGCAGGGACGGATTTAGGACACACAGAGAAGTGCAGAATTCATCACAGAACGTAATAGCATTTGGATTTGTAGAGTGGACTAGGAAAATTTAATTATGCTAAAACGTTTTTTTTTACTTGAGTGAAATAGCTTCAAATTTTGATTTTCAGTAATTGTCATCTACTTATTAGAGTGACACAAAATTTTACAATGATTAAAACTTTTTTTACTAGGTAACAAAAAATGGTTGCTTATTTCACGTTTGCATCTAATATAAATTGTCCCTTTAATTACAATAAAATTTTTTATGATAAGCTTTTTATTACAGCCTTTGTAGGGGAGCCCGGATTGATGTTTTGCGTCCGAACGCATAAATATTAAATCCGGTTCTGGTGCCACGTTGGGTTTAAAATTTCTCGTAAAAACCTCCTTTACCTTGCAGAGAGCTCCCACGTGATAGATTCACTGACAGCATTATTATTATTAGGAAGATGAGTGTCGTGACGATCGCTAGAAGAACTTTTTCCGTGCGAGGACGCCTTCTCCACCATGACGGATTTCTTAAATTTTGTTAATCAGTGTTTGCGTTTTGACGTCTTTCATACTCACTGAATTTTCAGAGTGCTTTCACGGCTTGATTCAGGCATCGTTCTAGGTAATACGGAGGCCGACAGCTCTGCACATCCCTTGTTTATAACTTGTTTACAACTAAATTCAACTTTTAATTCACTCTCACGCGAGATGATCTAACGATGTAATACGTTGTTACCTTGCTTTTGCGCTTCAAGAATATAGGGAAATCTTAAACGCTTGTAGATGGCATGGGAGATTAAATGGTTTTTTAAGTTTTTGGATACACATGCCTGCACATCTGCGCTGGTAGGTTTTTGATTGTGGCTTGATTTTAAATCGAAACATCTGACGCGGGTTTTAAAAACCTGTTTGACAAGAAGTTTCAAGTATTATGTAAATCGTACGGTTCGAATGCGTCTTTAAATCGTGACCAATTATTCCTCTTCATGATACCTGTTATGTAATAAAATAATAATAATAGATGAGCAATTAAAAACATTACTAAATTTAGCAATAATATCCACATATTTGTTATATTCAATAAAATATAATGGAAATTAATACAAAAATTTACAATGTGTTAATTAATAGTTCGTGGTTAAGTTGCTAGTACATTCCGGATGTCTTACGCACCAGATTTTTATCTTACATTTGCATATTCGCACGTATATTTATAAATTATTCAAAACGGAAGTCGGTTCATAAATATTGAACTTAAGAAGTTAATGATAAACTGATAAGTGCAACTTATAGAAAAATGTTGGAATAGAGTAGAGAAAATGGAACAGAAAATATTTTCATTTCTGGTTTAGAAATAAACTTTTCGTAATGTTTAAATGGGAAATTTATTCTCAAGTTAGAAAGTGCAGGCCGATTTTCTTGATCGAAATAGGATAAAAAAGTAGTTTCTTTGCTAGTTTTTCATAGAGATTTTATAAAATTTCTACTGTTTTTATTATAAATTCAACCCCAAAATATGTTCGTGGTAGTATTTTAGAAAATTTTTGAATTCACCTTAAAGGGCAACATTCAGTTCACACACTTTATTTTGAAAAAAATTTGGTACTGCTTCATTTTTTTTATGTATTGATTCATACAAATAAACAAGTTTCAATAATTCTACCAATTATATAAAAAATGCAAAATTTCAGTTAAGCAAAAAAAAATTAATAATTTTAGGGGTGTTACAAGCAATTTATTGTTGTATACAAGGTGAATCACTAAGCTTGCGGGCCTCGATATCTCATTGATTATTGATGCAGATAGGAAAAAAGTAAAAAACCAAAGTTGTACGGTTCTTGGGGGACAATACTTTAAAAAAATATTTTCAAGTATTATAGAAAGTGTCCTGTTTTTAAGGAGTAACACACAACTTAGTTTCTTTTAATGAAGAAATTTTTACATATTTTGACTGACCACTTTTTAGGCTTTACAGCCACAGTTATTACAGTTTTCTTGAAATTTTTGCAATGAAAGGATTCACAAAAAAATCGCCATATGGTTGTTATTAAAATCTATTCTACAATCTTTTTCAGTTTTTTCAAGTGGAACACACTATATTTTATTGACGTACTCTATTTTAGTCGTCATTTTTCTAATGTCAATATGTCTCTTAAAAAAGTCAAAATCGCAGTAACCATCCACTTTAAGCTTTACTCTATTTGAAAAAACTGAAACGTCTGTATTTGAAGATTGTATCAATTAAAACATTTTTTAGAAACACTCTGTATATGAAAATTTAATCTCATTGATACCAAAATAAAGTGCGTATCATTAGTTACCTCTCCACAAAATATTCTAACGCAGATTTTAAAAATAACCCTACAGCGATTTTTTCTGTGAATCCTTCCATTGCTAAAAAATCTCAATAAAACTGGAATAACGTGGCAACGTCGCATCGTAATTTCAAAAATAAACTGTAGTTGTAAAATCTAACAAGCGGTGAATTAAAATATGTGAAAATATATAGGTTGTTTCATGAAAAAAAAAAAAAAAACTAAGTTATATGTTACACCTTAAAAACCGACTACTCTGTATAGCTGCCAATAATTTTAGAGTATAATCCTGAAAGAACCGTCCAACTTCGTTCTTTGACTTTTTTTAATTCTAATAATTAATGAGATATCCAGGAACGTGTGGTCATTGACTCACCTGTATATGTACAAGTCAAAAGTAGGGATTGATGAACGTTGATTACTACAAAAATTTACCATTTTAGACATGTTTTAAGTTTCTTGTTGTCGAAATAAGTCTGCACATACTAAGAAAAAAAGTCAAAATGTAGCCCCGCCCACCTGCCCTATCTCAATTGTGATGATTTTTTTTTATTGGTCGTGAGCCAAGGAGACGGAGCCTGACTGCAAAATCCTTATTTCTCTACGAGAAATTAAAAACATGTTTTCGAGTATCGTGTTGTTCAAAGAATACTATGTATATTAGGAAAAAAATAAAACCAAATATTAGGCCCCACCCATAGCCGCCCCGATGTCAATTCTCAATTGTGATCAATTTTGTATACGTTGTCGGATCGAGAGGCGGGGCTTAATTGCAAGATTCATATTTGGCTAGAAGAATTTACCATTTTAAACATGTTTTAAGTTTCTTGTTCTGAAAAGACGTCTACGTAGATCTATTAAGAAAAAAGGCAAAATATAAACCCCGCCCACCCGCCCTGTCTCAATTGTGATGATTTTTTTTAATCGAGCGGAATTTAAATGCAAAATTTTTATTATTTCTCTACAAGAAATTACCATGGAAGACATTTTTTGAACATCGTGTTAACGTTATCGTTGTATATTAAGAAAAAATTAAAGCCAATGATTAAGCCCCACCCATACCTGCCCTGATCTAAATAATAATGAAGTTTTCATTCATTGGCAGACCTAGGAGCGGAGCCTAATTGCAAAATCTATATTTCCTCACAAAAATTTATTATTTTAAACGTGTTTTAAGTTTCTAAGAATTAAAAAAATGATCACAATTGAGATGGGGTGGGTGGGCGGTGTTTGTATTTTGCCTTTTTTACTTCCCGAGCGTAAGCAAAGGAAGTATTGTAATCGAGTCCGTCGGCCGACTCTCTACTTTTACGTTTTCTCGATCTTTCATGACCCCTAGAAGACGAAGAAATAGGTCTCCCATTTCCGTCTGTCTGTGCGTCTGTCCGTCTGTCCGTCCGTCTGTCCGTCCGTCCGTCTGTCCGTCCGTCTGTCCGTCTGTCCGTCTGCCCCCGGATTTTTATTAGACAGATAATCTCCGAAAGTACTCGACCGATTGTTGTGAAATTTTGTACTTATATTAAGAATATCATGTAGATGGTAAAACGCTAACCAAAATTTGTCTAATCATCCCCACCACTAATGCGATGACGTCACTTCAAAATTGTACATAGTAAATGGGTTTTCAATTGTATAAAATAACATAGTCCTACACATGTAGTTTACAACTCCGAATCGACTTTTCACCCGAAACGTCCAGATTTTTGGAAAAAAAATCAAAATTATAAAACAACATTTTGAAATTTAATTTTTAATCTGCTAACCAGAATGCTTTGAAATGTTGCAGATGTTTTAAGGCTATAAAGAGCATCATAAATCTTTAGTCAAAAAATATTTGCTTACCCCCTCCAAAAACTTGATGACGTCAGCTCAAAAGTTTGTGGAATAAATCATATCTAAAATGTACAAAATATGATGAGTCTGTACTTGTGATCTATCACTCCATTCATATTTTTTGGATTTGCATATACAGGGTGACTCAAAAAAATTAATGAATGCGTAAATATATTTTATTGATTTAATCAGGAACTACAAAACGGAATGCTCTGACATCTTGCAGATGTTTGAAGGTTATAAAGAGCATAATAAATGTTTAGTCAAAATATATTTGCTTATCCCCTCCAAAAACTTGATGACGTCAGCTCGAAAATTTGCCGAATAAATCATATCTAAAATGTACAAAATATGATCAGTCTGTACTTGTGATCTATCACTCCATTCATATTTTTTGGATTTGCATATACAGGGTGATTCAAGAAAATAAATGAAAGCGTAAATTTATTTTACTGATTTACTCAGGAACTACAAAACCGAATGCTTCGAAATCTTGAAGATATTTTAAAATTATCATAAGCATGGTAAATTTTTGATCAAAATGTATTTGGTCGTCCCCCCTAAAAAATTTATGACGTCACCACAAAATTTTGCTGAATAAATCCTATCTAAAATGTACAAAATATGGTGAGTCTCTTCTTGTGATTTATCATTCCATTCAAATTTTTTCGATTTGCATATACAGGGTGACTCAAAAAAATTAATGAATGCGTAAATTAATTTTATTGATTTAATCAGGAACTACAAAACCGAATGCTTTGAAATCTTGGGAATATTTTAATGTTATTATAAGCATGGTAAACTTTTGTTCAAAATGTATTTGTTCATCCCTCCTAAAAAAATTGATGACGTTACCCTTAAATTTTGCTGAATAAATCCTATCTAAAATGCAAAAAATATGATGAGTTTGTACTTGTGATTTATCATTCCATTCATATTTTTTAGATTTTCTTAAGAGGTGGTTCAAAAAAATTAATGAAGTCAATTTATTTTATTGATTAAATTAAAGGCAACACTTATTATTAGTATTACACCCCAACCAACCCAATTTGGTAGACACAAAATTTGTTAAAGGAAAAACTCGGTTGAAACATAAGGGTAGCATCGCTTATTTACATCGACTTTAACATTACAGACCTGCATTTGTTTTATGCGATCACTTGGTTCCGCGAATGTGAAATAGACATGTTTATAATCAACCAATTGTGAATTTCACCGTCAAGAATTAAAATAAAACCCAATGTTTTATATAATAAGCGGAAGTCGAAGCAATAAAACCGATGGTCGTTTTGTTTACAGTTTCTCTGTTTGACTTTCACGTATGCTGTTACGCTTGTCATCTTAAATTAATAATGTTTATACATAAACGATTTTCAGTTGCCGTATACGCGAGTAAATTGTTTCGTTATTTTATTGATTATAAAAAATCAATATTCAAAACGACCCAATTCATTTTCCCGAAAATTTGGGAATACAATAATTTTATTCTTAGTATTACACTACATCTATCCCAACTGATATACGTGTTCTTGCAAAAATATTGATGACGTCATCGCAATTTTTTTTAAATTCCCACTACAAAAATGTAATGAGAAAAAAACACAATAGCCATGCAGTCGTCAAGTTTCCGACAGCGAGGGAAGTACTGTCTAAACTCTTTAGACCAATTTTTTCTTAATATACATTGTATTCTTTGATCAACACGATACTCAAAAACATGTTTTTGCTTAGATTTTGCCTTTGTGTTTTAATACGTGTAGACTTCTTTTCACAAGAAGAAACTTAAAACATGTTTAAAATGGAAAATTTGCATAAGGAAATAACGATTTTGCAATTCGGCTCCGCCTCATAATTACAAAATCCATATTTCCTGCAAAAATGTACAATTTTAACCAGATTTTAAGTTTCTTGTTGTGAAAAGATGGCGTCTATGTATATTAAAAAAAAAGTCTAAATATAAGCCCCGCCCATTTGTCACCGCTTGGTGCTTGGTACCCGGGGCGGAAATTGGGTCACCGTAAGTGCAGTTCGTAAGCCCTCTTATTATTAATCCTCTTAATTCTCTCGTCTCGGGTGGAGTAGAATTGCGGTACGTTGTGCAATTCGCTCGTTGGAGAAGCAATTGGTCTTCCCTGATGAAGAACAGGCCTTAAATAGTAGTTGTCCCTTTTACTCGGAGCCATGGTGGGGATGACAGCCAATGCGCATGTTAGGTACTCTGGGTTTGCCTGACCGCGTACTCTCAGCGCCGTCGAAAGGGTACTAGTGGAGGACCCCGGTACTAACGTATTTACGCTATATAGTTGTATGTCGAAATAGTTTACAAGTTTATTTGACCCACGTTTGGGTTTTTAAAGGTTTTCAGTTCAATGACTGAAGTTATTCATTCTGGGCGTTTGTAGCTTACGTTAGCGCTGCGTCCTGGGGTGGGATTTTGTTTCTATAACGATAGAATATCGGTACCGATAAAATGTGGTCGTCTTTTTCTTTCGCATCTGAAATTTATATTTTCGTCCTTGTCATTTATCGCTTCGTATCGTATCGGTAGAAACAAAATCCCACCCCTGGAACGATTAGTGATAAAGATCATTAACGGTCAAATAACTTTTTTGTTTTTATGGCGGCAAGCTAGTCATTTTTAACGGCATCATATAAAACCATTGCTGACTATCTCCTGAATTAACATTGTATTTCAATTAAGAATTTTGAAAACCTATATTAAAATGATTGATAAATTTAAAAAAAATATTTTTATGAATCAGCGAAATGTTATTAAAAGGATTTTAATAGGAACTTAACCATGTATTTTTATAATAAAACCAACAAACTCTTTTTTATTTTTTTAATTAAGAAATAAAATACAAGAAAATTCTATAAATACAAAAATTGTAAACTATGCACTTACTGTATGAATAAAAGAACAAACACAAAATGCTGGTAGAACAAAATACAATAAAACGAGTCATGAACACAATTAATTTTTTTACGATTTTCCACACAACACTTATATTAAAATAAGAACAACAACAGTAAATCATTATTTGCGATAATACATAAAGTTTTCTGGGGACAGACTTTGTCTGTTTATGATATTATTGATTGAAATTGTTGAATGACTAGAATACTATAATATATTAGTACTACCTATATGTACTAATTCCTGTGTTTTAAAACAAAACGCATACAGTTATTTCAAACAAATAAATAAAACAATCTTTTTCAAAAAATTGCAATATTTCCAAACCAATTGGTTTTGCAACGGTGCCAGAACGGAAACACTTCATAATAACCTACCAAATTGGACATTTATGCACCGGATTCATCGGCGAGCCCGCAGGACAATTAAAATCCTGCGCAAAATACTTCGAATTCATCAACGGCACGTTAACTCTATAATAATGCGGCGAATGAAGCCGGTCCATAACACTAATTCTAAGTTCTTCAATCCTCTCAACGTCACACCAAGTGTTCCCTGCAGAAATCCAAAACATTTGCTCCGGAGTGTATGGCAACCCTGGCAGCGCCTGCTCCCGTTGATGTTTATTAACCCATTTCTTGTAGGCTAAATATGCTTGTTTAACGCCGCCATTATCAGCAATATTCTCGCCTTGAGTGTTTATGCCGTTCAACTGCAAAGAGAAAATTAAACAAGCTCCAACCCCTTGCCTGCCTACTAACGTTTAAATTTATCCCCGGCACGGTGATGTTGCTGTATTGGTCAATGATGCACTGTGCCTTCTCGTCGAAAGCTGATTTCGTCTTGGCCTGCCACCAGTCTACTAAATTGCCATCTTTATCGTATTGTCGACCTTCGTCGTCGAAGCCATGAGTTATTTCGTGGCCGATTATGTAGCCGATTGCTCCGTAGTTCATGTAATGTGGTCGCTGCTTGTCAAAGAAGACGCCTTGGAGGATGCTGGCGGGGAATTCTGCTTGGATTAACACAAGATTTGCATGGGTAAATAGGCGAGAAACGAAAACTAGGTGAATTATATGCATATGTGGTGGATAATGTCTTAATATGTTAAGAAGACGGGGTTTTTAGGCCGTCGAACTAAATGGCGCTGCCGTTTAGAAACTGATTCTGATTTGCATATTGTAATAAACGCGTGCTGTACTTACTTTCGAGACACTTAAAACATTCAAATTTATTGAAAATTATGTAATTAAGCAGCTACAATATTTTGTCTATTCAGGATGTACATATAAGCGTCTGTGAGTTTAAATAGGGTTCCACTATTTCTTTTAATCATTTTAAACGTCTAGAATTTTTGTACATTATATATAATACAACGAGAGTCGTTCAAACGCAACTATTATTCGATGTATTAGATAATAATACATTATTACACGTATTCATAAGGTGATTATTGTGGCACGAATGAGTTTAAACCACGAAGAGTGTAATATACTATTTTTTTCTACTTTGCATTGTAAATAAATTCTAAAAATATGTTCTGAACAAATTATTTTCGATTAGGGATTTTAGACAGTCAGTTCGCAATAAAATCAACATTCTCGTGATCATTTAACACCAAAGGGAGCAAATAGATGGAAATATTCAATTTGGCTAGTTATTATTAATAATGTTCACTGACTTTTGGGTTCAACTTTCGACCACCTTTCAACTGCCCGCATAATAACATTGCCACCATAATGTTACGAAATAAACCCATACGCAGCCCCGGTATGACGCCTATGGGTTCTAGTATGTACGGCGATGATGACTCATCATCGGTGACGGCGGCCGGCCGGCGTTTGATAAAAAAAGCCTGTAAGCGAAACTCGCGGGAGTTCTACACACGTCGATTTTAAACACCGATCATCGTAACAATAATCAAGGGAAAAGTTACCGTTTTGCGTGCTATAATGAAGTTAAATGTCATTATTGTGAAACATATATGCGTTTCATAATGAAAATATTATTGACGTAAAGTAGAAAAAAAAAATTATTATTATTACAATCAAACAAATCCAGTTTTTTAGAAATAAAATGTAGATAATATCAGCATTGCTTATGTACTCAAACAATGATACCAGTTAAGAGTGTAAAAAAAGCAACCCGCGATATTCACGTTATTAGCAGTTGCTTTAGGTTCTAACCAGTTGGCGTAATGACTGATGGTTGATCAACGTTCCCCTTACATGTATTACTATAAAATCTTGTTATAAAATTTAGATTTTTGTGAAAATCTGTACGCATATGGTAAAAACTCAAGGCAGGTCCATAGACCCTAAGTAGACTAATAGCTTATTTTATAAAATTTTGGAAAGAACTTACTTCAAAAACTTAGTTAATAATAATATCATCGTGTTAACAGAGTTGTAGAATAATCAAGATAAGAAGGTTTTTTTTAAGAACTTTACTAGCAGAAAGAATTCGGTTAAAGAATAATGAGGTTGAAGAAGGGTATTTTCATGAGTCTGAGAAGATTCTAGAATAACTTCAAGAATAATTATATTGTAAAAGAAGACGACATCGCAAAATTTCAAATTCAGTGTATCCAAGAATGTAACTGACATTTCAGGAAAATTCTGAAAGGATTCTACTTGGAAACGAGAAGGTTGAAAGCAACTCCAAAAATAAAACTGCAGTAGTTTCTATAGGTCCTGTTATAATATTGTTACGATGATCGGTAATTTAAAATAGGGGGTGGGTAAAACTCAACAATTTATTTCTTAGTAACTTGAATTTACACGAGTATGCACAAAATAATTCCGGCGCAACTTGACTGACTTGTCTCAACATTCAGTGGACTCGAATCGACTGAATAATAACCGTTCCCGAAGGAGGCCTGGATTTAAACCCAAACTTCTCTTCTAGATGTTTCATGATCGAGGTCTTTCCCGAATACCCATCGCGACTTCCGCTTCCAGTTTTTTCTTTAGAGAACGCCGCCCGGGCGCCGTCACCGATGATGAGTCACCCATCATCGCCGTACATACTGGAAGATATAGGCGTCGTACCGGGGGGGGGCGTATGGTTTTCTTTCGTAACAATATTTTTGTTTTATGTGAATTGGGAATTCATTTGGTGTGATTTTTGTGAATTTTGATTTAATATTAACTTGAATGAATGCATGATTGGACATCATGAAATTCTTTGTTTAAAATTTTCGATAAAGCACAGTGACGGGTCCGCACCCAAATGTAGAGTTTTTTTCTTACATTGTCACTGTTCAGGTGAAAGTTTATCTGCAATACCGGATTTTCTCCGTTGTGAATCTAACTTCTTATTTGAGAGGGTGGAAGTAAGCCGTTGAAATGCAAGGAGACGCCCTTCGCGCTGCTGTCGTTATGTATCACCATGCTACGTAGTTTTGCACTCAATTTTGCATTTTTGCTCGACTGTTTATAGTTAAATTTGCTGCCACGTCATCGTAATAACCCGTGTATACTTTAGTGATGATTTATTTTTTCTTTGTATGTTTAAATTTGCGATGTTCAAATGTTTTTATGAATTTACATTTTTAAAATTTTGTGACGAGGTGTCTGACTTACCACAATTTCACGTTTGGTTTTTCCAGAAATGCCATCCATTTCTTTTTCAAATAGAATATTGTATGTGTTTTTAATGGGTTAAATAGAACACGTTTTTATTGTTTTGTGATACAACTTTTTGTAAAACGGGCTTCTCATATTATTTGCAAGTTCCACTGTAAAACTTTTATGATCGAAAAAATGTCGTCTATTCAGCCATGGAATTATTAAAAAAATATGTTGCCAAAATCTGCACTCTCAAAGCTGCTCGTTTTTGAGATCATGTGGAATTTGTTTATACATTGCATTAAATGTTTTAAAATTGAACAAAAATGACACCAAGAATTTTAACTTCAGCGTGTCCAAGAATGTAACTTATAAGTGATAACATTTCAAGAAAATTCTATTTGGAAACGAGAAGGTCGAAAACAACTCCAAAAATAACTGCTGTAGTTTCTAGAAGTTCTGTTATTATAATATAACGTATTGGGAGAAAATGCAAGATTTAACCAGAAGTTATTTTATAAAATTCTAGAACACTTGGAAGTTGAAATTGACATTCTAGAAGAATTTCGTTTGAGAACGCAGGAATAGAAATAGTCAGATTTTAGTTTCAAGATTCGAATTTGAAAAAGAGTTTACTGACAGTGCACCCAGAAACATGAAATGATTAGTTTAGAAAATTTCAAATTTCCATAATACAGAACAAGTCCCTTATTAAGAGGACAGGCAGAAATTTTCAATAAAATTCTTTTTGAGGACTATAGAATAAATAAAAAAGTTGAAGTTTACAGTGGGAATTTATATCGAAGGGAGAAGAATCGAAAACGTTCTGAAATACTTTATTTGAACATTGTCCGAACAGGGTAAGCAAAATTATTTCAAATAAAGCCGGGGAATTAAGAAAAAATCATTCCTAGATTTTTAGAAGTGTTATAGAATAAAAAATGGCAGGATCATCGATTTCTAGATTTGCTCGTATTCAAAAGAAATTTACTGATGATAATTTTGTGGAGACAGATGAGAAGTGCCTGTCGGGAGCAAAATTCGCACTCAAATGTTTGAAGGAAAAAATAATAAACCGGAACGAATCCAGTTAGTGGAAAGAAGACTTTCAAAAATATTACTCCTATATCTTTTGGGAGAAATTTTAAAGACACCTAAGAAAGAAATATGGATGTACATTAATGATACGAAAAGAAGCAAATGGGGAATTTGGTAGTAATTTGAAGGCAAGACATTTGCCTCTTTATGGAAGGATGAGAGAAAAGTAAGGGCAAAAACTTCAAGTGAATAAGTAGTGTTGGAATACCCATTTCTCAAGAAGACGTTTTTACTATGATAATGAATGGAAGGCTCTCAAACGAGAAAGTTGACAAAGTCCAACAAAGGAGTGAGTATTTGAAAAACGCATATCATTCCATGACTCTAATGAATTAAATTTAGATACTCCATCTAGTTGTCACTGATAAAATGTAGGAGTCTTGTGAAACTTCAAATGTTAATAAAAATAAGTTAAAAAAAACGAACGATCTGAGTCAAAATATAAAAAAGTGGAAAAACACTGTTGTCGTTTTTTATGACAGGATATCATGTTTGAAACCCGGCAAAAGTTTGTTCAGTTTTCCAAGAACTATATTCACTCCTCTTTTCACTTCCCAAGCGTAAGCCAAGAAAGTATTGTAATAAAGGCGACTCGCTACTTTTTTGTTTTCTTGACGTTTCATGACCCATAGAGTGCAAAAAAAGTGTTCCGTTTCTATCTGCTTATCTGTCTGTCGTCTGTGTCAAGTTAATTAGATGGATAATCTTCGAAACTACCTGACCGATTGTTGTCAAACTTTATAACAATATCGTGTAGATAGTAAAACCCTAACTAAAATTTGCCTAATCCTCCCCAGGAACAATATGATGACGTGCCCACAAAATTTTTCATAATACGTATCTTTTAATTATTATAGAATAACATACTCCTGTATTTGTGGTTTATGAATTAGCCTTGGGGCATCCAAATTTTAGCAAAAAAAATAGAAATTGTTTTGTTGTTTTTCAATAGAATCGAATGTGCTGCAACTCATTGTATAAGTTATAAGTAGACTTTTTCTGTAGACTTTCAATCGTCGAATTTATTTGTAATGCGTGTAGTAGTTTTGAAATATTTTTAAAAGGCCAGCTGAAGTGGAATATGCCATATTTAAAGTGGTATTTTTAAACATAGCTTTATTTGTGTCTATGGGGTCTATTATGCAAAAACGATAGACGAAATAAAAGAAAAAAGTAGGTATCCATAAATGATAAAAACCAGCATAAAAAAATGTTTTGTTAAAATTCCGGAAACATGGATTCTTCAAGAAATCTTAAATTTAGAAAATTTTGTTTATCTAAGTCGAATTTTATTTTAATCAGTTACTAAATATAAAAAATAAGGTCACTTTTATGCATGAAAGATCCGAAACATTGCAGCTGACTTTGGTTGTTATGCTACACTGGTGTGGTTTTTGTGTTATGCTATATCCTGAACTTCCCGTTTATAAATAAAAAATACATGAACGGTTAGTCTCGTAAATTAAGCATAAATTACTTGCACTATAACGTTGGTGAAGGTCGACATAGAAAATAATAGACTTTTTTAACAATGGAATGACGTTCATTGTTTATGTTCCTCGTAGGTTGAATGATCAGAGAAACAGTAATAGCTATTAATAATATTAACCAATTTTAACTTAACTTTGATCAATCATGTATATGTTTAAAATTAAAATTCAAAAATATAATTTCTTATTTAAACGAACTTTTTCAAAAATCATCTAAATTTCCAGGAGCAAACACATTCCTTAAATTGTTCGATTAAAAAAATATGCATGCGTGTTTCACCGCACGCGGCACAAAATTTGTTTTTTCTTTAATACATTACCTATGCTGTTCTCGTTTTGGTCATAAAACGCGTTAGCGACCACTGCATTAGCATGACTTTCCCAGTCTTGCTTGGTCACAGGTTTGTCGAGCTTCGCAAACGAAACATGTTGACCAAAAAGCGACACGTTTTGCATAGATTCTAAATATTTCAGAGGGTTCACGGTTAACTAAAAATCAATATTGTTAAATAAAATAAAGCATTGTTAAAGACTGACATTTTTGTAGTATTCTTCGATTTTTGCATCCTGGAATAGCTCATCTGGGTAGGCTATATGTGCTCGCATCAGCCTGGCTTTTTCTAGAGCGTGTTGTCTTGTAACTTCGTCCATCCAGTCCACCGTTTTTAGTACCTCGATGAACGTTTCTTTTATGTCGTCTACCAATTCAACGATCGTTTTTTTCGCGTCTTGTTTGAAAAAGTGTCTAACGTAGATTGCTCCACTTGCTATGTAAAGTCTGAAATGGAAGTGGATTTAAGAAACGACTAAATGTTTAAGTTTAAGACAATAATTTACCTTTGAGCTTTCTGGACACACTCTCTCCACCTAACTTCAAGCTGTGATCTTCCTGATACAGATTTACTAAACTCTAATTGCAGCATTCGTATGTCATTATTGAGGTATTGTATCAAACCCTTGATAACCTTCCAGTACATATAATTAGCCATAGTTCTAAAGGTTTTATTTTATTATCAACTTCGCAATCATGTAATAATAATCAATAACTTACTGTTTTGGTGTGCTTCTAATAATTTTTTCCAACTCATAAAAATATTGTGGAAGAGTGACAGTAATGCGATCATCGTAGGTCATAGTTTTAACTGGATACAACATCGTATTGATATATTCCAACCAAGGAACGTAAGGAAACTCCTTTTCTAAGTCTTTAATGGTGAAGGGATTGTCTTCCAACGATGAATTTCGTCTTTTCTCTGAAGGCACTGTAATCTTAATAAATTGTTTTGAGGTTGTTAAGCCACAAACTTTATGACTTACTCTGGTTAAGGCAATGTCCAATTCGATAACGTCTCTCATATGTTTATGAGCCCTCTCGCTTTCCGCTCCGAATGCAATAGCAATTTTAACCATGTAGTTGTGGTAAGCTTGAACAATAGTTTCATTGTAGCCTCGTCGCATTATCTTGTCGAATGAGACGATGTAGGGTTGATCTAACTGAGTAAAAAGTGACGTTTTAACCCACAGTAATGTATTTTAAGATAGTAATAATAGAATGAGAATAGAAAATAAATAATTCATTCTTTTGTGACTTTAAATGCTACACTGGCAATGTTATGAATCTCGAGACACAAATTTTTCTTTACTCTAGTATGCCATATTTGTTTAAATAAATTTCTACAATGTGCTGTTTATTATTGTTGTAAAAAAAACGTTCATGCAGCGGGAGAGTCAACTACATTCAAATAGAAATAAAAAACGCAACAAAAAATTTTACGTAAAAATACCCAAGACACGATAGCGTTCTTTGTACGAACTCTTCATTTATCGATTAACAGTTAAACGCGATGCATGTGTGAAAATAATGAGACCTTATTATTGTGTAAAATTATGTGAAGTGTTTCGTGATCTTGTTCATAATATGATGAAAGGAATCGGAATACTGGAATTGAAGGGGTGAGTTGTATAAAATCAAAGGTAGTTTTTAGTGGAAGTATGTATTTTTGAAGTTGTGTTATGCATAATAATATAAATTTAAAAAGCAGCAATGTAGCAATTATTACTACTTATTACTATTAGAGTTTATAAGGAATATTTACACTATCAACAGCAAATCATATCAACGGTAGATGCATTATTTTTAAGAAAGTCTGCATATTATAAGATACATCTTTTTTTGTCAAAACATAATTTTTAGTGGTGTTTATAGTCCATGTATTAAGTATTGTTTACATTTTTAAATATTTTACGACAATAATTCAAACAAATTGACATTTAGTTTTTTTCTAAGTGCAGGAGCTTTAGCGTCAATTGGTTCCGTGTTTTTTTTTAAATTACATTCGTGGATTAAGCCCATACTTGTTCAGAATAAAAAAAATGTCCGGTATAAATTTTCCTTGTATGATAAATTAAACTAACGGACATTTGAGATATAATTGCAACTCAAAAACTTCCATTTATTACAGAAACGATACATGAAATACGAGCGTTGACAGCATTTAGATAACAATAAAAAATTTAACAAAAAATCTTACGCAAAAACACTAAGGAAGTGATGACGGATTTTGTTCTTTAGTTATCGATTAACAATTAGCCAAGTAAAGTTTTAGATGTTTGAAAATAATGAGGATGGACTGGTTTTTAATATACATATGTTTATATTTATACAGGGTGAGTCACTAAGTGTATCTTATTAAATGTTATTAGAAATAAAAAAAAAGTCGGACTAAAGTTGCAGGGTTTTTTGAGTAGCATATTTTAAAATCATTTCAACTATACAGGGTGTTTCGAAAAATGGCGCACAACTTAGTTTTTTCTAAATAGAACACTTACATATTTTCATATTTTTTCATTAGTCTCTTCAATGCCGTTATAGCAATGACTTATTTTTGAAATTCGAATGCAACTGATGCCACGCTATTCCCATATTCTTGATTTTTTGCATTGCAAGCAATGAGTATCAGCTTTAAATGTACAAAATACCTAATAAAAAAAAAAAATAGAAAAAGAAAGAATAATATGCATTAATAAAACACATGGTGGTGTATTTAAAAAAACTCAAATACCGTTATTTCAAAATTGTGATTTTTTTTATAAATATGGTGTGTTAAGACTTAATTTTATTTATACCACAATAAAGCGTGAACTTTTATTTAAGTCTCTATGAAATATTGTAAGACCGATTTTAAAAATAACTCTAATGCCATTTTCTTTCTGAACCCTTTCAGTACTAAAAAATTTCAAGAAAACTGGAATAATGTGGCAATGTTGCATCGGAATTTAAAAAATAAATTGTGGTTATAAAGCTCAAGAAGAAGTCAATAAGAATATTTAAAAGTATATAAGTTTATATTCAATTCATTCAATTATAAAAAAAATTATAAGATATCGAATAGCCCACGCTTAATAATTCACCCTGTATATTGAAATGCTTTGCGATTTTGTGAGGGCAGTGACGAAAAAATCTAATTACTGGAAAATTCATAATTTTAGGAACTAGCAGTTTTATATTTTAAAATTACGGTATATTTTTATCGTAACAATGAAGAACGATAACGAATTTTACAATTTTCACGAGTAGAATTTCATTACCTATAAGTTTCTGGCGACTTATAATTTTTGAAATCTGTAAAAAGAAGTAAAAACTCATCATATTTTGCATATTTTGGGCAAAATTTTGAGTTGAAGTCATCAATTTTTTGTAGGGGATAAGGAAATATATTTTGATTGATTATGCTTATCATAACTGTAAAACACCTGCAAGATTTCAAAGCATTCGATTTTGCAGATTCAAAATTAAATTGCAAAATGTTGTATTATAATTTTGATTTTTTTCCAAAAATCGGGACGTTTCGGGTGAACACTCAACACGGAGTCATAAACTACATATGTAGGACTATGTTATTTTATACAATTTAAAACCCATTTATTATGTACAATTTTGAAGTAACGTCATCACATTATTGGTGAGGATGATTAGATAAATTTTGGTTAGCGTTTTACGATTTACATGACATTCCTAAAATAAATACAAAATTTGACAACAATCGGCCCCGTACTTTCGGAGATTATCTGTCTAATAAAAATCCGTGGCGACAGACAGACAAACGGAAAAGGGAGACCTATTTCTTCGTATTCTAGAGGTCACGAAAGGTCGAGAAAACGTAAAAGAAGAAAAGAAAACTATACCATCGTTTGATAATAAAATTGTATTTTATAATGTCATATTTTATATGATAATTTTCCCTATTTTGCTTTTTTTTTATTTATATATTTTAATTATTACGTTTATATGTGAGATGTTGTCTAGTGTTAAAATTATTTTGAAACTGATATCTACATATACACAAATAAATTGTACGTGTAATTTTTTAAATTTCTGCTCTAGTCGGCCATCACTCGTACGTCAGCAGTGCAATGAATCGTCATGGACAACTAGAGCAGAAATTTAAAAAATAATACAGCGTAAACAAAATGAAAATGATTTTAAGAACGTATAAAACTAATTCATCAGGAAGTTAACTTTGTATCCAAGTGGGGGACATTTTTTATTTCCAAGCTTAAGCAAAACTACAGTTGCAACTTATCTTAGAAACTAGATTTTTTTAACTGATGGTGCTTCAAAGACGGAGGAATTTCTGATAACAAAGATAAAATAGTTTAGGAGGGAATTTATATGGAACCAATATCAGTACAAAAGTCTGTTGATTAATAACTCATATTGTATGTGACTTCATGATTCATTTTGAAAATTTTAAAAACGGAAGCAATGGAAAAATGTGGGCCTTTTTTTAATCGTTTTTCATTTTGAAATTATTTGTATTTTTTTTTCTGCAAGTTGTTATATCCTTAGTTTTATGTTACTCTGTCGTGAAAATAACAAATCAGAAGACGACCCTAAATAAATTTATTTTGAATATTTTTGATCAAATGTTTGGCCAACACATCAGCAATCTTGAGGTAGTTTTGAACCAACCTATGAAGCATAACACATCTTTTTTGTTGTCACACTGCCCTAAGAATTTTGAAAACAGTAGCAATGATGCAAGATAAGCATTCATTGTCGTATTTCGTAGATGATTTAATATATACAGGGTGAGTTCTTTGAAACCTCTGTAACTATTGGAAGTAGAAGAAAAAAGAAGATAAAAGTTGTACTGTTCCTTGGGTTGCACAAAATATAATTATTTTCAATTATACAGAGTTTTTCGTTTTCGAGAAGTAATATATAACCCAGTTTCTTTAAATTCAATATCCTATATAAGTATTTTTACGTACTTTGATTGCCCTTTTTTGGGCTGCATAAGCGTAGTTCATTTTTGAAATTCCGATGCGACGTTGTCATGTTATTTAAATTTTCATGACATTTTTTTGCTATGCATAGGTTCACAAAAAAATATCACAAAAGAGGAGATGATGTACAGAGTGTTTATAAAAATTTGTATTTGACTTCTGCAGTTTATAGGTATTTCGATATATCGACATTTGAAAAAAAAAATGAAAATTGTAGCATTTTAGATTTTTTTATAAACACTCTGTACATTATTTATGCCTGAAGAAATATTTGGTGTTGATAGAATTTTGTTCGTTGCCAGGTTAACGTCAATTTGAGAGTTTGAATTGAAAATGAAGCGATCAAAACAAACATTCAAAAATCAATTTTTGTCTTTGACCATGTTTTCATTGCTCTCTCGGTACTAGATGTATGATAATATTGACCAAAATACAGTACATCGATTTAAAAAAGCCTTTGCTTAAACCACGTGGATTGTTAGATTTTAGTGTGAAAATACAACTACAATATATATAATACTGTATTTTGGTAAATAATATTCGAAACATATTTTAATTTGAAGTGGGATGCAATTCTATATCGATAATCATCATGGATCAATTATTACAAAAATTTGGGCAGATAGAGGAAAACTGAATATGGAGTTGCATTTTCGTATTCTATGAAATCCAACTGTATATGAAAAGTGAAAAAAGAAGACACACTGGGGGGAGATTTACAAAAAAGTTGATTAGGTGAAACCCTTGTAAAATCTTGTAGTTTAGTTGATAATTTTATGGGTTGATGACATCGGTGTGTAGGAAGGGGTAATTTAGATATTTAGTAATTTTCCTTAAACAATTTTAATGTTTTAAAGAAGCAATAAATGAAATTTGAGCTTTTATAAAAGAGTAAAAGAATACTGTCTAAAAACATCAATGGAAATCAACAACAACGCTCACGTTCGAGTATCTTAATAAGATGCGTGACGTCATGGAGATGTATTTTCGACACAGTGTTAGAACCTTAACAATATTTTCATCTATCAACTACTGAATTTCAACTATCTTTTTTTACGTTAGCATGAGTAAGAAATATACTATTAAAAATCAAAGCAACACTTAGATCGTAATTTGATAACCTATTGTTTTCATTCCTAATTTTGTGTTCATATTTATATGTGTACAGATGGCTGTGATTTTTTTATTTTGGACTCTGGTTTTTAATGACCCTTAATTTTTTCTCAGTATGCAGGATGACTCACCAAGCGCGTGAACCTCGATATTTTGTTAATTATTATTATTAGAAATAGGAAAAAATTCAGATACTAAAGTTGCACGATTCCTTGAATTATTTTGGACTCAAAAACAGAACACTCTATATATTTGAAAATAATTTTTGTGTATGCTACTCAATCCGTGATATAATTTTTTTCTGACTTTTTTCTACTTCAATAATAATTATCGAGGAACGCGATTTCAGGGACTCACCCTGTATATTATAAACTTCAATTGTTGACAATATCTTTTTTAACATGTATGTAAGTATAGGTCTGAGTTACGTTTTTCCGTCGAAAAAAAATTCTTAGTAAAAAATATTTAGTGTGTTTAATAAAATAGAACAAAAAGATGTATTTTCCGATGAAATAATTGTATGAACGATTATTGATTATTATTATTATTATGTAAACAAAATATCTCGGCATTCAAATCGTACTGGAATTTTCCCTAACAGATCTGTCGTTAGACTTTACACATGTCTCTACGTTTTGTTCACCACTTTTATTATTTATTTATAGCTTATTCTCCTCTTTGAAACTTTAAACTGGCAACAAGCTAAGCTGTCATCCAGTATATCAAATCGTCCCCCTTTTATTTTTTAGCAGATTTAACTAACCGTCAGAGAGTTCCTGGAGGAATTTGTCATGTCAGGTGTGACACTAAACTCGAAAAATATGTCAGAGTTAAATCCCAATTTCATAAACTCGTACATCGTAGACGTCCAATCAAATAATCTCTCGTTCCATTCCGGCCCTTCAACCACCGGCCATCCTCCGATTCCTTTAATGGTCTTTTTAAGATCCTCCAACGAATGCGCCTCTATTTCCGTGGTGTTCATGCAAGCTTGATAAATAGATTTGACAAGAACAAAAGCTCTAGCATCTGTGTCTTTGATGGGTTTCTCTAGCAATGTCCGCAGCTGCTCATCCACCATGTCACTGAAACACGTATTAAACCGTAAATTATTCGGAAAAACTTCTCTAAAAACGCACCTCACAATGGAAAAAGATGATATACTGGTTTTGTATTGGGGCAGGACTGTATCCTTTATGAAATTCCCGCAGGCGAACTTGTAGAAGTCCTCGCAGGGGTCGATATTTAAATCTACTTTTTGGAGCACTTGGGCTGCGGTTTGTATACAACTGGGGCTGAGACACACTTGCGAATCAATTTTTCTTGCTATAAATATGGTTTATGTACGTTCGTTCGACAGTTCGATTTTCTCCTCACCTGATAAAGATACCGCTAGGACGATTACCACGATGACTACAAGGATAGCGACGACCAACAGGAGCCATTTTTCCATTCGGGTCCGTCGTTTCCACCATGATGAATGCCTGGAAATGAACAAATCATTGCAAATTCTGGTCTAATGAATATGTACGAGGCGGCATGGATTATTTAAATTAAGAGCGTTGTCTCTCAAGATTAATTTTTTTTAGTTTCTGCTTAAATTGTGGGTAAACAAATAAATGTTTAGTTTTCCATTGTGTTTCCACGAAAGACGAGTAAGAGGATTGTGTACAAGGCCCGGAAATGCATTTTTTGTAGAAAATATGCTTTTAATTACCAGACTGTTCAGCATTTAGAATAAAACGAAAACAACGTTAAAATAGGCACTTTCCTAAAGTAGTAGTTAAAATTAACGTTACGTTAGAATTTGTACAATCGTTAACAGTACTACTGCATACGACGCTACTAATAGTTGGGAACTCATTCTTTATATTACCCTTGATGCTAGTTGATACATTAATATCTAATAAAATTGTTTTAAACGGTTTCAACATATTTCTGATTAATTTTTGCAAATCGTCGACATGACATTTATGCACCATTTGCATATCATATATTAGTAGTTCAGGAAATTAATATGCAGCTCGTAAATGCGTCATGTCGCGTAATATCTCATTATGACACTTGAGTCATCGACATTTTTTTCTAATGACAATTTTAATTTTTCCTGTGATTAATTTTAAAAGGTGATAAACAGTATCTAAATATTCGAATTAAATTATTTTAAAAATATGCGTAATTTTATTTAGGCAGAAGTTCCAGCGTTTTTGCGTTAGCATATTTTTTTCAAGTACTGCGAATCATTGAGAACATTCTTTGAGAGTCTGATTTTTTGAGCTACGGGTTAAAATTATTTATTATTTCCAAATATAATATTTATTTGTGTATAAAGGCAATAAAAAAATAATTTCGGCCGATCTGAAGTTTGAGGTCGAGGCTTAGCCGAGGCCTACAAATCAGATGACGTCGAAAAAGTTCTTTTTGGCCGAAATACATACAACGTTTTTTAAGTGACGATACAGAAAAATAATTGATTACGTAATTGTATTTGAAGTTACAAAATTATAAAAATTTGTTGTTGGAGGAAAATTTCTGTAGATTTGATAAAAACCAAAGTACTGCTTTGCTTCTCTACTAAGAAAAAAATGGTACCGTTACAAAATATTATAACGATTCTATTCAGTAAAGGTGGAGTTCAAATAACGACGCTTTTGGATTTTTTATAAAAAGAATGTTGGTCTCAAACACAAGGCCAATGATGCAAAAGTAAATTTCGACATATGAGTACAAAAAAGCGACAAGTCATTCCAAAAAAGTAATAATAACAGTTCTATATTTACAGATTTTCTGGAATCAGTATTCTTGATTTAGTCATTAAAATAAATTGCTTCATTCATTAATTTTTTTAATCATTCTAAATAAGGTGTCACTCACAATAACCATATACATATCGAAATATCAGCAGTTGATTACTACGATAAGACTAATTTTGTCAAATGACTTACTTTCTATGAAAATCGAGGGTGGGTGGGTGGACGGGGCTATTGTTTTTATTTTTGTTATTCTTTAGAAAAAAAATCTAAACTCAGCCCCGCCCATCTCTTTTTTCCATTTCACCGACTTATTTTATTTACTGTAAAATGGGAATTGAATTCTATTTTCACAAGTTGTAGAATCTAAAATTTAAAACAAATCAAAAAGTGGTCCCGCCCACCCACCACTATTCCATTCTGATCATTCATTCTTATTGGCTCTGAAGAACGGAAGATGAATTTTATGTGAATAAATAATAGACTCTAGGATTACATTTCTTTTAATAAAATTTAATTTTTACGAAATTATTTCAATTTTTAGATTTTGCGCTTTTTTGATCAGCAATTTTACGAGTTTTCAATGTTTAATTTTTTTATTTTTCAGTTTTTCAATTTTTCGTTTTGCAATTTTTCAGTTTGTCATTTTTTTTTTTTATTAGTAATTGCTAAGATAAGAGTGATTTATAGAATGACATAGCCTACAAGAAAAGAGAGGGCGGGTGGGCGGGCTAAGTACTCGCTAAGATAATACTAATTTTGGCAAATCACACATTCTGTAAGAAAATATAGGGCGGGTGGACGGGGCTAGCATTTGCTAAGATAAAACTGGACAATATTAGGGGTAGTCACTGAAATGAAGAGGGCGGGGTAGTTGTTTGCTTTTTTTTCACTATTTATTATTATTAAAACAAAATAACAAGGGCCCCTGCTCTCCTGCTATCGAGAACTCGATTTGGCTATTATAGAAATGCATTATTCTAAGAAACTAGAAACTCAGAACAGGAACGGAGATGGCTGACGGTAACAATCTACGATTGTTTCTACTGGTTTGATAACTTGCTTAATTTTTACTTTCCGAGCGTAAGCTAAGTAATTTTGTTCGATTGTGGCTGAATTAAAAATTTTAGTCTTCTGTTTTGTGAAGCTAAACTCATTCAAATTAAACTAAATTCTACGTCACATTCTTTCGATGTACAAACATAAATAAACACTTAAGCATCAGATTGCTATTACCTAATGCTGAAGGACATTTTATTCTGTTAGTTAACTATATATATTTTACATTGTGCGTACGGCTGGTTTCTACTTTACACAGGTGATTTCAAAACGAAAATTGTAAAATTTTTATAATTTTTTAACGCAAGGGCGAGGGTATTTCTATCGAAATAGCCTTCGACCATTTTTTTGAATGAAAAAATATTTCATTTTGTAATCAACGAAAAACCGAGATTTTTTACTATCAAAAAATTAGTCCAAGGTTATTTATACCCCTGAAGCATAGTCCAACAAATTCAGCTTGTTCGAAAAATTATACAATTAAGATGACACTTATAATTTGACGTAGAGATAGCCAGTCACAGTCTTCCGTATTCACAATTTTACATACGAAAAATATTGAATAATAAAAATTATAATAATAATAACAAACAAATTCAAGGCAAAATCATAAAATACAACTACGGGAGAATGTTATCAGATTGTATTCGTGGGGGGACGATTAGACAAATTTACCATCTACACGATCTTCCTACCACACATACAAAATTTGACAACAATCTGTCTAGTAGTTTCGGAGATTATGTGTCTCTTAAAATCAATACAGACGGAAACGCGAAATCTACTTTTTCATACTCTAGAGGTCATGAAACGTCGAGAAAACATGAAACATTCGTCCCTATTACAACTTGCGATGGGGAAGTAAAATTGGAAGGTGTTGTAATTTAATTATACATGGTGATTGAAGTAAATTGTCATTTTCCTCATTGTTTTTTATTTCATAATCACAAAAATAAACTGTTACGAGAAGATTAATTAAATTTAGTACTATAAAAAGGCTTACTTGGAGACAAGTTGAAAACCGTCAAAAAATACAATTATCGCATTCGAAAAACACGAGAAAATTGAGAGTTTACACGTTTAATCACCCTGTATAAAAAGGTATAAACCTTGTTGGAATTTGACCTCCAGAGCGTAGCGTGATTTTTATTATAGGATTTATAACATAAATTTTGTAGTAATTTTTGGAATAATTGTGGTACTAAAAGGGCTCTAAGTCAATTTGTATTAGACCGTTAATTTCCGAAACTACCGGACCGACTATTGAAAAACATTGTATACGTGTTAGAGTTAGATGGTAAAACGAGGAGCTGAAACGTTTGAAAGAATTTTGAGGATTCCTGACGATGTCTTTGAAAGAATCCGAAACAATCCGAAAGACTTTGAAAAGAAGAATCGGAAAGAAAATTAGAGAACCTGACAAGATCTAAAAGAATCTGGAGGAATCTAAGGGAATTTGAGGAAATCTGAGGAAGTTGGGAGCATCTGACGAGAAGAATCGGAAAAAGTCAGAAGGAATCGGAAGGAAACTGAAATAATCGGAAGGATCTGAGAGAATCTGAGACAATTTCGAAGAATCTAGAGGCATCTAGAAAAAACTGGAAGAATCTGAGAAATTCTGAGAGAATCGACAAGAATCTAGAAAAATCTGGAAGAGTCTGCAGGGATCTGAAAGGGTTTAAAGTGTTCTAGGAAATTTTGAAAGGATCTGAAAGAAGCTGAAAAATTTTGAGCGAATATAACGCTTTTATTAAAGTATTATTTCTATCAGCCCAGAATTTATTAAAACGAACTGTCAATTTGACAAGAAACAACTTCAGAGCGTTGTTGTAGTTGTAGGCCACACACACCACATAGCGCTGGCTATCGGACGGCAGTGATACCGAAGTTTGCATACTTCCAGTGGTGGTAAGTTTGATCATTACATTCTAAACGGTATCATCATTTTGATTAGTAACAACAAATTAGTAATTACTAATTACAAATTAAATCTCCCATTGTATTGTGTTAAAGATTTTTAACCATAATAACAAAACAGCAATTTTAATCACACCAATTTTGCTTCGTTAGATTTTGACACATGATGGTAATAAATTATTTAAAATAATAATCATGTGGGTTAACGATATTTGTTTGTGTTCTAAAACGGGAGATTACTAAAATATTTCAATTCAACAAAATTGCACCAGTGCTTATTTTTTAAGTGTTTAGACTAAACAAATGCCACCATATTTTTTCAGATTTCGAATAGCGTCTAGAGAAAGCAAATTAAAGCAAAAACCTAAACCTAATACAGAACTTGCATTCTCTTTATTTACCTATTTTATTCTAACTTGTTTATCCTGCAACTTATTTAAATAAAAATAACCACAGTAAAATATATAGTTACTTGCTCGTTGCGTAATAAAACGTCAATTAAAATCCCCAGCAAATAATAAGTTAACGATAATCGATTAAGTATAACTCTTTAACTATTATTTTACAATCCCGCACCATCTTGGTCGCCGTGACGAATGTCTAAATTACACAAATCATTGCAAATCCTTCTTTAATGAGTATGTAGGAAGTTCAGATTATTTAAATTGAGATTGATGCCTCTAAGCATGTTTATATCGTCTGATTCTGGCGTTTAAAGATTTTTTTAAACGAAGCATTTTTATTGCTTTTGCATGCGT